CGCAGACTGCGGTCGTACGTCGGCGATTTCATGCTCGTTAACGTACCTCTGCCCCTTCAATATTGATTAAATTTTAATAATAAATCGCCGGCGAAATGAAACGCGCCCGACTCTGTTTCGTCCAGATTTCCACAAACCGAATATTAATAAGCGACTTCCGGCTGACGCGTTTGCGTGCGTCGGGAATTATTCAGTTTGTTGTGGATTTTTAATAAGGAGTACCGGAGGCGCGAGTCTTCTACGGAGCGGAGTTCTTTGCTTAATCCGGGTGCGTCGAGTAACCTTTTAAGGTGTGCATTAGTAAAAGCCGACGGAAGTGTGGTGACTTCCATTTGGCGCGCTCGGCGTCACTTATCAGGAGGGATTAGGCCGTGATAGACTTCGCGGGGGCAGGCGGAGAAAGTTTGTCGCAAATTTGATCAAAATAACGGCACAAATGGGTGGCACGGGTGGAGAATCTCCCATCCCCCAAGAACAAATAAAAAATAAAATAAAAAAAAATATCTTTATTTCCCAAAGGTACAACACTCAATTATAGGAAATCATAAAAAAATTAATGATAATATTATTGAACTAAAACTTTAAATAAACCCTAATTAATTTAGATGGTTATTACGGACAAGATCTGATATATCGGTTACCGATATTGTCCAAATATGTAGTTACATATGAATAAGACACGTAATCTTGCAAGTACATTTGTTTTCGTATGAACAAAAAAGCTTGCTCGACACTAAGACGGGAAACCTACAAAAAAGCTTACGTATTAAAAATTCACAGTCGATCCAATTGTTAACAAGATTGTAAAGAAATTTTACAATAGCGACTGTACGTCTAACTTATATAGAGTTTAAATATAATTTACTTAACGAAATATTAACAGAACCTCAACAGCGGTAAACTCCTTCAATAAGAAAAGAAGTAAATTTTTCAAATCACGACAATTTCTATAGCGCGGCCTTACATGCCGATGTTCAGATTCACTTCAGACCGGTTTCGGTGACCTCGACACCGACACCTACACCGACACCGACCTCGTAGCTGGAACTCGACATCCTATTCCGGCGCGTATACGTGTTCTATATTACGACAAGAAAGGAGTTAAAATTCCAATAAAAGAAAACTGAGAAACGCAAGGAATCGGAGGTACGGCAATAAACATACCTATATGTATCAGAAGGAACAAAAAGGACAGAAGGATCAGAAGGAATAGATGAAGCAAAAGAGGCAGATGGAACAAAAGGATTAGAATGAACAGAAGCAACAGAAAGAACAGAAGGGACACAAGTGAACAAAAAGAACAGAAGGAGCAGACGGATCAAAAGGAACAAGAAAAAAAACAAGTCAAGGAACAACAGAAAACGGAAGCGACAGGAGATGGAATAAGGACAGAAGTAACAAAAGGAACATAATAGAGGAAGCGAAGGAACAAAAGCAACAACAGGGATAGAGTAATCAAAAGAAGTAGAAGAAATATAAAGAACCGAGAGGGGACCGAAGGAACAAAATGAAGAAAACAGGGGGAACAGCAAGAACAGAGAAAACAGAGGCGACATAGGGGGCAGAGAGAACAAAAGGGTAGAGGGAACAGAAAAAATAGAAAAAAGCAAAAGGAACAGAAGAAACAGAATAGGGAGAACAGAGGTAACGAAAGGGTAGAAGCAACAGAAGGAATGAAAAAAACAGCAGAAACAGAAGGAACAGAAAGAATAGAAGGAACAGACGGAACGGAAGAAACAACATGAAGCAGAGTCCACAGGGGGTTCAGCAGGGACAAAAGGAACATAAGCAACAAAGGAACTGAAGGAACAGAATGAACAGAACAGGGAGAACAAACGGAACAGAGAAAACAAAGGCAACAAAGGAGACAGAATAAACAGAATTAACATAAGTAACAAAAGAACAAAAAAAACAGAGAAAACAAAAGAAACAGAAAACGCAAGGTATGCGTGAAATGCAATTGATTGAAAATTATAGATAAAAACATGTAATAATTAAAAAAAAAACTGCCTAGAATAAGTACAAAGATGTATGAAATATAGAAAATATAGAATTTTTGACAAATATTTCTTCTGTTCATTCTGATTTTTCTGTTTTTTGTTGGTTCTATGTTTGTAGATGGCACAAAATAAACCAGAGAAACGTAACGAATCGAAGGTACGGACGGAACATAAAGAGTCAGAGGAACAAAAGAAACAGTAAGAACAGAATGAACGGAAGGAACAAGAAACAGAAAGAACAGTAGGGACAAAAAGAACAAAAGAAACAAAACCAACAAAAAAAATAGAAGGAACATAAGGAACAGACGGAAGAAAAAGAAGAGAAGGAACAGAAGTGAACAAAACAAACAGAAGGAGCAGAAGGGACAGAAGTGAACAAAAGAAACAGAAGGAGCAACAGAAAACAGAAGCGACAGGCACAGAAGTAACAAAAAGAACATAATAGAGGAAATGAAGGAACAAAAGCAACAACACTAACAGAGTAATCAAAAGAATTAGTGGGAACACAATTAAAAGGAGGAACAGAAGAAACAAAAGACACAGAAGAAACAGAAGAAACAACAGAAAACAGAGGCGACTGGATGTAAAGCAAAGACAGAGGGAGCAGAACGTACAGAATAAACAGAACCGGGGAAACAGAGAGAACCGAGAAAACAGAGGCGACATAGGGGACAGAGAAACCAAACGGGTAGAAGTAACAAAAGGGATAGAAGGAACAGAAATAATAAAAGGACAGAAGGAACAGAATGGACGAAATAGGAAGAACAAACGGAACAGAGAAAACAAAGGCAACAGCGAGTCCAGAATAAACAGAATTAACATAAGTAACAAAAAAAACAGAGAAAATGCAAAATGTACAAGAAATGCTAACTACTAAAATTTGAAACATTTCATGTATGTATAGAACGTAATGTAATATATATATATATATATATAGGCCGTAGCATCAGACACAGAACCAACAAAAAAACAGAAAAATCAGAATTAACAGAAGAAAAAGACTGTACAAAATAAACCAGAGGAACGTAAGGAATCGAAGGTACAGAGAGAATATAAAGAATAAGAGGAACAGAAGAAACAGAAAGAACAGAGGTAACAGAAGGAATAAAAGAAACAGAAGGAATAGAAAGAATAGAAGGAACAAAAGTGAACAAACGCAACAAAAGGAGCAGAAGGAATAGGATAAACAAAACAAATAGAAGTAACAGAAGCAATAACAGAAACAGAATAGAGGGAACGAAGGAAACAGAAACAGCCGAAGGAAACGGGAGACCTATTTTTTCATACTCTAGGGGTCATGAAACATTGAGAAAACATGAAGGCAATTATTCATCGAATACACAATACTTCACTAGCTTGTCATAGTAATGAACTATTTTAGAACTATTTTTACACCTGTTATATGAATAAGCGGTAATGTTTTAGCTACATAAGGAAGGTTTAAGTGAGTAGACAAACAAGTCAAACGTACGCCACCACCTGTATTGATATTTAATTCATCGGAATTTCTGTTTTACCTCTGAACGTTAAAATTATGGAGAAATAATTCCCTGTGACAAACATTAATATTTAATCAAGTAATCTGAAGCTGCTAAATTATTTCAAAATTTAGCAAATTTTGCTCGCAATCCGCGTACATTTTGTTAAAGAATGTGTACAGAAACGTAACAATTGTTCTTGTTCTTGAATCTTGCTCTTGACCCGGTTGTCCGACGAGCGCGCGTCAAAAACCGTCCCCGCCCCTCCATACCTTTATTGTTTTAGAATGATGGCCCATGATTAAGCGCCCCATTTTTGAATAATTTATCGTCGGGTCGCCGTTCCGCGTTCCATCCGCACCTCGGAAGTGCCTCACTTTAATATTTAATGTCGTTCCTTGTTCGTATTGATTTAAAATGGGTGTTTGCATGTAATTGTGTGCGAGCGCCGGTTCGCTTTTTAAAAGCACCATAAAAATGACGGCTTGTTGGGGTTTTGTCGGCCGGATTTACCGACTTGACTAACTGCGTCTGCATTCGCAATAATGGGGGCGGAATTAGAGTGAGTTATAGGATGGGGGCGCTCGGAATTGCCGCGAAAATTACATGTGTAAAGAAGTTAACTCGATTCGCGACTTGTAATGGCGTACAAGTGGCTGAAACGGATCAGAGAGTGACGGAAATCGGCGCTTTTTTCAGGAGCGCTAGGTCAGCATGTGCGGTAAACTTACAAACTTAATTAAATGTCAAGAGCAGGTCTAATTACAAAATTGTGAGCGCTGGAACGTCGGCGTAGTTTTACAGCTGGGGCGCTGCGCCCTCGAGGCTTAGAAAGGTTAGTGTCCATCACGTTCTCGAGCTAGTTCTTTTTTTATTATCATTATTAAGTTGGCAGTAACGGCGGCGGGCACTAATACGGCGCGTCATTAAATGTCCGTGGACAGAAACCGAAACAACCGCCCCACACCACCGGCGCGATTTTCCTATTAAACCAGTCCCACCCCCCGTAGTTTTTATCTCTGACAAGCCTCCTCGACACTCGCCGTTCCGTGCCTCGTTATCCGCGATCTCGCCTCCCTCTCGTATGTAAAGCGTAACGAAACAATCCCACATTTTTTCTGGATCGCCAGTTTGCGCCTCCGCCGCACGCAATCTGACGTGCCGCAATCACTATCTCGCCGCCGCCGCCACCCCCAACATCTCTATTACTCAATCCTACCTCAATCCAAAACAAACCGTAAATATTCATCGACCGTCAAGGTCGCATCGGAAATTCACACCCCTCTTTAATTAACCGCCATAATCGTAACAATTCTGCTAGGTTTTTGCCGGATCGTTCGACCCTTATTTTACGGCGGTTTCATGCCGGCGGAGGGTAATGTATGCTAATTATGCGCGTATGGGTGTCGAGGGGGTTTCAAGGGCGCATTTTTCCTGCCACACTTACCGATATCTCGGGGGGTGGGCTCGTTCTCGCAGGGGGTGGTCCGAAATAAAACACTTTGGAGTCTGATTGCCGCGCTCACAACACTAGAGGAAGGGGAGCACTTTTTCGGTGCTGCGTTCTTCTGTTCTTCTGTTCCTTCTGTTCAGTTCTATTCCTTCTCTTCTTTCTGTTCCTTCTGTCATTTCGGTTGCATCTATTCCTTCTGTACCGTCTATTCCTTCTGTTTTTTTGTTCCTTCTGTTTCTTCTGCCCCTTATGTTCTCCCCGTTCTATTGTTCTATTCTCAGCTCCTTTTGTTATTCCTGTTTCTTTCGTTCCCTCTATCTGCTCATTCTGTCCCTTCTGTTCCTTCTATTCCTTTGTTCTTTTCGTTCCTTTGGTTTTTGCTCCTCCTGTTTGTTCCTTCTGTTCCCTCTGTTTTTTCTATTACCTCTGTTGTTTTGTTCCTTCTTTTCCTTTTATTCCTTGTGTTATTTCCGTGCCTTCGATTCTTACGTTTCTCTGGTTCCTTTTGTACGTTCTCTTTCTTCTGCTCGTTCTAATTTTTCTATTTTTACTTCCCCAGCGTAAGCAAAGGAAGTATTGTAATCGAGTCCGTCGGCCGACTCTCTACTTTTACGTTTTCTCGATCTTGCATGACCCCTAGAAGACGAAGAAGTAGGTCTCCCATTTCCGTCTGTCTGTCCGTCTGTCCGTCTGTCCGTCCATCTGTCCGTCCGTCTGTCCGTCCGTCTGTCCGTCCGTCTGTCCGTCTGCCGTCCCGGATTTTTATTAGACAGATAATCTCCGAAAGTACTCGACCGATTGTTGTGAAATTTTGTACTTATATTAAGAATATCATGTAGATGGTAAAACGCTAACCAAAATTTGTCTAATCATCCCCACCACTAATGCGATGACGTCACATCAAAATTGTACATAGTAAATGGGTTTTCAATTGTATAAAATAACATAGTCCTACACATGTAGTTTACAACTCTGAATCGACTTTTCACCCGAAACGTCCAGATTTTTGGGAAAAAAATCAAAATTATAAAACAACATTTTGAAATTTAATTTTTAATCTGCTAACCAGAATGCTTTGAAATGTTGCAGATGTTTTAATAAATCTTTAGTCAAAATATATTTGCTTATCCCCTCCAAAAACTTGATGACGTCAGCTCGAAAGTTTGCCGAATAAATCATATCTAAAATGTACAAAATATGATGAGTCTGTACTTGTCACTTATCACTCCATTCATATTTTTTGGATTTGCATATACAGAGTGACTCAAAAAAATTAATGAATGCGTAAATATATTTTATTGATTTAATCAGGAACTACAAAACGGAATGCTCTGACATCTTGCAGATGTTTTAAGGTTATAAGGAGCATAATAAATGTTTAGTCAAAATATATTTGCTTGTCCCTTCCAAAAACTTGATGACGTCAGCTCGAAAATTTGCCGAATAAATCATATCTAAAATGTACAAAATATGATCAGTCTGTACTTGTGATCTATCACTCCATTCATAGTTTTTGGATTTGCATATACAGGGTGATTCAAGAAAATAAATGAAAGCGTAAATTTATTTTACTGATTTACTCAGGAACTACAAAACCGAATGCTTCGAAATCTTGAAGATATTTTAAAATTATCATAAGCATGGTAAATTTTTGATCAAAATGTATTTGGTCGTCCCCCCTAAAAAATTTATGACGTCACCACAAAATTTTGCTGAATAAATCCTATCTAAAATGTACAAAATATGGTGAGTCTCTTCTTGTAATTTATCACTCCATTCAAATTTTTTCGATTTGCATATACAGGGTGACTCAAAAAAATTAATGAATGCGTAAATTTATTTTTTTGATTTAATCAGGAACTACAAAACCGAATGCTTTGAAATCTTGCAGATGTTTTAAGGTTATAAAGAGCATAATAAATTTTTAGTCAAAACATATTTGGTTATCTTCTACAAAAAACTGATGACGTCAGCTCAAAAGTTTGCCGAATAAATCGTATCTAAAATGTACAAAATATGATGAGTCTGCACTTGTGATTTATCATTCCATTCATATTTTTGGATTTGCATATGCAGGGTGGCTCAAAAAAATTAATGAAAGCGTGAATTTATTTTATCGATTTAATCAGAAATTACAAAACCGAATGCTTTGAAATCTTGGGAATATTTTAAAGTTATTATAAGCATGGTAAACTTTTGTTCAAAATGTATTTGTTCATCCCTCCTAAAAAAATTGATGACGTCACCCTTAAATTTTGCTGAATAAATCCTATCTAAAATGCAAAAAATATGATGAGTTTGTACTTGTGATATATCATTCCATTCATATTTTTTAGATTTTCTTAAGAGGTGGTTCAAAAAAATTAATGAAGTCAATTTATTTTATTGATTAAATTAAAGGCAACACTTATTATTAGTATTACACCCCAACCAACCCAATTTGGTAGACACAAAATTTGTTAAAGGAAAAACTCGGTTGAAACATAAGGGTAGCACGCTTATTTACATCGACTTTAACATTACAGACCTGCATTTGTTTTATGCGCTCACTTGGTTCCGCGAATGTGGAATAGACATGTTTATAATCAACCAATTGTGAATTTCACCGTCAAGAATTAAAATAAAACCCAATGTTTTATATAATAAGCGGAAGTCGAAGCAATAAAACCGATGGTCGTTTTGTTTACAGTTTCTCTGTTTGACTCTCACGTATGCTGTTACGCTTGTCATCTTAAATTAAGAATGTTTATACATAAACGATTTTCAGTTGCCTTTCATATTACCAGACAGTGAATTTTTGTCGGGCTACGTCACGTTTAATCGGTACTAATTCCATAAATATAATTAACGATTTATTAATCAAACGGCTAAGTAAATGAGAACGGGAATTAACAGCAGAGTGCAACGAAACAGCGTTATTCTAATCTCAAATAAACGAAGTGCAGTCCGTAAGTACGAGTAACTGCAATGAATTCCCAACCCGTACGAGCCGTACCGAGTTTGGCCTTGCCTAGCCCGACAGAAATCCGCTCTCTAGATATTACACACCGGCGCCGTATACCTGAGTAAATTGTTTGGTTATTTTATTGATTATAAGAAGTCAATATTCAAAACGACCCAATTCATTTTCCCGAAAATTTGGGAATACAATAATTTTATTCATAGTATTACACTACATCTATCCCAACTGATATACGTGTCCTTGCAAAAATGTTGATGACGTCATCACAATTTTTTTTTTAATTCCCACTACAAAAATGTAATGAGAAAAAAAACACAATAGGCATGCAGTCGTCAAGTTTCCGACAGCGAGGGAAGTACTGTCTAAACTCTTTAGACCAATTTTTTTTTGTTCTGTTTCTAATGATATATTGCACAATTACTTAATAACATATGTCATAATACTATTACCAGAACAAGAAGCGTTTGGTAATTAGTACAGATATATTTTGTACGGATAGACTGTAATTGCTATTGACGTAGCTATTATTTACTCTTGTTTGTCATTATTGCATTAAAGTAACTGCAGGAACCCCTAGTGTATCTCGAATGGTGTTTTTCGTGACATAAATGTTATAGCTTCGTATTAGTACAGTCTATTCCATGTACATACAGGCGCCCCCAAGTGGACGCGTACGCGTTATTTATGGTTTACCGCGCAAATTTCCGCCGCTTCGTTACACGAACGTTATAAATAAGAATTCTTCGTCTCCCAAACCATATTTCTGCAACTAATAACAAGGACCCGTCTCTGAACCATCACTATTTTGTGGACGTAATAATTCCCGTTCAGCGGCTTTAAAAGCGAATTTTCACGTGGCGTATATCGAGTTTTATGAAACCGTAATTACTGGACTCGTAATAAATCTTAATTACTCACAATTTAGTGGCTGTATTTCCCTTAATTGATTAATGCCAACTAACTCCATGCCGAACAAAATTACTCCTGGGGTTAGTGATATGAGGAAATAGAAAACGTTTTAATTCGGGGTTTTTGCAGCGAACAACAAGGTGGATAACGAAAACTTGCTTTATGTGTACGATTATTAAAACAAAAGTAAACATACGCATTGATTGGATTTTCTTGTTTAAGAATTTTTTGTGGGTCAGGTTCTCTCGTTCCCACGCTTTGTCTGGGACTGAAAATTGAAACCCTGACACGAAATTTTCCTGAAAGGTCGTAGGGTAAACCCTGACCCCGTCGCCGAGAGAGCTAGTGTACATCTTTGCAACAGGTTTTAGCTTCATGACTTAAGTTTGGTTGCGTCAGTACGAGCTCGTTTTACTTATGACGTCATACTATTCGTTTCAGCTTGAAAATTATGTGTAAATTTCCTGGCGACGTTTTTTTTTACAACGTGTGTGTTTTAATTAGGCACTTAGTAATAAAGTTAACAACTAACCCAGCGAGTCCAGCCCTCACACGGGTGTAAACTAGTGTCGTGCCGATCGCCCCAGCTGATAGAAATGGTCATTAACATGTGTACAGTCGTAATTTATGTGGCGCCCCTCCCCTACATTGTCCTGTTTGTATTCTATACGAAAAATTATTCCTCTGGCTTTATTAATAAAATCGACATTCACGCTCCGACACACACTCCGCTTCTGCGAGTTACTAATGACTCGGAGGGCTAATTAAGATTAATTACTGGCGTGTACAAGCACACCCCGGCCGACGCAGATATTGATATCCTTCAAAAAGAGAGAACCAGAGGCGCATTAATTAATATTTTCGGTATTCCGACTTTGATGTTCGATATATACATATCTGAAAAATCGAAGGGCGCCGGATCGAGCGTTCTTCTCCGCCGCATTTGGCTCCCTATAAAAAGTGTCGAACATGACGATGAATGATAATATTTGCCGAGCACGCATCCCAGGTAGTTTGTTCGCTTTTATTAGTGTCGTAGATATTCGATGACTTCATTATTTCCCGATCAATTCCAGCTTACAGCATCTCGTACAGCGTGTATAAAACCGCAAGCTTTTAGTAGTTATGATGCGGCGTTTATTGGCTTTGCTCACTTAAGAGGTTTTACTTTCGAGATTGAAACCGAGGCGTGATTTCCTGTTTATTCTGTTTTTGACTCGAGAAGCGAGACGACAAGCAGTTATTAGTTGCAGAAATGTGGTTTAGAAGACGACGAATTCTTATTTATGCGCGGTAAACGATAAATAGCGCGTCCACTTGGGGGCGCCTGTGCGAACATGGAATACGTCCAACCCGACTGCACTGACGCGTAGCTGTTGCATTTACGGCTACTTTTTCATCCACCGCCGCCCCTGCTGAGCCTCATCAAGTCGTGTCATTCGCAAGACTGCGAGTTAATGGGCGCACCTAGACCCCACCCGGTTCGATATCCTGCAACTTGCATTGTTTTGTCCTGCATGAACAGGATATTGAATAACTTCCCACAACTGTCACAGAGTGCCCGAATAAATCAGCAGTAATAGAGTTATGGCTAGTAATAATTGAATCTGTTGATGCTAGTTTGGTGCGTGAGATGACTAATTAAATTTCGCTTTGTAGATTCGGTGATTATGTTGCGGTAGCAATTTTTAGTGGAAATGTAAAGTTTCGACTGTTGTTATTAGATGAGCGAGTTTATGGCTGTTTTAGGAGTTACGTTGACTTAACGCTGTGTCGTTGACGTTTACGTCTATTTTTATGGGAGGCTGTAAAGTCGGAATTATGGACGATGTGAATAGGAAATTAGGTTGGTGGTTAAAAAGTTTTATTTTTTAAGGGGGGTTTAATGCGCTGTCGCTTTCGGAAAGTGGGGCGGAGTATGTACTTCAGCTTTGCACTAAACAGCCAAGACAAGTTCGCGACGTACACACTCTCGGGCCTAAATTTTACGACCACCAAGCACGTGTAGACTTTTTCAAACCCTCGTAAATTTGAGGTAAGCAATGAAATATCGTGCAAATCGTCGCCTAAAAGAACTTTTATTTTTAGTAGTTATATAGTGGGTCTTCTCGATCACTTTTTCGTACTCAAGCTGCGCAATTTAGTGGCGGTGTTTGTCCAGCACACACCGTTTTTCCTGAAGTTGCTCGAGCAAAAAACCGTCCAAAATACAGCGAGTTCCAACTTTCGTTGTTTAAAAGGCACGACGGCGCGTCATTATTTTCCTCCAGCACAACGAACCCAAGCGAAAAAAGGTGGAGGCGCCGGGGACGCTTGTCTCTCTTCCTTCCGTAAAAACTTCCCCAATTCATTATGTTAATCTCGTTAAGAAAAATCCATCCCGTCTGCAGATGCAAGTTCTCAGGGTGGCTTTTAGTTAAATACGGCTCGACGTAATCCGTTTACAATATTTAACATAACAAACGAATGAACACAACGAAATAGAAAAATGAACGGCTCCGATAGAAAATTCCCCCGCATCCGGTGAATAATGCACACTTCGCGACCCTTCCGAGTCGATAATATTGTTCTCCGAGCAAAAAAAAGAAACGCAAAGTGCGCCAGATAAAACAGCACACGTCATGCAAATAAATTACGCTTCTTACGAAAGGTTTCCTGGGACTCTAATGCGGATTAGAGGAAGGACTGGAATCTATCAACAGATTTGCGGAGCTTGCCCGGGAAGTAGGCGCTAATTGAGTAAAATCTCGAGCACAAGTTTCGTTTTACAACAAGTGGCGGCACTTTCCACTTTTTCTTTTGCACTCATAAATTTTACTGAAGTGTAGTCACTTACGGGGATAATAATGTTCGCTGTAAAGAGATTTTTTTCGGTTTTTTTTAGTGCGGAAGCGTTCGGGGATGTTTGGCTTTCTAAACGATGTTTAAATCGCGCCGATTTGATGTGGGCTTTATTAGTTTCAAAAGCAATAAAGCAAACAAAATCCCGCTATTGATAACTCCGGTTTTAAATTTGTTGGTTGGGAAAAATGGAAATGTTTAGAGGAGTTTTAATCCAGTCATCGTGTTTTTACGAGCGATGGTTATCGTTGGTTTTATGAGTAAATCAAAAGCTAACAGAGGGCGATTATACGTTATGTAGGTGCTTTTGTTAGTTGTAGTTGAGGTGGAGTTTAATTTATCAGTTATCAGATGTTTGTTAAAATTAGTAATTTAGACGACACTATCGAATAAACGAACTTTTAGAGCTCAAGAAGTAGACTAGAAGAAACACGCGAAGCGGAAAACAAAAAAAAATAGAAAAAATAGACGTGAGATTCGTTGAATTAAGACTTTGATAAGACAATTCCTGTTGCAACTTCTAGAGAAAACAACAAAAAAATTCCTTGGTAGCAATTCATGGAAAAGTTAGTTTCTAATCAGAAGTTAGATTAGAGATGAATTTCAACGTTCATGAAAGATTGAGGGTGAAAGAAAAAGTTAGTAAACATCAAATAAGCTCTAGCCTGTGATTTTTTGTTTTCATTTTCTCAAATTCGTTTCCAATATTGTTTTTCCAATTTTCCACAAAAATCAATCTTTTTCAAGAGTGAATCAAAATCATCCAGCAGAATTTCTATCTCGAGAAAAATATTCCCGGAAGTAGGTGGATGAAACTCGACCCTGGGGTGGGTTTTTCTTTCTACAACGATAAAATATCGGTACCGATAAAATGTGGTCGTCTTTTTCTTTCGCATCTGAAATTTATATTTTCGTCCTTGTCATTTATCGCTTCGTATCGTATCAGTGGAAACAAGATTCCACTCCTGGTTTCAGAAATTTCGTTAAAAATTCGTTGGTGTTGCTGTTCTTGAAGCTAATTTTTTAGGGATACTCATTTATACGATAAAATTATTTCGTTAGACTGGTACTATTAAGAGGAAATCAGGAAGTCGCACTTTAACAAAACTCGTCCGACAAGTTATAGATGATAATCCCCACACATCTTTAAAAATGAAGACCAAAAGAGGGAAAGAAAATTATTTCTTTTGGGACCAGGGGTGGGATTTTGTTTCTACAACGATAAAATATCGGTACCGATAAAATGTGGTCGTCTTTTACTTTCGCATCTGAAATTTATATTTTCGTCCTTGTCATTTATCGCTTCGTTATCGCTTCGTATCGTATCAGTAGAAACAAAATCCCATTCCTGGGGTGCGATGTTGTTTCTCGATCTAGTGATAAATTATCAATTGCGATAAATGTCATTGCGTAGCTTTTAAATGCAAAAGTTTGCATTTATTCTTTGCATATAAGCTTATTAAATGCTCAAAGGTTTACAATTACATTAATTTTAAGAACTTATAACTCAGAATTACGATTTTGAACTTCTATTTTGACATAAATTTCGAGGTTATGTCTCCAAAATTTATCACTTCACTCAGAGATATCGAGAAAATATCGCTCCATGAAGACATGATTTCGTGACAGAATCGAGAAATGTGACAGAAATGTAGCATCTCAGCCAATTGGTAAAGGAGATTTTATCGCTATCGAGTTTCTAAATCGAAGTGATAAATTATCACTTGCGATAAATGTCATTGCGTAGCTTTTGAATGTAAAAGTTTGCATTTATTCTTTGCATATATTCATTAAATGCCCAAAAGTTTACAATTACCTTAATTTTAAGAACTTATAACACAGAATTACGATTTTGAACTTCTATTTTGACATAAATTTCGAGGTTATGTCTCGAAAATTTATCACTACTCAGAGCTATCGAGAAAATATCACTCCATGAAGACTTGATTTCGTGACAGAATCGAGAAATGTGACAGAAATGTAGCATCTCAACCAATCAGTAAACGAGATTTTATCGCTATCGAGTGTTTCTAAATCGAAGTGATAAATTATCACTTGCGATAAATGTCATTGCGTAGCTTTTAAATGCAAAAGTTTGCATTTATTCTTTGCATATATTTATTAAATGCTCAAAAGTTTACTATTACCTTAATTTTAAGAACTTATAACACAGAATTACGATTTTGAACTTCTATTTTGACATAAATTTCGAGGTTATGTCTCCAAAATGTATCTCTTTACTCAGAGCTACCGAGAAAAGATCACTCCATGAAGACTTGATTCGTGACAGAATCGAGAAATGTAGCATATTAACCAATCAGCAAACGAGATTTTATCGCTATCGAGTTTTTTTCGATCGAGAAACAAAATCGCACCCCTGGTTTCAGAAATTTCGTTAAAAATTCGTTGGTGTTGCTGTTCTTGAAGCTAATTTTTTAGGGATACTCATTTATACGATAAAATTATTTCGTTAGACTGGTACCATTAAGAGGAAATCAGGAAGTCGCACTTTAACAAAACTCGTCCGACAAGTTATAGATGATAATCCCCACACATCTTTAAAAAGGAAGACCAAAAGGGGGAAAGAAAATTATTTCTTTTGGGACCAGGGGTGGGATTTTGTTTCTACAACGATAAAATATCGGTACCGATAAAATGTGGTCGTCTTTTACTTTCGCATCTGAAATTTATATTTTCGTCCTTGTCATTTATCGCTTCTTCGTCATCGCTTCGTATCGTATTGCTTGAAACAAAATCTCACCCCAGGGGTGCGATTTTGTTTCTCGATCGAAGGGATAAATTAAATGTCATTACCTATGTTTTAAATGCAAAAGTTTGCATTTATTCTTTGCATATAAGCTTATTAAATGCTCAAAAGTTTACAATTACCTTAACTTCAATAACTTATAACTCAGAATTACGATTTTGAACTTCTTTTTTGACATAAATTTCGAGGTTATGTCTCCAAAATTTATCACTTTACTCAGAGCTGTCGAGAAAAGATCGCTCCATGAAGACTTGATTTCGTGACACAATCGAGAAATGTGACAAAAATGTAGCATCTCAACCAATCAGCAAACGAGATTTTATCGCTAACGGGTTTTTTTCGATCGAGAAACAAAATCGCACCCCAGGGGTGCGATTTTGTTTCTCGATCGAAGTGATAAATTATCACTTGCGATAAATGTCATTGCGTAGCTTTTAAATGCAAAAGTTTGCATTTATTCTTTGCATATAAGCTTATTAAATGCTGAAAAGTTTACAATTACCTTAATTTTAAAAACTTATAACTCAGAATTACGATTTCGAACTTTTATTTTGACATAAATTTCGAGGTTATGTCTCCAAAATTTATCACTTCACTCGGAGCTATCGAGAAAATATCACTCCATGAAGACTTGATTTCGTGAAAGAATCGAGAAGTGTCTCACCAACTCAGCCTCTCAACCAATCAGCAAACGAGATTTTATCGCTATCGAGTTTTTTTCGATCGAGAAACAAAATCGCACCCCTGGTTTCAGAAATTTCGTTAAAAATTCGTTGGTGTTGCTGTTCTTGAAGCTAATTTTTTAGGGATACTCATTTATACGATAAAATTATTTCGTTAGACTGGTACCATTAAGAGGAAATCAGGAAGTCGCACTTTAACAAAACTCGTCCGACAAGTTATAGATGATAATCCCCACACATCTTTAAAAAGGAAGACCAAAAGGGGGAAAGAAAATTATTTCTTTTGGGACCAGGGGTGGGATTTTGTTTCTACAACGATAAAATATCGGTACCGATAAAATGTGGTCGTCTTTTACTTTCGCATCTGAAATTTATATTTTCGTCCTTGTCATTTATCGCTTCTTCGTCATCGCTTCGTATCGTATTGCTTGAAACAAAATCTCACCCCAGGGGTGCGATTTTGTTTCTCGATCGAAGGGATAAATTAAATGTCATTACCTATGTTTTAAATGCAAAAGTTTGCATTTATTCTTTGCATATAAGCTTATTAAATGCTCAAAAGTTTACAATTACCTTAACTTCAATAACTTATAACTCAGAATTACGATTTTGAACTTCTTTTTTGACATAAATTTCGAGGTTATGTCTCCAAAATTTATCACTTTACTCAGAGCTGTCGAGAAAAGATCGCTCCATGAAGACTTGATTTCGTGACACAATCGAGAAATGTGACAAAAATGTAGCATCTCAACCAATCAGCAAACGAGATTTTATCGCTAACGGGTTTTTTTCGATCGAGAAACAAAATCGCACCCCAGGGGTGCGATTTTGTTTCTCGATCGAAGTGATAAATTATCACTTGCGATAAATGTCATTGCGTAGCTTTTAAATGCAAAAGTTTGCATTTATTCTTTGCATATAAGCTTATTAAATGCTGAAAAGTTTACAATTACCTTAATTTTAAAAACTTATAACTCAGAATTACGATTTCGAACTTTTATTTTGACATAAATTTCGAGGTTATGTCTCCAAAATTTATCACTTCACTCGGAGCTATCGAGAAAATATCACTCCATGAAGACTTGATTTCGTGAAAGAATCGAGAAGTGTCTCACCAACTCAGCCTCTCAACCAATCAGCAAACGAGATTTTATCGCTATCGAGTTTTTTTCGATCGAGAAACAAAATCGCACCCCAAGTCATGTGAAGTGACGAAACTTCTAGTAATTTGGAAATTTTTTAAATTTTATGGCAGGTCACCATCATGATAGAGTTAAAACAAGAATTTTCGACAACAGTAGAAAAAAATATATATAAAAAGTTACAGCTTGAGTCAAAATTCGATAAATCAATCTGCATTAAGTGCTAATTTGTGTATTTTGCAACACGAATTAAAAGTGTACGTTAACAAATAAACCATTTTCTGCTGCAATGCATAAATTACAAACTTCCGGGATACTTTAAGCGGCTTATTCCGAACAGTCCAGTTGACTGTGTAACGGAATAATAGTGAAATAACGTACCCATTTCCTACTCGCCTATTTCCCTCTTTTTACATTATAAATTTACCATCACTAATAAGCACGAAAGCTTTACAAATTACGTTTACACACTTACTCAGCGTGTAATAAATTGAGTAACTTTTCCCCGGACCTTAATTAACTTTAGTCCAAATTTAAATTCGAATTTTAGCACTAAATGGACAAAAGCGCATAACAAAATGTTTAATGCAAACAATAGTCGGTATTTTCGACAATCGAAAATTCTAAATGCATTTGTATTATTAACAATATCCTATTTACTAATAAAATGCGTTGTTTATTCAAAAACCAAACCCGTTTCATTACAAAATTTTTGAAAATATTGTTCAATAAAAAAAACAGACAATCCGGAAAATGTTCAAAAATAATAAAATTTTGCCCGGCGCATCCACCATTATGCTCCTCTTGGGTTTGGCGAAATCTACCAACCCATAAAATTTTCTCTTGCTTAAAGAAGTTTTTTTCTATATTTTATTTTCACAGAATTAATAATAATATATACTATAAAATTTTTATTATAACAAAGGTTAGATACAAAAAATAATAATTTAATAGTCGTTCGTGGAATTGTGCATGCTTGTTTTAAATTATGTACCAAACCCTGTGTGTTTATCTATAAATCGAAAAGCGGCATTAATAAATGAAATTATTTTCTGCTATAACATTATTAATTAAAACGCAGTAAATTTAATAAGCCTTCTGATCGAGGCGCCAACATAGTTGACAAAATGCGTCAAATTCGTCTAAAATATTTTCGGTGTCGTGGGCGTGCGCAGCGTGTATTCGTGGTAAACGGGGTTTGTCTCATGAACACGTGAACTCCATCCACTGCAAAAATTCGTCGTTTCAAAAAAACAAAATCAATTACAAGACGAAAACCAACAAAAATATTTACAAATCATTTACTTTTAATTACTTTACTTACATTACAAGCGATTATTTTCGTAACAAACTTCGCATCATATACCCTTCGATTATGAATTTATTTTCCATTAACCCCCAAAAAACCTAGTACAACCCACCAATCCGCCACAACAACAACTTCTTCAGCGCAAAAACCTTAACCTAAAACTCACCGAAACTCGCGTCAAAGTGGGAAAAGTGTCCGCAAGTTCAGGCCTCGCCGGTATCCGCACACATGTGACACTCCAGTCGCACTGCAGCACTCACTTTAGCACCGGTGGTACGTCTGAGGCGAGGGAAACGGAAAGTTCTCCAGACCAGCACCGATGGATTGTCGCTGGAGCTGCTGTGGGGTGGTCGGAGCGCGGCAGTGCTGCTTCCACGACGGCCCTCAACACAGTGAAGAGGCGGCCGGCGGCGGCGTGCGATTCTCATGTCCCATGTGCGCGAGAGTCGGGGGTGGAAGTCGCGATCCGCACAAATTTCAAGACGAATCATTGGTATTCATCGATTCTGGAAGTGGGTGAAAGTGGGCCGGTGGGGTGGGGCGGTGGGAAAATTATAGAAACTGGGGTGTGTTTTTTTTTGGTTTATTGGAAGAGTTATTGGCGGTGGGAGTTTTAAAGTTGCGTTTTTATGTCGGCGGGGTTTTTCTGCACGGGCGGGTTTTAAGGTAACTAAAGGCCATTTGAATAAGAGGATGGGAAATCGTGGAAGTTGGCAGATGACAGATTTGGCGGTAGAAAAGTTAAAGACAAAGATCGATAAAAATATGTTAATTGCATATTTTCAATTCAACGGACAATTGTAGTGGACGTCCGATCTTTTCCTGATCCTGATTCTAAATGAGTTCAGTTAGTCACTGAGAAGTACTCAGGAAAAATATTTCATTTAAAACAATGGAAAGCTACCTTTAATTTTAATTTTGAAGGTTTTTAATTAGGAAGCGCCTACGGAGGAGCAAGTAAAAAAACAAATCCATTTTTTTTACACGACAAAACAAAAAAACTTTTATTATTAAAAAACATCATTAACCTAATCTTGTGTTAAAATACTAAAAAACGAAAAAAGAAAAATGAAAAATTACAAAATTCCTAATTAAATTTTATTATCACTAGTCAAGTCACTTGGACTACATTAAGGATGACCGTTAAAATACAAAATTATTAAAGCCAACTATAAAATACAAAAATTAATGAAAATAGATAGACTTTAATTTAAATTACTTTCGAAAATTTATACAGTAACACCAAAAACATTTTAAAACCGACTATTCTACTCTAAGTTTCAAACTTAGATGACTGAACGTAACATTAAATATGTATTTATAGCAATAAATATTAATCTCTTAAATGCATATACAAATTTTGGATAAAGTGGACGGTCATGTTGAGGTTAACTAATGCAAAATTTATACGACTATTTAAAAATGAATCTTTGTGTATAGATTTTCACGAACGTTAATTTTACTCATTTTCTCTCAATAATGAAGTTTTACTTCTCATGTGTTATTAAGATTTCTTACACAACCGCATAATAACAGTTCTTTTGCAGCAGTTAAAGCTATTTTATGTGGGAAAAATAGAAAGGTTTAATTACTCTACACTTAACTTATTTATTTGCCTTGAAACCAGCAACTTTGTGATTTAACGAAAACTTATGAGCTCGTTTTTTAGCATATGACGTCACAGATTACCATTATTACGTATTAAGAAATACTGTTATAAACTTTTTGAATATTTGCCAATATTGACAATAAATTTAACGTTGGTGATATCGTCTCCAAACCCGCGGAGTAAAGAGCGCAATGATAACGTTACGCTATTCAATATTCCTTAATCGCCTGCCACCGAGATAGCTGAAAAAGTTGCAGAAGATCTTAATCAGGTTATGAAAATTTTATCACCTTCAGGATCTTATCCCCAGTCTAATAAAATTATTAGAGTTGCTCCCGAGACACCCAACACGACTAAACCCTAAAAATCATTTACGATTCTGAAATAACTGCTAATGATATTGTGAGACGAAATAAATCAAATTTTATCCGTAATTCCCACTTTCGGTCGGCATAAATACAACAATTACGTACGAAAAATAATAAAATAATTTTTATGTAATTGCCTGTTAATCAAATCGCCATGATTTTATTTGACCCCAAAGTTTGATCCACGTGGTAGAGCTATAATTCATGGTGTCCGATTTAAAATCGGATAAACACAATTTTAACAGTCTAAAAGACACAAAAACGTTGCAAACATGCTAAATAAGAGTCTTATAGTTCATAACTGGCGATATAAAGCCGTAAAATTGCTTTTTGGAACTTCTACCTAATTCTAGTTAACGTCAAAATTATGGAAAATTTGCTTCACTCACCTCGGGTTTCAACTGCACACGATGTTTCCAACATTTTTAAAGTCCCTGTGAACTTTTTGCGCACTTTTTGTTTAAATTTTTGGAAAAATGCCAAAATTTTCGCGGAAGGAATCGAAACCGACGCGCCATCTTTGAAAAGTTGAAACTAGGAATAGTTCTACCAGGTGGTTTAAGGTTTAGGCAAACCTGTCAAATTTCTCAAATTATTAAATTAAGTTTTTGAACATATTGTCCGTCTTTTTTGCAATTATTTATGATACTTTCCTTTATTTGACAAAATATAGCTATTAAATTGCTTACGTACTTAATTTTGCTGCTACATAATTGCAATTATTTATATAAATACAATAGCAGATTTTATTCGAAAAACATAAAATCGGTTAATTAGTGCCACAGAAAACATTGTAATTTGTAGAAATGGACCATAATTACCTACATAAATTACAATACAATGATATTTTTCTTCTCTAATTAATCGTAAAATTTTTTATCTCCCAATACTTGAACAAAAATTTTCTTTTTAAACAGAACACCACTCAGTCAAACACGACAATGGATGCACCAGTCGCAATGGTTCTTTTTTGCGTGGTGTTTACAGACTTACAGTCATGGCACAACATCAACATCACCACGTAGGCAAAACCTGAACTTTTTCCATTTTTTTCCTCGAAATCTTTTTTTAGATGTCATTTAACACCAGCTACTCGGTACGTAAAAATCAACATTTTCGTAAACAGATAAGTAATACAATTTTTTAACATTGTTCACTTTGTTTAGTATGCGGTTCACTCTAAAACCCAAGACCATCAAAGTGTAGGACCAAGACCTAATCAGGTATTTTTTTCTATGTTTGTTCAAATTTTTCACTTTTCTATTTATCAATTTCCTTGCATATAACAACTTGTAAAGTAGGTACAACACACTACATTTTACTTTTTTCTTAAGGTGGGAATATCTCCACAGATTAATCTAGAAGTTCATCAAGTCGTAAGACCAAGACCTATTCAGGTAAGTCAAGAAAAATTCGCTCTTTTCCACTATTTGTTTCCTACTTTTCTGTTTAATCTACACACTTATACAACTTGTTAAAATACAGCACACTACATTTTACTTTTCCTAAAGGCTGCACCCCAGAAGCAATTTGATACGTTCAATGTGAAAATACCACCTAGAGCGGTAAGTCAAAAAAACGTCGTTGTTTTTTTTTTTAACTTGGTTGTTTTCTTTTTGTTTTTGTTTTTGTTTCGGTATAACCACCGGCACTTTGTATTCATAACTACCAAAAGTAGTTTGCAAATATGTAGTAAGTTATTAGATAAAGTTTATTTTATGGGCATGCCTCATAGGTGTATCAAACATGGAGAGGGAAAATAAACACAATTTGGGTCCTGGGTGGTGTTTTTCTTCCGATTTGAAGTATTCCGCTTACATTTATTAGAAATATCAAAATAGAGGGAATGTTTGATGGTAAACTCTTGCACCCAGACCTGCTCTATTTCTTGTCAGGATGGTACACTGGGTCGCACAAGTCGATACAGCTACCATCGACTATGATCCATTGTGGGCATTTCAATGAATCGTGGTCCTTGTTTTTGGCAAGTTCGATGATTCTTTGTAGAAGTACTTTGCCCATTTTTATCTATGGGGAAAGTAGTGTAAAGGTTCGATTTGAAGAAGAGTTAAGAACTTACGCTTAGTCTACACGCGGAGCTTTTGTCGATGCTTAGTTCTTCTGCTAGAACCACAACACAGAAGAGAAGCAAAAGACTTGTCGCTGTCATTTTGTTTTTGTTGGGGGAAAATACTAACTGTGGCACGTACAAGCGGGTACTTAATAACGGTAGTAAAAAATATATAAATAAAGAATAAAAAGCAGGAATGTTAAAAAACAATATATCATAAAACACTTTAACATTGTGTACTTAAGTACTGTATTATTATGTTTCTTTTCACGAGAAATATACTTAAATAAACTCAAACAAAGGCGTTTTGAAGCAATAAAGTTGTTCAAAACACAGAAAAACACAAAATAAGCGCTTTTTAGTTTCATATTCATTTCTAATTGCCCGAATAATCGATATCTTTGAGTTGTCTCATACTTGAAGTTCGTTTTGCCTGTGAACTGTGTTAACGATTGGTTGTAGTTGCAGCGTTTCAACGAATGCATGGAATATTAAAACTTCCGACCATTAAAAAATTTATGTTCGACTTTAAATGCTGTCCAAACGGCCCTTCAAAGTGATGGCTCTATTCGACGCAAACTAAACTTAATACGTTTTACTTTCCAACGCGAAAAAACGCAGACTCATAATTAATAACTGGGTTTTTAACTAAATAAAAAAACATTTTTTTCCATTTTTAAGTCATTTTTATTTTACTACCGCTACAATAACATTAAAAAATATCTCCTTTAAATGTTTAAACTAGTTATTTTTTCTTCTTTAACAACTCAATCCCTTTTGGCTTCAATTTACTATCCAGTATTTGTTGCCTCCTCTCGCTCTCTTTTCGTGTCAACTCCTCGTGTCTTTCCACCGCAAAATCGATTTCCGCCGTCAAATTGTGAATCTGTTCGGCTATTTGTTGTTGCTTAACAATCCTCTTCATTTGACCTATACCATAAGGGGTAGGCCTTCCATCCAAAAATGAGTAGTCGGGGGCGTCCGTTAACACCCCCTCGGAATTGGGGTTCAAAGGCAGGCCCCTCTCCTTCCTCCATCTCTGATTTAAGTGGAAAGACAAAGTTTTGGGGACAGGCTTCCTCACAGAATTTATAAATCTGGCTGCTACAACTGCAACACAAGGGGGTAAGAAACGGATAAAGTTGTTGTAAATCGACAAACCGTAACTAATAGGTGGCTGTAACAGCGGTTTTCGCCACATTTTTTAAATTACTGCTTGAGTTCAATTGCTGAAAAAGTGAGGTTATGAATTAGACACAGGACGGGATCGTGGAGGTTTAAATTTGTTAAGTGATAAGTAACAACAAAATAAATATTGTAATGACGTGTGGACGACTGTTGTATAGTTGTAATTATTATATAATTGTTTATGTTAAATGAAAAAGTTTGATTTTTTGCTAATTCTAGGACGCATGCACGCAACCAACCTGTGGTAGAAATCCCCACAGCTCGTTTTACAATAATATTTACAAAACATGTAATAATTTAATCCAAAAGTGAAACTCTTGTAAAAATGTATGTTTTTATTATAAACAATCAGAACAAAAATGTTAGAAAATTAGTTTATAAAATAGTAGCGCTTTACTTTCTGCTACGTGTATAGTTGGTTGCCTATGTTTCAGTATACTACCATCTTAATTCTCAATCTCATTTAACTCAATTTATCCAAATAAAACCAAGTCATAGTTAAATATAGAACTTTATTTGTAAAGTGATTAACGCACTGACGAGTATGTGGTAAAAAAATATAAATTGTAATACTTAAGTTCAGACATATTTAATTTCAAAAAATGCAAATGGAATTAGTTTCTACTTTTACCTATAATAAAAATAGAAATCAACATGTACTCTTACCCTTAGACTAACGTTAAAGTAACTTCAGACAACGTTTTTAACATGACGTCACAAATCCACCTGTGACGTCATTACTTAACTACAAAATTTAAAAAAACAGAAACCTAACGAGACTCTCCTCCTAAACTGCCACCCTCTTCTTAAGCACCTGATCTTCAAACCTCCCATACTCATCCCCAATCATCCCCAAATCCACATTAGCATCAATGGTAAAAACCGGCGCCGGACACTCATACAACCTCTTATGATACAACCAATCCTCATGAATCTCATGCAAACTCTTAATATACTCAAACGGAACCTTCCTCTCCTCCGCCCTATCCCTCTTCAAAATCCTCTCATACACCACCTCCGGGTCAGTCCTCAAGTACACGAACAAATCCACCCCCACCGCCTGCTCCTGCTTGATCCACTTGAACCACTCGTCGATGACTGAGTACTCCGGACTGGCCATGATTCCGTCCCGCCTCAGCTTCTCCACGAAACAGTAGCGCGCACTGAAGATGGACCGCTCCAGGAAGCGAAACTTCGTCGAGCACTTCTGGGTGTGCGCCTGAAGCAGAGTGAGCTGCACGTAGGACTGGAACGTGAAACTGTACCTCTGGGGGTCCTGGTAGAGCAGGTCGAGGAGGTTGTGGCCTTGGCAGTTGCGCCACTTTTCGAGGGGCTCGGAGAAGACTGTGACGTTGCCGAGTTTCTCGATGTGTCGGAGGAAAGTGGACTTGCCGCTGCCGATGTTGCCCTCCACGGCGATGGTGCAGGGCCGGTCGAGTGAGGGGGCTCTTCGCATGGTTGAGAGGAGTCTTCTAATGAACATAACTCACGGAAAGAAGAATGAGTGTGGAGGCATTCGAACGAGGGGGCGTGCGTGTGGTGACAAGTTGAATTAATACCGATTATTTAGAGATTAGATTCGATTTTTTTTTGAGGTTATGATTTTGGTGGCGGGATTGACATTTGAGAGAGGTGCAATGTTGCGTAATTTTGGTGTTGCAGGGTTGGCAACACGAGTCAATTATTCCAAACAAAAACATAGAAATAATTATTATGGACTAAGTAACTCCAGTGCGGCTTTACTAGTCATGATAATTTCTTGAAAATAATTTAGCAAGTCTGGTAGCGCCGTTTTTTTTCATTCCAATTTGGTTATTGGGTTTCTGGTGATATTTGTCAGTGCTACCAATAGCACTTCATTGAAATTACCAAACGCGTTGACTTATTGTTGGTTTTCTAGATACTCAGAAATTTCAATAAACTACAACCATTCGCTGCTTAGCAAATTCTCAATCTCACCTTTGTCTCAAATTCCAAATGTCATTTTCATACGTCACTTTTGACACATGTCAGATAACAAATGTCAAAGAGTCACCATCATCATGGCGACAAAGCGCCGACCCCTGCACCAAAAATTGAATTTCCGCCCTAACACGAGCGACAACAACCTGGAGTACCGCGGCACGAAACCAACATGTGAGCCGACCTCCATCAAAGAGACCATGATGCTCATGGTGCTCTACCTGTGCAAGAAATCGCTCTTCTTCGACACTAACCTCAAAGTGGCGATCTACCTCGGGACCCTTTTCCTGCTCTCTTTGTTCGCGGACTTCGCCAGCGTGCCCAAGATGTACCTATCCCGCTCCGACAACATCTTCAACAAGTTCTTCGTGAAGTTCGCCTGGGGCTGGAACCTCCTCCTGCTCGTCCCGTTCGTGGTCTTCACCACGTACATCTACTGCTGTGGCCAGAAACAGCGGATAATCAAGCACCACTTACTCAGAATCTGCATCGCGACGTTCTTCTGGTGGTTCTGGACGACTTTGTTCAACGTGGTGGAGGCGTCGTTTGGACGGTGCAACCACAGGCAGTTCGGCACCAAGGGGTCCTGTTTACAAGCCGGACACGTCTGGAACGGCTTCGACGTCTCGGGACACACGTTCATCCTCATCTACGGGAGTCTCCTACTTATTGAGGAGACCCGCTGCATGGAGAACTGGGACAGCATCAAGGAGCACCTGCGTCTGGAAAACCACCACCGAGTGTCCAGAGACCCCTCCCAGAATCTTAACCCTTTGCGAAATTTATCAGACCCAGAAATGCACGACTTGCAACTAAACTACAAGAAATACACCCCGTATATACGGGGGCTGTTCATTACCATCACTCTCTTCCAAATAATGTGGGACGTGATGCTGGTGTGCACGATGCTGTACTACCACATCATGATTGAAAAGTTTCTGGGGGGCGCTTTGGCCATCTTGACGTGGTTTTTCACGTACAGGATGTGGTATGTGCACCCGAAGCTCTTCCCGAAGTTGCCGGGGCAGGGGGTTTTCAAGTATATTAAGAAGAAGGGGGAGCCGCAGGCGGTTCCCAGGAGGAGAACTGGGAGTGTGGTGAACGGGCGGGGGCCGTTGTTCATGGGGCGGCCGATTTACCCGCAGCAGGAGGCGGCGCAGGAAGAGTCGTCGGCGCAATAACGTTGTAGTTAGGTTTGCTGTTGATTTTATTAATGAAGTACAATTTTAATGGTGACTGATTCGAATGGGTTTTTTTTGTACAAATTCACTGGATTGTTTTTGTGTATGACAAGTAGGGCCGGCGGTAGCTGCCGGTTGGGGTTCAACAATCTGTGATCCTGGTAGCGTTATCAATTTTATATCTGCAAATAATTCTAAATGTTAAAAATGTACACGAATACTTTTTACGGGGGTATACATATATGTAAATACGTAATTTATTGCTTAAGATGTTTTTGTGTTGTGGTGGTTCTGTGTTAGTGATTTGTATTTATTTTTATTTTTATTGCCTACTGCGGTAGGGGTGGTATTTAAAATACTAATTTTTTGGGTTGTTATACTTTATTTTTTGTTATTAAATTATTTTCAAGGAAATTTGGATTTTTTATTCGTGGACTTTGGCTGGCGATTCCGTCTGTCGCTCGTTAGCGATTTTATTAGACAGATAAATGGGTCGTCGAAACCGTCAAGCCGGTTATTATGGTGATTGCTAATCCCCACCAACAATTTAATGACGTTATCTCAAAGTTTTAGTAAATATTTGCTACTCAATTTTATACTTATATAAAATAACATATATCCACATTATTTTTACAATTTCACTTGTATAGAAACTATAAAACCGATTACTTTGAAGTCTTGTCGACGTTCCATTTTTATCGTCGTTTTTTTAACTTCCTTTTTAGTGGCATTGTTGTGGTTTTATCGTCACGATTTACCTTTGTTTGTGACCTTTTTAATGGTTCTTTTTATCGCCCTTTCTTGGCGTCTTTTTTATGCTCTTTTCTTGTCGTGTCGATTTTGCTGCTTTATTTTATTCATTTGTCAGATTTTTTTATAAACTTTTCTCGACTCTTCTTGCATTTCTTAACTTCTTTTTTTGGTGCATTTTTTGTGTCTTTTTTCCATCGTTTTTCTTCGGTCTTTTTTTGTCGGGTTTTGTTGCTTTTTCCTTACTTTTTTTTGGGTGTAGTACTTATTTTGTTGTTTTTGTCGTTTTTTTTGGTCACATTCTTCCGCTAATCACAAGTCTGAAATCCGCGTCACGATATCTGTTTCAATAAATACAAAAAGTGAATTCAAAATTTTCAAAAATATTCCAAAAAAATTGTTAAAATTGGTTCAATTAACTGAAAAATGGTGTCAAATTGTAGATAATCTTCCGCTACTTACAAATCTGTAATCGCCGTTACGACATCTGTTAAAATAAACACAAAAAATGAATTCAAAATTTTCAAAAATATTCCAAAAAAAGCATAAAATTGGTTCAATCGACCCAAAATTGGTGTCAAATTGTAGATAATCTTCCGCTAATTACAAGTCTGAAATCGCCGTCACGATATCTGTTTCAGTAAACACAAAAAGAGAATTCAAAATTTTCAAAAAAATGGTTAAAATCGGTTCAATCGACCGAATAAATTGGTGTCAAATTGTAGATAACCTTCCGCTAGTTACAAATCTGAAATCGCCGTTACGATGTCTCTTTCACTAAAGCAAAAAAAAGAATTCAAAATTTTCAAAAATATTCCAAAAAAACAGTTAAGATTTGCTCAATCAACCAAAAATTGGTGTTAAATTGTCGATAATTTTCCGCTAATTACAAGTCTGAAATCCCCGTCACGATATCTGTTTCAATAAACACAAAAAGTGAATTCAAAATTTTCAAAAATATTCCAAAAAAATGGTTAAAATCGGTTCAATCGACCGAAAAATGGTGTCAAATTGTAGATAACCTTCCGCTAGTTACAAATCTGAAATCGCCGTAAGGATATCTGTTTCAACAAACACGAAAAGTGAATTCAAAATTTTAAAAAATATTCCAAAAAAATGGTTAAAATTGGTTCAATCCGCCGAAAATTGGTGTCAAATTGCAGATAATCTTTCACTAATAACAATTGTGAAATCCCCGTCACGATGCCTGTTTCAATAAACACAAAAAGTGAATTCAAAATTTTCAAAAATATTCCAAAAAAATAGTTAAAATTGGTTCAATCCGCCGAAAATTGGTGTCAAATTCTAGATTATCTTTCGCTAGTTACAAGTCCGAAATCCCAGTCACGATGTCTGTTTCAGTCAGCACAAAACGTGAATTCAAAATTTTCAAAAATATTCCCAAAAATGGATACAATTGATTCAATCGACCGAAAATTGGTGTCAAGTTGTAGATAATCTTTCGCCAATAACAAGTGCGAAATCCCCGTCAAGATGCCTGTTTCAATAAACAGAAAAAGTGAATTCAAAATTTTCAAAAATATTCCAAAAAAATGGTTAAAATTGGTTCAATCGACCGAAAATTAGTGTCAAATTGTAGATAATCCTCCGCCGGTTACAAATCTGAAATCCCCGTAAGGATATCTGTTCCAACAAACACGAAAAGTGAATTCAAAATTTTCAAAAATATTCCAAAAAAATGGTTAAAATTGGTTCAATCCGCCGAAAATTGGTGTCAAATTGTAGATAATCTTTCGCTAATAACAAGTATGAAATCGCCGTCACGATGCCTGTTTCAATAAATACAAAAAGTGAATTCAAAATTTTCAAAAATATTCCAAAAAAATGGTTAAAATTGATCAATCCGCCGAAAATTGGTGTCAAATTGTAGATAATTTTTCGTTAATAACAAGTGTGAAACCCCCGTCATGATGCCTGTTTCAATAACCACAAAAAGTGAATTCAAAATTTTTAAAAATATTCCAAAAAAATTGTTAAAATTGGTTCAATCGTCCGAAAATTGGTGTCAAATCGTATATAATCTTCCGGTAATTACAAGTCTCAAATCCCCGTCACGATATCTGTTCCAGTAAACACAAAAAGTGAATTCAAAATTTTCAAAAATATTCCAAAAAAAATGGTTAAAATTGGTTCAATCGACCGAAAATTGGTGTCAAATTGTAGATAATCTTCCGCTAATCACAGGTTTGAAATCCCCGTCACGATTTCTGTTTGAATAAACACAAAAAGTGAATTCAAATTTTCAAAAACATTCCAAAAAAATAATAAAAATTGGTTCAATCGACCGAAAATTGGTGTCAAATTGTAGATAATCTTCCGCTAATTACAAGTCTGAAATCCCCGTCACGATATCTGTTTCAATAAACACAAAAAGTGAATGCAAAATTTTCAAAAATATTCCAAAAAAATGGATAAAATTGGTTCAATCGTCCGAAAATTGGTGTCAAATCGTACATAATCTTCCGCTAATTACAAGTCTGAAATCCCCATCACAATATCTGTTTCAATAAACACAAAAAGAGAATTCAAAATTTTCAAAAATATTCCAAAAAAATGGATAAAATTGGTTCAATCGACTGAAAAGTGGTGTCAAATTATAGATAATCTTCCGCTAATTACAACTCTGAAAAATCCGTCACGATATCTGTTCCAATAAACACAGAAAGTTCATCCAAAATTGTCAAAAATATTTAAAAAAATGGTTAAAATTGGTTCAATCGGCCCTAAATTGGTGTCAAATTGTAAATAATCTTCCGCTAATAACAAGTCTGAAATCCCCGTCACGATATCTGTTTCAATAAACACGAAAAGTGAATTCAACATTTTCCAAAATATTCTAAAAAAGTGGATAAAATTGGTTCAATCGACTGAAAAATGGTTTCAAATTGTATAAAATCTTCTGCTAATTACAAATCTGAAATTCCTGTCACGATATCTGTTCCAATAAACACAGAAAGTGAATTCAAAATTTTCAAAAATATTCCAAAAAAAAATTAAAATTGGTTCAATTGACTGAAAAATGGTGTCAAATTGTAGATAATCTTCCTCCAGTTACAAATCCGCAATCACCTTCACCACATCTATTGAAATAAAGGTAAAATATGATTCCAAAATTTTCAAAAATTTTCCAAAAAAATGGTTGTCACAGAATTTTATTACGAAAAACTCGCACTTGAGACTTGCGCATAGTACGCTCCTTTACCCATTTGATTTTAGCCAAGAACGTCCTTGGTTTTAACTTGGTGGGATTATCAATATTATCATAAATAAAATAAAATTTACGAAAAATGAAATTTCTGGATTTATTTATTTGAACGTATGTGCTTCAGGGACGAGGAAAGTTCTATCTAAGTAACTGACTTTACACCACCTTTAGACGTACAATGTTTTTCCAAGATATTTATAGACGTATAATAGCGTCACCTTCTGAAAGAAAGTTTATTTTTCTGTCTCGACTTAGATTTAAAACAGACTTCATTGTTGGAATTTCTAGCGTACCTGTGTGATAAGAAAATGACAATGTTATCTGATTTAATTCCGATTTTCCAGATTTATAGGATTTTATGCAGTTATGACGTGTTATCAAAGTGCTTCTTATAAAACTCTGAGTACTTATAAATAACATTTATCAGTAAACGTTTTTGAGATAAAAAAAATGATCTAACATGGCATTGAGATAGAACTTCTTCCGCCCCTGAAAAAGTGATCATAAAAGTTGATTGTGTAAATTTAAGTTTTTAATTACCGAGTGACTATCAGCTTGAAGAAAAATTTTGTGTTCACGACACTGCTTAATTTGACAAAAAAGTTTTAAATATGTTGCCAACCTGACAAAAAAACACAAATAAAAACTGCCAAACAAAACAAACAAAAACCCGGCCTACTTAAAGTTGCAATTTTCATGTGCAATTTCAAAATTTGAGCGTCAACCGGCGCCGCCACGCCTGCCAACCCCATCCTCTCTCCCGGCTCTTACATAACCAACAGCTGATTCCCCGACCTGCCCAACGCCAGCCGCCCATCGGCCTCCGGCGCCGCCAAGAATGCCCCGTCCGTCGAGCCGCGCTCAGGCCGCGTTTTCCTCGTCCTCCGGCTGACGTCGCGATGTTTTATCGCCGATTAAAGCGAACGCTGGCAGTCGTGTCCGCGCTGCGTAGCCGCCGCCATCCGTGCTACCGCTTCTCCGCTTTTTTCGTGTGCACCGCCGCCGGCTTCGACAGCAAAAACCCTGGTGCGGATCCCGCGGGACGCCGCTCCGCCGAGATGGAGAAGGAAGAGGCATTCAAGATCGAGATCTCCGACGGACTCCTGCTCTACTACGACAGGTTCTCGTTCTACTCGCAAAAGGTAATCAGGCGGAAAAAAGTTGAGCGATTATGCAAGGAGAGGTTTCGGGAGGCTTTGGGAGCGACGACCAAGGTCGTGCTGAGTGGGAGAGCCGCGACGACCTTGGGGAGTGGGGGGCTGTTTACATGTGGTCATGTTTTTATTGAATGGCGATTATTCTGGTGATTATGTCGGGTATAGGTTTGGCTAGTGTAGGGAAAGGGGTGGTGTTGCGGGTTTGGATGCTGTGTTTCGGTGTGGATTTGGCCTAGTTTGGAAGTTGGATGTTTGAGTTTGCACTTATTTGTATTGAGATTGAGAGTTTCGAAAGAGGGGTAATGAAGATGTTGGGCCAATGTGCTGTGTACACTTGGCGGTAATTGTTTGACATTTGGTGATGTAACCGAGTCGGTTTACTTTGATTCTGGATCCCTTATTGTCTCTAATTTAAAAGACACCAGTAGCAGTGCTAATAATTACTTTTCTGATTAAAGTCGGATTTCTTGGGTGCGATGGAAGCTCAATTTAATGACATGTTGAGCAAAGCGTAGTAACAATACTATAATTAGCAAACTGTCATATGATTTCCTTTTTTAAATATCTGTAAGAATTACGTTGTTATTGTTACAAAATAACATTAATTTCTTGATATTTCGGATAGGGTTTCTCCAATTGTTGTAATCAAAACATTGGTGCAATATTTTGGGACTTTTTAATACCATTGATTTTGGTTCAAATTACAAAAAATTGTAGTTTTTGTAATATTTTCTTTTTCGGTTTTTCCATTCCTTTTCTCTTCATAGTATTTTAATTTCCTGTGTTGCTTCAAAATTTTGTTTGGAAAACTCACTTGAAACATATACATAACATGCCTGTAATTGTAACAGTCCACGCATAGCCTTATTTTAACTTTATTTTATTTTTTCATAAATAAAATAAAATTCGCATTTGTTCGACTGTACTTCAGGGGCGAGGGAAGTTCTGGCTAAATAACCTTGGACCATTTTTTATGTATAGAGGTTATCACAAATTGTACAATTTTTCAAAAAAGTGAGATTTGTTCTTTGGTTCCTATTCTCACCTTCCCTTTTCTATTTTTAGTCTCCGCTCACCTCCCTAGTCTCTGTCCCTTCTATTAAGTTCTCTTCTTTTCCTTTTCTTGTTTCCCTTTCTTCTCTTTCATTTCTTCCCTCTCTCTCTCTCTCTTTCTTTTCTCTCTATATTATCTGTGGTCTTTTTGTATTCTCATCTTTCGCTTTATTTTGTTTCCTCTTTGTTTGTTTTTCTCATCTTCTCCTTTGTCTCTTTAATCTTTCTTCATCTTCCCAGTTTCTCTCTTCTGTTAAGTTCTCTTCTCTTTGTTTCTCTTTTTTCTCTTTTATTTATTCTCTCTCTTTCTTCTCTCTCGTGTCTCTCTCGCCCTCATGCTGTCTTTCCGTCTCATCTCATTCTCTCTTCCTCTCATCTCTCTATTATCTGTGATCCTTCTGTTTCTCTGCTCTTTGGTTCCTATTCTCATCTTTGGCTTTATTTTGTTTCGTCTTTGTTCATCTTTCTCATCTTCCCTTTTCTCTCATTTGTCCCTCTTCACCTTACTTGTCTCTTCAACGTTATCTCCTCTTTTTTCCTGTTTTTTTTCCTTCTTTTTAATTTCCCCTTTCTCTCTCTCTCTCGCGCGCACGGGCCCTCTCATCTCTCTGTCTTGCCCTCTCGTCTCCTCTTCTTTCTCTATTCCTCTTATTTCTCTATTTTCTGTGGTCTTTTTGTTTCATTGCTCTTTTTTCTATTCTCATCTTTCGCTTTATTTTGTTTCCTGTTTGTTTGTTTTTCTCATCTTCTCGTTTCTCTCTTTAATCTCTCTTCATCTTCCCAGTTTCCCTCTCTTCTATTAAGTTCTCTTGTCTTTCTTTTCTTATTTCCCTTTTTTCTCTTTCATTTCATCTATCTTTCTTTTTCTCTCTCGTGTCCCTATCGCCCTTACGCTGTCTTTGCGTCGCATCTCATTGTCTCTCTTTTATTTCTCTCTTCCTCTCATCTCTCTATTATCTGTGGTCTTTTTGTGTCTCTGCTCTGTGGTTCCTATTATCATCTTTCGCTTTATTTTGTTTCGTCTTTGTTTATCCTTCTTATCTTCCCTCTTATCTCATTAGTCCGTCTTCACTTACTTGTCTTTTCAACGTTCTCTTCTCTTTTTTCCTATTTCCCTTTCTTCTTTTTAATTTCTCCTTTCTTTCTCTCTCTCTCTCTCTCTCTCGCGCGCGGGCCCTCTCATCTCTCTCTCTCTCTTGCCCTCTCGTCTCCTCTTCTTTCTCTATTCCTCTTATTTCTCTATTTTCTGTGGTCTTTTTGTTCCTTTGCTGTTTTTTTCTATTCTCATCTTTCGCTTTATTTTGTTTCCTCTTTGTTTGTTTTTCTCATCTTCTCGTTTCTCTTTTTAATCTCTCTTCATCTTCCCAGTCTCTCTCTTCTATTAAGTTCTCTTTTCTTTCTTTTCTTGTTTCCCTTTTTTCTCTTTCATTTCTTCTCTCTTTCTTTTTCTATCTCGTGTTTCTCACGCCCTCATGCTGTCTTTCTGTCTCATCTCATTCTCTCGTTCTTGTTTCTCTTTTCCTCTCATTTCTCTGTTATCTGTGGTCCTTTTGTTTCTATGCTCTTCGGTTCCTATTGTCATCTTTGGTTTTATTTTGTTTCGTCTTATTGATCTTTCTCATCTTCTCTTTTCTCTCATTAGTCCTTCTTCACCTTCCTTGTCTCTTCTATGTTCTCTACTCTTTTTTCTTGTTTCCCTCCCTTTCTTCTTTTTAATTTCTACTTTCTTTCTCTCTCGCCCTTTCGTCTTGTCTCGTTTCTCTATTCCTCTTATTTCTCTATTTGCTGTGGTCTTTTTGTTTCTTTGCTGGTTTTTTCTAATCTCATCTTCTCGTTTCTCTTTTTAATCTCTCTTCATCTTTCCAGTCTCTCTCTTCTATTAAGTTCTCTTCTCTTTCTTTTCTTGTCTCCCTTTTTTCCCTTTCAATTCTTCTCTCTTTCTTTTTCTCTCTCGTGTCTCTCTCGCCCTCATGCTGTCTTGCCGTCTCATCTCATTCTCTCGTTCTTGTTTCTCTCTTCCTCTCATCTCTCTGTTATCTGTGGTCCTTTTGTTTCTATGCTCTTCGGTTCCTATTCTCATCTTTGGTTTTATTTTGTTCCGTCTTTGTTCATCTTTCTCATCTTCTCTTTTCTCTCATTAGTCCTTCTTCACCTTTCTTATCTCTTTTATGTTCTCTCCTCTTTTTTCTTGTTTCCCTCCCTTTTGTTCTTTTTAATTTCTACTTTCTTTCTCTGTCGCGCTCTCGTCTTGTCTCGTTTCTCTATTCTTCTTATTTCTCTATTTTCTGTGGTCTTTTTGTTTCTTTGCTGTTTTTTTCTATTCTCATCTTTCGCTTTATTTTGTTTCCTCTTTGTTTGTTTATCTCATCTTCTCGTTTCTCTTTTTAATCTCTCTTCATCTTCCTAGTCTCTCTCTTCTATTTATTAAGTTCTCTTCTTTTTCTTTTCTTGTTTCCCTTTTTTCTCTTTCATTTCCTCTCTCTTTCTTTTTCTCTCTCGTGTCTCTCTCGCCCTCATGCTGTCTTTCCGTCTCATATCATTCTCTCGTTCTTGTTTCTCTCTTCCCCTCATCTCTGTGTTATCTGTGGTCATTTTCTTTCCATGCTCTTCGGTTCCTATTGTCATCTTTGGTTTTATTTTGTTTCGTCTTTGTTCATCTTTCTCATCTTCTCTTTTCTCGCATTAGTCCTTCTTCACCTTCCTTGTCTCTTCTATGTTCTCTACTCTTTTTTCTTGTTTCCCTCCCTTTCTTCTTTTTAATTTCGACTTTCTTTCTTTCTTTCTCGCCCTCTCGTCTTGTGTCGTTTCTCTATTCGTCTTATGTATCTATTTTCTGTGGCCTTTTTGTTCCTTTGCTGTTTTTTCTATTCTCATCTTTCGCTTTATTTTGTTTCCTCTTTGTTTGTTTTTCTCATCTTCTCGTTTCTCTTTTTAATCTCTCTTCATCTTCCCAGTCTCTCTCTTCTATTAAGTTCACTTTTCTTTCTTTTCTTGTTTCCCTTTTTTCTCTTTCATTTCTTCTCTCTTTCTTTTTCTCGCTTGTGTCTCTCTCGTCCTCATGCTGTCTTTCCGTCTCATCTCATTCTCTCGCTCTTATTTCTTTCTTCCTCTTATCTCCCTATTATCTGTGGTCTTTTTGTTTCTCTCTACTTTGGTTCCTATTCTCATTGTTGCTTATGATTTGGTTTCGTCTTTGTTTATCTTTCTCATCTTTCCTTTTCTGTCTATAGTCTCTCGTCATCTTCGTAGTCTCTGCCACTTCTATTAAGTTCTCTTCTCTTTGTTTTCTTGTTTCCCTTTTTTCTCTTTCATTTCCTCTCTCTCTCTCTTCTGTCTCTCTTGCCCTCACGCTGTCTGTGCGTCTCATCTCATTCTCTCGTTCTTGCTTCTCTTTTCCTCTTATCTCTCTCTTATCTATGATCTTTTTGTTTTTCTGCTCTTTAGTTCCTATTCTCATGTTTTGCTTCGTATCTTGTTTTGTCTTTGTTTATCTTTTATATTTTCTCTTTTCTCTCATTACTCTCTCTCCTAAGTTCTCTTCTCTTTTTTCTGGTTTTCCTTTCTTCTTTTTCATTTCTACTCTCTTGCGCTCCCTCTCATCTCTCTCTCTCTCTCGCCCTCTCGTCTCTCTCTCTCGCCCGCACGCCGTCGTTCCGTCTCATCTTACTCTCGCCCTTGTTTCTTTCTTCCTCTTATCTCCCTATTATGTGTGGTCTCTTTGTTTCACTCTTTTTTTTCTACTCTCATTTTTCGCTTTATTTTGTTTCGGTTTTGTTTGTCTTTCTGATCTTGCCGTTTTTCTCTTTAATCTCTCTTCACTTTCCTATTCCCTCTCTTCTATTAGGTTCTCTTCTCTTTCATTTCTTGTTCCCTTTTTCCTTTTTATTTCTACCCTCTACGTTTCTTCTTGCCCTCTCTCTCTCTCTCTCTCTCTCTCTCTCTCTCTCTCTCTCTCTCTCTCACTTTCCCTCTCGTCTCTCTCTCTCTTGCCCTCTCGTCTTTCTCTTACTCTTTCGTCTCTCTGTTGCTCTTACTCTCTCTTTCCCTCTCACTTTCATCTATCTCTATCTCAACCTCTTGTTCTTCTCTGCTCCTTGGTCCCTATTTCTGTTTTTCGTTTCTCCAGTCTCTCTTTCTCACTTCTCTCGCATCTCTTTGTCTTTTCATACGTTAAAAAAAATTATATTTATTTCTTCGAGAAAACAGAACAGGGATTTTTGCTACTTTTTTGGAATTTTTTAAAAATGAAAATTTCTTTTTTGAGTAATTTTTAATGTTTGTCTTTTTTTGTTTGACAACATAAGTATTTAAACCTTCATGATGGCATACCTGATTCAAATTTTGGATAGAACACCCGTAGCTGCCATATTCCCATCGGTCTTTAGGGGCGCTCATGTCAAAATTGACAACTGTGAACTGACGCGCTACCATTGCTGCCAATAATTCAGAATTGCCAACCCAAAAATTTGTTTCCATCATTAAGAGTCAGCCGATATAAAAATGGGTATTCTTCATCATTTTTCTTCTAATTCGGCGTTTTTAGTGTTAATTAGAGTGCCATTTTCAGCTAAAAACAATGCTTTCATAGACTCTCGTATATTATTTCTGCATGCACTTTGCACCCAAGTAAGATTTTTTTACCTTGTTAAAATAACTAAATTTATTATAAAAAAAATGCCTTATAATTTTTCGAAATGCACGATTAGAGTGGAACATTCCCTTTAAGAAGAGTGACACAATAGAAACTTTGCGTTTAAATTGGCTTACTTATGTGTATTAAGCTCTTTGTTTACTTACTACTTTTTTTTTCAATAAGTTCAGATTTAGGTTTTTGGGTTAGATTAAGTCGGATTCCGGATATTAAACATCAATATTGTAATCTATCATATCTAGACCTCTTTGTTCCAACTACCAAGTCGCAAAATCAAAACACGTAAAGTCGCGATCTTTTCTATAGAACCACTCCCTAGTGTAAATTTTCAAAATTTGTTTGGTGTAAGTGACCTTGACGGGTTTCTGGGGGAAAACATAGGTGTCAAAAATTTGACAGGTTAGATGGCCCGATTGTCAGTGTAGATATTTTATTTTAATAAACAGATGAACAGAACATACAGTCTGCACAGGATACAGTGCGGCATAACTGAGGGCAACCGAAACATTCGTGTTGTGCTAGTTTCGATTGCCATATCAACTACCGCTACCAACCGCGTTCGGCGTAAAGTACTAGATGACAGGGCTATCAACTTGACTTTTTATCGAGTGGTTCCGTAGAAATGACCGCTACTGTATGTACTTACATAATTTTTTAATTTTTCCATAAAAAACCAAAAGGAGTTCGGGTTTTAGCCTGTATATACAATAGTGATTTTTTAAAAATGTCTACATACGCAGTAAAAAAAACTGGTGATTAATGTTTTAGTAATCAGAAATGATAACGTTTCTACGTTTTTTTCAAATTTAAAACTATTTGCGATAATAATTCGTGGAGTGTAGCGATTACCTTCTATAATTAATTGGCCGCAACTTCATAAAACTTGGTCAACTTTTATCTCCGCTAATATTCCAGAATACCGTATTTACCTCCGATGTAATATTTGAAGTTGGCAAGACCTTATCAATAACAGTTGTTGTTATTACAAATATTGACTCACTACTCAACTGGCCGTGAATAATACATTCCAAAACAATGTCATCGAGAAAACCAAACAAAATTAAAACTGAGTACTTCTTCAGTGACTAATGATAATGCCAAAATCAATACTGTCCATGCAACAGACTAACCCTCCCCTGTAAATAATCCATCACAGCCGAATCTTGCAACTGTCAGTAATCAATATTCTTCACCAATATTGTATCAAATTACGTTCCACCCAGAATTAATCAGAAGCACTTTTATCAATATTAATAATAATAGTCGAACAGTAGCGAAATTTTATTATTTTTAGATATGGTCTAATCTCAGTGAAATTTTAAATCACAACGGGATTAAAATCTCCAAGTTCACGAGTAGCTTCTGTCATCGACGACGATAAAACTAATCAAAACCTGCTACAGATACAGGTAATTAATTTTATCGAGTCGAGTGTAGATCTGACAACGGTGGATTTGCGGCGTTGTCAGGTTGCGGCGGCTCGTCAAAGAGCCCGCACAAAGGGGCCGCCGGGGAGCGATTATAGAAAAAAAGTTGTACGGAGTAATTAGGAAACGCGAGATGAAAAGCACCGCTTGAAGACTTTATTTTGTGGCAGGTCGTCATGGCCCTCCACGAAAAGAACCTCCCCTTCGACAGCAAGATCATCAACCTCATCAAAAGTGAGCAATACCAACCCTGGTTCCTCTACCTGAACCCCCGCGGCGAAGTCCCCGTCCTGCAGGACACCGGCAAGATCATCCCCGACTCGGCCCGAATCATCGAGTACCTCGAAGACAACTTCAGCAACGGGGACACCCCCAGACTGATCCCCATGGACCAAGGCCCCGAGGTCCGTCAGAAGGTCACCCACTTCCGACACGTCCTGCAGAAGGCGCCCCAGGACATGCTCACCACCGGCGCCATGCTCAACCAGCACATGTTGCGCAACCCCAAGACCCCGTTCTTCGCGCCAGTGCGCAAGGCGCTTGCCAGTAAGTCTTCGTTGGCGGTCTTCCGCAACTAACTGTGTTGTGTTGCAGACGCGGAGAAGAACGGCGGCAAGAACCTGAGGCAGTACGCCGAGAAGAACCCCGAGCACAAGGAAGTCCTGTTGAAGAAAGCGCAAACTCGAGAGGAGACGTACAAGAAGCTGTGCGTTGAGAAGAACTTCCTGGGGGTGTTGGAGGAAATGCACGTTATTCTGGAGGAGGTGGAGGGCGAGCTGGCCAAACACAACGCAGGTTTGGGGGTGTGTCGGTATGGCAGAGCTCTGTATTGGTGGTTTTCAGATTTCAATAGACGGGATTGGTGGCTGTGCTCGAGTCGGTTCACTATCGCGGATGTCGAGCTGACCATTTTGCTAGTGAGGATCAGTCAGCTGGGGCTGGAGCACGTGTTCTGGGAGGCCGGGAAGCGGCCTTACATTGAGAGATATTACGAGAGGGTGAAACTGAGGGATTCGTTTAAGAAGACGGTTCCGGGGACTTTAGTGTTGTTAAAGACGATATTGATGACACAGGCGCCGATTATTATTGGGGTGGTGGCAGCACTGGCGTTGGTGGTCGGAGGGGCGATTATTGCTGCCAAGTTTGCTTAAGTCACCGCGTGGAAGTGAAGTGTGCTTTTAAGTTGATAGGTGTTATATTTTTATATTGATTGATAGTTGTGGTTCATTTGTTATTCTTACTCAGTTGTTGGAAATTATAGAAATTCTCGAAGGGGGGGATTTTATTTCTGTTGTACTTTTTGTTAAAATCGATTTAAAAAATATGTTTATTGTTTATGACGTTGTCTGACAAGATGAAGGGCCAGGTGTCACCTGATGGAGTGGTTATCAAGTTTTCAACAAAAACAAGTTCTAAGATAATTAAAAAAAGAGTCGTCACTTTTGACCTGGAGTGACAAGAGTGACATAAATTTAACGTTGTCAACGTTATTATACTTGGAAATAGTATACTAAGATACTAAGCTGTGAAAGGCGGCACAATTAGCACAATTCGCTTTCGACGTGAGCGGTATATTGATTTTTCTATGGTTGCGTTTTACTGGTTGCATAACTTCCAACTAAATAAATCAACGTTTTGTAATTAATCGAAGTTAAAATATAATAACCCACTCTTGACCTCATACTCATGCAAATAATTAAAGTACAACGACCAAAGATCACTACACACTGATAAAAAAAATTCAATGACATAACTTATTATACAAAATATTTTTATCACAAACCCACCTCTCATTATATTTGTGTACAAGATAAGCACGAACTGACCTTTACCCCGCCATGACTCTCAACACTTTCCATCTTGTTTTGACACTTTCTGTACCCCCAAACATCTGATTATGCTATCACTCTCCTTCAGTGTTATACGCAACCTTAAACCCGTCCAAACAGTCATCATTACTTGCAGAAACATGAGCGCTTCAACAACCCGCATCGCCCGCCTGGGTGGCAAAGTCGCAATAGTCACAGCGTCCACCGACGGGTAATACTTAAGTCATACTTACTTAACACTTACACACACCTTACAGAATCGGGTACGCCATCGCCAGGCGTTTGGCTCAAGAGGGGGCCAAAGTGGTTGTTAGTAGTCGCAAACAGAACAACGTCGAGTCGGCAGTCACTAAACTAAAGTCTGAAGGGCTAGATGTGACTGGGCTGGTTTGTCACGTAGGGAATGCAGACCACAGACAAAAACTCTTCGATGCCGCTAAACAACTCGGGGGGCTCGATATTCTCGTGTCGAACGCAGCGGTCAACCCCTCAGTTGCCTCAGTTCTAGATGTAACTAAAGTCACTTAAGTTGACGTTACTTAACCCCACTTTTCAGTGCGAGGAGAGTCACTGGGACAAAATCTTTGAAATAAACGTGAAAGCGTCGTACCTTTTGGCCAAGGAGGCGCTCCCTTTGTTGCGTCAGCGACCCTACGGCAGGATTATTTTCGTGGCGTCAATTGCAGCGTTCCAGCCGTTTGACGTAAGACAAGTATATAGTGACTTAAGTCGCTTTAGGTGTGTTTAGGTATTAGGGGCGTACTCTGTCAGCAAAACGACTTTGTTGGGGCTCACGAAAGCGGCCGCGGCCCAACTAGCCCTGGAGAACATCACAGTGAATGCGTTAGCCCCGGGGATTATCAAAACCAGGTTTTCTGGGGCAGTAAGTAACTAAATTACGTGTAAAGAGTTTAAATAAGTTGTACTTAGTTGCATGAAAACGAATCCTCCAGGGACGAGGCCCTGTCAAGGATCCCCATGAACAGGTATGACACGTCTAGTGGTTAATTTTTCTCAAAGTGTTGTCCGTAGATTGGGGCTTCCGGATGATATTAGCGGAGCCGCGGCATTTTTAGCGTCAGAAGATTCCAGTTACATGACTGGGGAGACCCTAATTATTTCCGGAGGGATGCCTTCCAGGCTATAATTTTGTAATTCTTGTTTAAAATTTGGCACGGGTTGAGGTTACACTGTTTTTGTTATTATTATATTTTTACTTGAAATAAAAACGACAATTCAAATTAACCTAACCTCACTTACGTCATGCTCAGTCTGTGTCACTTTTCTCACAAACTACTCAATATAGCGCGGCAGAAACCCCATTTTTTACTACGCGGTATGTCTGCGGCCCCCTTGAGCCGCCTCTGTGACAAAATCGCCATCGTAACCGGCTCCACAGACGGGTAAGCAAAAGTGAGGTTATAACCCCGAAATCACGAATTTCCAGGATCGGCTTCGCTATCGCTCGACGGTTCGCCCAGGAAGGCGCCCACGTGATTATCAGCAGCCGCAAACAAAAAAACGTCGATGCCGCTGTGGGTAAACTGCAGTCCGAAGGGCTCAAAGTCAGCGGTTTGGTTTGTCACGTTTCTAATTCCGAAGATCGGCAAAAATTGTACGCGCGAGCTCGGGATTTAGGGGGGCTAGATATAGTCGTGTCTAATGCGGCTGTCAACCCCTCGCTAGCCCCCGTTCTCGATGTAAATTGTCTGTTTTGAAGCGACTTACATAACCTCACTTTTACTTTTTTCAGTGCGATGAAAAAGCCTGGGATAAGATTTTTGAGGTGAACGTCAAGGCGTCGTTCATGTTAGCCAAGGAAAGTTTGTGTTTGTTGAAACAACGCAAAAGTGGACGGATTATTTTTATTTCGTCGATTGGAGGTTTCCAGCCTTGTGAGCCGTTTGAAGTGAGTGGGACAATTTTGAGTCATTTAAATTGAAGTTTTAAGGATTTAGGGGCCTATTCTGTGAGTAAGACGGCGCTTGTGGGGTTGACGAAGGCCGCAGCGACTCAATTGGCGAAGGATCAAATTACAGTAAACGCAATAGCGCCGGGAATTGTGCAGACGAAATTTTCCAAAATCGTGAGTCAGATTTATTGATATAACGTCAACTGACTTGTGCTTTTAGCTTGTGGATGACGATCACAAGAAAAATAGGGTGTTGGCACGTGTCCCTATGGGAAGGTTTGACTCAAATTTATAACTGAAAAAATGTTTATTGGTTTTTACAGGTTAGCACAGCCGCAAGACATCGCCGCAGCAGCTGCTTTTTTAGCGTCAGACGACGCGAGTTATATCACCGGCGAAACTATAATAGTGGCTGGGGGAATGCCGTCAAGACTATAATTTTAACCAACCATTGTCCGTTTTCGCCCCCTCGCTCGAACTTCCTCTAGTTTAATAAACACTTCTTTAAAGCCTGATTTGTATTCAGATTTATAGCCATCTAAAACTTGTTCAAAGATTGATTTCGCCAAACTGTGGGTGCTTATCAACGCTCGTTCTAAAACATACAAATCCACTCCTTTGTCTTCAGCGCTTGACTCAATATGAGATAGCCCAAAATCTATGAAAATCAAATCCAAATCTTTCAATTCTTCATACACCGCTTGGTTGTTTTTGTTCACTAGTAGCATATTGGAGGTTGTTAAATCACCGTGAATTATGTTACTAGCGTGCATTTTTCCCAGCGCTGCGCCTACTTTACAAGCTAATTTATTAGCAACTTCCTCACTCACACTTGAAATGAAGTCTTTTACAACAATACTGTTCTCGAAATGTTCCATAAATATGATACGTCGATTAAAATCGACTAAATATAAAGCGGGGGTCCTAATTCCTGCATTTTTACAACGAATTATCGACCGACTTTCGCTTTTAATGCGTTCTCTTGTTAAGCTGGAGTCGAGGTCTGGGTGCCTGTATTTCTTGACAAAGCGCTCTTTGGCAATTGTGGGTTTGCCCAAGTAGGTTCCTTTGAAGATGCGGCCCTCGGCACCTTGTTTAAAGAGTTCGAAACCTTCCATTGCCACTAGAAATTTTGAGGTTAAAAAGTGAGGTTAGAAAAAGTACACAAGTTTTCTTCCACCTTTTGCCAACAACTTATTGTAGAATAACGTATTACGGACGTACTATTAATAAACTAACACGTCTCCAGCACTTAAATAGTTATATTGTCGATTTTGACCATTTCAATTTTTGAGGTTATGTTTACTTTACTCAAAAATAAATATGTAAATATTGGTACTTTAAATCAAAGAAAACGACCACTTCAGAATTTCTTTCAGTGTCTTCTCTCCCTATTACTTAAAACCACGGTTATTAAAATAATAATACAAGAATTGGAATTATTTTCACGTGCGGTTGACAGTTCAGAATTGAGGTTATATCTAACCTCGAGAAACACAAACATTTTGGGATAAACATGTCGAATCTAGAGGAAAACATTGAAAATCTAGCTCTAGATAGTTCATCTAGCGACGATGACACCTCCAGCAGCGACGAAGGTAGGCAGCCCCCTTGTTCGAACATTTACGAACACCCCATTTTCAGAAGTCACCTTCTCGGTGGCGATGTGGGACTTTAATCAGTGCGACCCCAAAAAGTGCTCCGGCCGAAAACTGGCCCGTTTAAAACTGGTCAAAACCCTCAAAATAAAACAAAAATTCCCTGGACTGGTGCTCACTCCGACTGGTACTAAGTGTGTGAGTCCTTCAGACCGCGATATAGTTGCAACTAAAGGGATAGCAGTGGTTGATTGTTCGTGGGCTAGGATAGATGATACCCCCATCGCAGCCCTGAAACCCCAACACGGGCGCTTGTTACCGTTTTTGGTGGCCGCCAACCCCATTAATTACGGGCGCCCGTGTCAACTGAGTTGTGTGGAGGCAATCGCTGCGACCATGTACATTACAGGATATAAAAAATTGGCGAAACAATATCTGGACAAGTTTTCGTGGGGGCACTCGTTTCTGGAATTAAATGGGGGCATCCTGGACCGATATTCCAATTGTAGCGATAGTCAGTCGGTGGTTGCCGAACAAAATAAATATATTGAAGAGGAGCAACGGCAACAGGAGCTGGATAAACAAGGTGCGTTTATTTTTCGTCTCATTCATAGTTGATTGTGTTATTTGCAGCCCCCCGAGACTTCCCCAGCTCCAGTGAAAGCGACTCAGATTAAACCACTTTATTATAAAAATTTAATACTTAAACTTAATAAAAATTACGACGCATTCACTTCCTCGATCGCCAGGTGCGCTATAAACCTCAACCTCAGCTGCAAGGCCGGTCTTAACCGTCGCACTACCGTCTCCAACTCCTTCTTCATACTATCCCCCACGAACATGTACTTGATATGGTACAACAGATCGCAAATGGGGTCCATGTATTTCATTTCCGACTGCGTATGGTGATCGACTTGCGCCAAAAGTTCGTACAAAGCACTCGTCAGTTCCACTATCGCCATATTGAACCTCTGCAAAAAGGGCCCCACGAGGTGACACACGTAAAGGAATTGCTCCTCGGACCGCACCACACTCGGCAAACACTCCCGCGCCCACCGGGGCACACTCGCGATCTGCCCCGGACCCGCGTGGTGCCAGACCGAGTGCGCCAAAGCCAGCATGTAACTGAAACTGTTGTGCAGCAGCCCCGCGTGGGTCTCCTTGAAATCGAAGAGGCGGAAGGGGGAGCAGTCGAAAGTCCAGGTCTCGAGCTCGCCGAGGGTGGAGATGAGGCGGTCGTGGAGGACGCTCCAATAGCTGACGGGGAGGGCGGAGAGGATGAGGCCGACGGCGTTGATCCATTGGTGGATGTCGGACGAGGGAATGGTCACATAACCTGTTCAATTAATTAAGCGTGAAAACGAAAGTTGGAAAGTGTGACGGTGTTACCTTTGGCGACGACGTCCAAGAGTCCGTTGGCGACGGCCACGGGTCCTGCGGACAGCGCCATCAGCTCGACGCACGTGGTGTATAGGATGTGCGCCCCGGCGTTCGGGAATTCGTTGAACCTCCAGTCGATCATCGAGTTGGCGGATGTCCCCCCGAGGATGTCCACGACGCGCTTAACCAGCTGGATGTAGTAGTCTAGTTCGGGGGTCCACATGTCGTCCTGCGGACGACCTAGGAAGAGTTGGTACGGCTCCGATAGGCTGTCTTTGAGGGTTCCGAGGACTGCAGCCACTAAGCGTCGCTTCAAAGGGGGTCTGTCCCGGAGTCGCGTTTCGTAGTAGTGCAAAGTGTTGTATAAGTACGTGACCGGGCGGTCGTGGAACTTGTACAGACAGCCTAGGTGTTCTAATAGTATCTCCAGGCTTTTCGTTACTTGAGGGATCTCCAGGAAACGGTGGACCACGATGTCGAAGACTGGCAGGAAGCGCAGACACACGTTTCCGAAGTACGGGTGGTACCCGCTGGATTGCTCTTCCGGTGCGAACTTCTCGGGGTACTTCCTGTGAAACTCTAGGTGTTTTTCGTGCCAGTTGGTCTGGTTCCAGTGATCCGGAGAGTTATCCTTGACGAAATCCTGCACCCGATTGCGGAACTCCGTGGCTTTGAGTAGTACCAACTGGATGATGAAGGAGCACACTTGGGCTTCGCTCCCTTCCTGCGTCCGCAGCGCCAAACACAGCACCAACCTATCTATCGTCACGATGTTGTACTTCCAGATCATGTCGTTGATCGTATCCACGCACTTATTGACGTGCTGCCCCCCAGGCGAGTTGCTGAACTCGAAGACCAAGCAGTCGCAGAACTTCCTCAAGTGTGCTGATAGTGCTCTGGCTCCAATTCGTTCTAAGATCTTGTAGGCGATGGGTGTGATGTGGTCGGTCTCCAGGAGCATCTTCCATAGAAGACACAAGAATAGTGGCGGCGCTCCCGCCACCCCGAAGTGCGCCATCATGTCGTTCTCGTTGTTCATCGACGACCACTTCCTGTACTCCTCTTCCACCGCCTTCTTCAGCTGCTGCTTGTTCTCCTTGGGTACCGCGTGTTGGGTGAAGAACTCGGCCAGCGCCCTCGGGAAGCACTCCAAGGTGTGCGGGGCCCACGCGTGCGGCGTGCTCTGCGCGATGGTGGCCAGGAGTTCGTGGCACCACGAGCCGTCGGCGCCCGTGACGTGCGTGGCGCGCGCTAGTGTTAGCACGAGCGCGCGGTTGAGCTCCTCCGACTCGGCGGAGATGAGGGTCTTCGGTTCGGCGAGGAAGCGGCTGAGTTCGGGCTGCACCTCGCCGCTGCCGAGACCCGTGATGAGGCGCAGCGCCGTGGACTCCACGCACAGGTGCAGCTGGGTTTGGTTGGCCTGGGGGACGGCGGCGAGCGAGTGTAAATGACTGAGCAGCTGCACGCGGTAGTGCGGGTGGATGTGGTGCATGCGGTAGCTGAACATCTCAAGAAGTGTATACAAGGTGCCCCAAGCGTGCGACTTGTACACGGTAGGGAGGAGCTGGCTGATGAAGCCCTTGATTCCTAGGGACTCGATCTCGGTGTAAACGAGGAGGCGGCTGTAGGTTTCGACGAGCGCGGGGGACAACGGCATGCCAGATTTCGCCTGGGCTAGCTTGATGACGTGGGTGACGATGCTATGGATGAGACTCATCTTGGAGTGGACGGTGAGGGAGTCAAGCACGGCCATGCTAAGAGGGGCGGTGGGCGGGGCAGCAGACTTCGGACTGCCTTGGATAGTCTCGACGAGAGCGGCCATTGGTTTACTAAAGTAGTCCTGATTGGTGGAGTAGGCGTTACAAAGGAGGGCAATGCGATAGTCGTTCCCCATCGCTAAGGCGGTGTTATTCGGTGGTACCAATTGTTGCAAAAAGTCATGGTGGTTGCGCAGTTTGGCCGGGATCGGCCACGTAAGGTTGGTCATTTCGGCTTGAGCCTTCTTCGTAAGGTGGATCCAAATGCACGTCATGGCCATCTGCCGCGTGCATTGGGGTTGGTTGAAGTCCGGCACGGGCAGAGGCGGTTCCTGCTCCGGGAACAACAACTCATACAACCGCAACACCGGCAAAAAGTTCGACAGAGGATTCCTCTGGATGGAGCCCGAAATGAACTGAAGCAACACCCACATGAGTTGGTCACGCCCCCTCCGCAAGTCCCGCCCTTGTAACCTCGAATGCAACGACATCACGATATTCGGAAAACTAGCGAATTGGAACAACACAAAATAAATTAATTGTGATGATAAATGCAACCAGAGTCCTTGAGTGGCAGTTTCGTCACCCTCGTTCTCAGTTCTTTCAAGCGCTAAAATCACCAACTCGACTAACTGTTCCTCCAAAGCGGCACAATGTTGCTTGTGCTGCTTCTGCAGCCCCAACATCCCACAAACCATGTCTCTGCTATAAGGTTGCTCCAAGACATACCTCAACAAGCCGGTTTGCTTCTCGAGCAACTCCGCCGAATAAGGGAGTGTCCCTTTCAACGTAAATCTAAGAGTGCAGGGGTCAAGCTTCCACGGGTTAACCAAGTGTTCCGGGCAGCCGCTATGTTCAACGACGGGACGCATTTCGGCTTGCCCCACTATCGACACCATTTGGGCACAAGCCCTGAAACTATCCACGTAGTCCGAAAACAGTGCAGCCAACCGCCAGTGGGGACAATCAGGATAGGCTTTCTGCAACTCGTTAACCAGAAGATACCCCGGCAGGAGACACGCATTCCGGTCCATGATCCTCTCAGCCACACTCAACAAAGCTTGAGTTTGGGGCTGCAGCCCCGCGTTTAACCTCCACGGGAGACTCTTCGCTTTTTCACAACACCCCTGAAACCAACAATGAATATCCACCCCGTCACGACTTACTTACCACTACATACCTTCATAATCTCCCGCACCCCCTTGTACTCCACCAAGTCGATGATCTTTCTCACCAACCTGAAACACTCAACCCAGAAGCGCGCGTTCGTGTATTGCAATTTATCAAAGTTCATCACGACCTCGCACACCAGACGCGCCCCCACGATCCCGTTCCGCACCATAGTCTCCAGGAGCTCCATCAAGAGCTGGAGCTTGCTCTGGGCGCACGTGAGGGCCGTGTTGAGGTACTGGCGCAAAATCGCGTCTTGTTGCTCCTGGGGGATGGTCCGCAGCGCCGTGTTCAGCTCCTGTTGCCATTGCGTGACTCTTTCCTTCTCTGCGTTGGGGCGGTGCACCAGAGAGCAACTGAACGACTCTTCGATACCTTCCACTTTCAGAATTTCGTTGAGGACGTTAGTTAGGACCTCGGCCATTGTCGTCGCGTTAATTTTTGCGCGAATTCATGGTTTTTGTGCGGAAAAATTACGGCGAACGGTTGTTGGGAGGTTATGTTTACGTTGACGTTTTGACAAGTGGGGTAGGCAACACGGTGTGCACGACAGGGGGGTGTTGAGGAATGTTGGGGCCCGTCGAGTATTAACGTGGGCACAAAGCAATAAATAAACGATTGCAAGCGTTATCAGCTCTCAATAACGTCAATCTAAATTAACATATTTATAAGTTTTTTATATTCGCATTATAATAAAACTGATATGATCGGCAATCTATTTGCATAAGTACTCGATTGATCGAGGAAATTTGTTTGCTTATCTTTTAATAAAAGCAATATTAACGTACTACTCTCTTTATGCATTTAAAACCAGCGCTGGGTCTCACTTTTCAAGATGAACTCACAGTTCATAGAACAGGTGAGTGTGGTGGCTTTTTTTTTGAAAAGGGTTTAGCTTGGGGTTTTAGGTGCAGATTTTGATGCACGCGCAACAGATTAAATGTGCGGAGAGTGTTTTCGGGAAGTCCAACTACATGTGGCTTTGCAGCAAAAGGACGCCTGTGATCTGGATGTCTACAAGGGACGAGTTTTTGATACGACAGGCCTTAACCAAGGTAATTCTTTTCAAATATTTATTTAAAACAAGTATTTTGGTGTTGTTCTTAGGTGACTGCTGACCAGCAAGTCAAGGTCATGAAGCAGCTGCTGACTTGGCTGGACGACCACCCAGATGCCCATTCTCTGAAAATCCCCGAAATGTCGCTCCGATTTCTCAACAATGTGGCCAACGTGAACATGATGAACGAAATGACGATGTCGAGGGCCAGCAGTTTCAGAAACAGTCTGAGGCGTTTGTCGCTGATTACGAATCGGATTGCTCCGGCTCTGAGGGCGGATACCAGTGCCAAGTTGAGACGATCCGTCACTTTTAATGACGTGCCAATAATTTATCGCATCAAGTACTGACCCAAGTTGAAACATATATGTATGTAAGAGACAACACAGAAGCGCACTAATGTACCTATGGAATCCAGGAGTAACAAGCCTGTTACCCATTAAAACTACCTAATAACAGTAATTATGTAATTAACTAATACACCTGACACCTCAATTAAAATAAACTAATTACGATCGTCGACGGTTGTTTGTTGTTTTTCCTTTAAAAATTTAAACATTTTTGTTTATTCATCCCTTTCAGACAGTCAGTGACGTCAGCTCGTTAAAAAACTGAGTTCTATGATGTGTGATAAAAAAATTAAATTCAAGTGCGCACTTTGAGCAAAAATTATCTAAATACTTTTGTGTGTGTAGCCATGGCATTTTTGCATAATGTTTAGTGACATTGTTGGGTAATTAGTGTAATTAGGAGGTGTGTGCTTCAAGCCCCTTTTGTTCCAGCTATAGCAACAATTCCAATAATGTATTTTTAAGTGCGACGCGTTGATAAAAACAATGGAGGATTCCACTCTGCATCATAAATAAACTTTATCTCTATAAGTCTGTCACTTGGTGATAAATACCAAATAATATGCAACCTCCGTCCACTCAGTGAACCGTCACTAAGCTGATCAGGCAGTTGGCAAAAAAAAAAAAAACTCAATTGATAACAATTAACAACAACAAACATCCTGGGGACAAATAAGTCACCGAATAAACCATAATAATTTAATACAAACTGAAAAATCGTTAATTACACAAACACCACCCTAACTTAAACATGGAATGGTCATAGAGAATCTCATTTAGGTATCTGTGCCAAGTGTACCCTTACAGTACAACTTATAAAAATACGCTCTATACATGATAAATCCAGTTAAACTTATATTTCACGACAAATTTACACAAAATAAACGTTCGCCAACAAAACACGTATTGTACAAGGAATATTGAGCCTGGAAGAACGCTAACCTACGCCATACGGATGGACTGTATGATCTGGAAGATCGCCGATCCGCACACCACGAAGATGAACAGCGCCAGGATCATGGGCCCCACGGGCGAGCTGTCGCTCTGCTGTTTCTGTAACGGAAGTGGGTTGAGTGCCAGGAAGCGGCCAAACATGCATATGGTACTCACCGTTGACTTGGGGACGTTGCCCCGGTTGACGACGTTTTTGCTGGCCTTTTCGTTGGCGAAACGCATTCTCTGCTTGGGGGCCATGCTGTCAGAGGGAGGAAATGCCGGAACTGGAAAGAATCAACAGAAAAACATACACACGCGTTCGTGACACGTCCGTGTCGGATGACGGTGCTATGTAAAGTGAGGAGGGACGGGGGATTTTGACGTTTGCTTGACACGTTGGAGGTTGGGGCGCAGGCGCGGGGCTGCGTGGCGAGAGCGAGCGCCGGGAATTTCTAATTCTTGCGAAATTTGAAAGTGGATTTGTGGAATGTGCGATAATTAGTTTGGGTGATTTGGGATTTTTGGCGAAATGACAGGTGGCGGGTGTAGTCGGGGCTTTAGTTGATTTATTAAGCGGCGCTTAATAGCGAAATGAGGATTTTTATAAATTTAATAAAATAAGTGGTGGGTCAATTTGGAAAGTGTTCTTGTTTTCTATTTTCGTTATGCATTCATATTTTCATTTATTATTTTGCCACATTTCAGTGCGAAACGATTGATGCACAGTGGCGGCGTCACGATAAAACTTGTAAGGCAGCACGAGGACTTAAAAAGTCTTTTTTAAGTTACGTTAGTTATGTCTGACTACACAGCAGAGTTTTTTGTCTATTCAGCAAACAAATTTAGATTACATTATTGAAAAAAAAAACGATGTTTTACTAAGGTTTTTGGTTGGTACGCCAATGTTTTCTATTTAGTGCTGAAATTCACTAGATGCCTCTACCAATAATACCAATCCAACAAACCTAAAACTACCACATTAAGAACATTATTAATTAAAAAATAAAAACTGGTTTCTTGGAGTATAAAATACTGCTGTTTAATGTATTTAGGTGTGATACTTTCAATTAAAACAATGTATAATTAATTAGTAGCTAGTAAAAAATCAAAATAAATACGTATATCCCCAACCTTCGACAGTTGGCAGCCTTGCTCGTCAATTATTTTAGGTTATGTTTATCATCAACAGGTTAAGTGCCGAGCATGTAATACCGTTCTAACACACAAAAACAACAAAAATGAAGAACAAACCCACGCGTCACAAAGACCTGAACACCTTCAAGGTAAATTAACCCCCGGAAATTGGCCCTTTCTAAAAATTGAGATTTCCAGTTCCAACCTTTCGCGGAGCGCATTTCCAACATCGACATAGACATTTTCCACCGAGTGGGTCACGAAAATGAAGCCGAAAACGAGAGTGCCGAGTGCTACTTTTATCAGTCGATGGAAAATTGGAGCATTTTAAACCTCACTGAAAGCTTCGACCACTTCAAGAAAGAAGTCAAACCCCACACTTTGGTAACGTTGCCGCAGCTCCTTTTAGACAAAGAACGCGTAGTGGAGGTGCTTTTGAAACATTTGAAGCTAAAAAACCCGCTTTCGTTGCAACCGTTGTTGGAGTAAGTCCCCATTTTAAATTTTTTAATAGATTTATGTTGTTGTTTTGTAGTATTGTAGTTGCTGTTGCTAAAGATCTGCGCAAAGACTTCTACCAGTACTACAAGTCGTTCCTCGAGGTCCTAATTGACCTCCTCAATACCAAAAACACCGAACAACTCGAGTGGACTTTCACTTGCCTTGCCTACTTGTTTAAATTTTTGTGGAGGCCCCTGCTTAAAGACATCGCCACAGTCTTCAACACCGTTTTGCCGCTTCTGTCAAATTATCGCCCAGATTATGTCCACAATTTCGCTGCTAGTAGTTTTGCTTTCGTCGCTCGGAAAGTCAAAGATTGGCCAACTTTTCTCTCCCATATTTTGAAAACTGTGAAAACCCGAAAAGACGGGGTTACGGGTTGCGGGAAATTATTTTTTGAGGTGATTCACGGCGTGAGTGGCCACTTTCATAGTTGTGCTCAAACAGTGTTGCCATTCTTGGTTGAATCTTTGGGGGATTCTAAATTTCCCCAAAGCTTGTTGTTTGAAATTTTAGAGAAAGTTGTAGAGAATGTTGTTGGGCATATTCATCCAACCAAAAATGAGTTATTGTGGGAGTGTCTGTTGAGTAGAGTTAGAGTTTTATTGGGGAATTGGAGGACTTCAAAAGACGAGAAAGTTGCAGAGGAAATGGAGTTGGTTTTGAGATTAATTGGGCAAAGTGTGGAGTACAAAGGGGGTAAATTCCTGCAAAATAACACTCCAGTGGTAGGATTAATTTTCGAGATTTTAAATTGTCACGAATTGCCTGATTTAGTTCTCCAAACTACCACTAAAATCGCGGTTGTTTTATTGTTGTCAAAGAACGTTAAACTAACACAAGAACAAGCCTCTGGGGTCACACGAAAAGTGCTACTTTTACCTCAACAGTCAATTCTGTTGTACTTTGTTGACAATGTATCCGAATTTTCTGCGTTCGAAGCTCTAGTTCTACCCATATTTCTATTAAATTGCGTCAAAACTAATCTGAATAGTGAGATGCTGAAGGTTCTGACGCAACTCATTTTGAAAAAGGCGCCACTTTGTGGGAGTGGCTTAAACATGAAAAAGTGGTGGAAATACTCACTTGATTTCGGGACAAAAACTCATGATTTGTCGATCGAGAACGTCTTCCTGGAACATCTGAATGGTAACGCGATTGACAGTTACGTAGCCGCCTTGATTTGTTTGCCGCATCTAAATTTGACACAACTGGAACGCATAACCTCGATTTTAACCAATAAAATTTCAGAATTTTTGCTCAAAATCGAAACAAACAAAGAGAAAAATAGTCCCGACTTAAACCAAGCTTTGTTTCTTTTAAATAACACAATCGAGTGTCTGATTCATTTAAAACACTTGAACTATTTGAGCGACAATTTCCACACGTTCGTCGACGCTTTGATACCTTTAGCGCTCAAAGAACACATTTTCGCTTTAAATATCATCGACTTTCTTGTAACCACGCTCAAGGACCGCCCCCACATAATTACAATGGCAACGTTGCAAAAATTGACCAGTCTCGCGACTGGTTTCAGTTCGCCCCACCACGAAATTCGCTTAGTCACCGCCCACGTCTATACGTTCTTCGAGGATTTGCCAGAATTTGATTTAAGACACTCCTCCGACCCCGACGTTGCTAAAGAAAAATTCCAAGTGTTCTCTCTGTGTTACAAAGTCGAATCGATCGATTCGCACGTGCACACTTATAGGGAGCAGCTTCAAAATTTAGAGAGACTCAATTTCGACAAGCCGCAGATGATCATGTGCAATAAGACTGAGTTTCGAACGATTCCGTTGCGGTATTTGTGTGGAGCTCTGTATATAAATTTCAAGTTGTTGTGGGATCCGATTTTGAGGATTATTGAGACGCAGGCTCACGGTTTGGGGATTGGGGAGTTTTGGGGGGTGTTCGGGGAGGAGTTGAAAGGGGTTGTACACAGTATAAGAGAGAGGGAGGAGAGAGAAGTGGGTGTGTTGGAGACGAAGTGGGATTTTTTGAGGGCGTTGTTTGAAGAGGGAGGCAAGTTGAAATCGGCGCCGGATTTCGTAAATTATAGACTATTGTTGTGGAAAGGGATGGATTCGTTTGCGGATGTTGCCGAAGCTAAGACTCGGGATGTGTCGGAGTTGTTTCTGGACTTTGTGGAGTAAGTACTTTGTAAAAAAATCCACCCGTACTAGCGTTTTCTTTACAGAAAGGAATACACGAAAAACAACTCACTTGTGGCTACTAAGTGGAACATCAAACAGAATTCTGTTCAAGAGGATGGTGAACGCGATGAAGGTTACGAAGATGAAGTTAATCAGTCTAAAGACGAACGAACGATGTCATCCAAACCCAAAACGGGGAAATCCACATTAAAGTACGTATGTCGGTACGGTTTCATTGTTATTTGACGTACTACTTTCAGAGTACTCCTCAACGCCTTAGCTGTTTTCTCTAAAGTTCGTAGTCCGAAATCCATGTACCGCGAGCCCGAACTCTACAAACTCTACTTCGACTTACTCCAACATAAAAGTTCCGAAGTCCAAAAAGCGGCACTCGATTGTGTCATGACTTACAAACACAAGTTTCTAACGCCGTATAAAGACCACCTTTACAATCTCGTAGACGATAAGAATTTCAAAAACGAGTTGACGACGTTTCACATCGATAAGGAAACCGGTACCATCCAAAGCGACCATCGCGACGATTTAGTACCTTTCATTATGAGAATAGTGTTCAGTAAGATGAGTACTAAGACTGGTTTGAGAACCGGCGGAAAAGCGTCAGGTCAGTTGCGCCGGAATTTAGTCTTTCGGTTCTTAGCTGGGTGTCAGGAGACTGAAATGTTGACTTTTACGAAAATGGCACTTCAGTACTACGCGAGACACTTGAAGGACGATCCTGAGGTTATGGTGGAGGAATTACGTAAGAATGTTACTTTGGAAAATTTCATCCCTCCTAAACGACTTCAAAGTACTATTAACTTGATAAATGTGATCCTGGATCAGTTTGGAGGTTTAATGGGGAACGACCTTCTCACGTTTCTTATTCAAGTGGTCTTGATGATGGGAGGAGTCGTGAAAATCGCCTTTGATGAACTAGCGGATGTGCATTCTGGGTACTGGCCTATCCTTCGTAATTTGCGCACTTCGTCTATAAAAATCGTCGAACGAATTTTCAGCCAGTTTGATCACTACCCCTGGACTAACAAACAAATCAACACGATCTTCAAAGTCTTCGTTTGGCCGTACTTAGACAAACTGAACACAGAAGGTATTCACAGTCCTACCACTTTACTCAAATTGTTCGTCCAGTGGGGAAGCAACCCTCGATATTTCTCTCTTCTGGTCAAACATGAAGACGACAAACAAGAGCAATTCGTCTTACCACACGTCATTCAACTCTTGCTTAATGACAAGAGCAAGATAACGGTGGTCAATATAATTGAAGAGATGATCGAGAAACTACTGACGCTTCAAGCGGACGAGGAAGACTTACAACTCGTCGTACCTGTAGACAATCTTCTACCAATCGCTAAGAACATCCTCGATCGAGTCAAAATCGACGACAAACTAAATTACGGCAGTTGTATTCTTTTACCGTACGTACCCTCAATTCTGGAAAAAATTAAGCGACAACTCCAGAGGAAGAAGAGTTTGAACCAACGCGAACTCTTGATTTTGTCGCGCATATCCGAACTTGTGTGGGAAAGCGACATTAGTGATAGTACCCTGAAGCTGCTCCTGCCACAAGTTTTGAAACGTTGCACACCATCAACCGGCGACGAAGTGATCACCCAACTCCTCACCACAGTTAGTAATCTTATTAATTACGTGGACAACCCCCGTCAACACTTGAAACACTTCACACCTCTGTTCGGAGAGGTCGCTTCTGCCTCCGGTCGCAAACTCCTGATTCAAGCTCTTAAAAACGTAGGCACCAAACTCGAACTCGAGTTAATCGAAGGATTGAACGCGTTCGACCATAAATGGATAGACCAACCCGATTTTCAACGTCGCCACGATACTTTCAAAGACATTCAAAAAGCTATAGAAACTCAAGACGTGGACTTGGAACTCGGAGTTTTACTAATCTACAACTGCTACTATTTGCTCAAGAGCGAAAAAGACTTATCGTTGAGAGAGAACTCGTCGCATTGCCTCAGACAGTTGACGTCCTATTTGATCAAACAGTACCCCAAACAACTCGATTATCTTTTGAGTGAAACCGTCTTCGCCATGATTCGGAAAGGGATGAAGAACCGCAACGACGATTTCCGGAATGAGTGTATTCTGATATTGGGACACTTGGCGAGAGAGTGTTCTGAAAGTCATGTGGTGTTGCGCGATTTGAATCGGTACACCAATAAGAGTGACCCCGAAGTCGACTTTTTCGAGAATATAACGCATCTGCAGTTGCATCGTCACGCCAGAGCTCTTCTCAAGTTCTGTACGGTGACCCGGGATTTGACTACGAGTCCAAATGTGCGAACTCTGACGCAATTTGTTCTTCCACTGGCTTCTTTCTACTTGTGTAGCGAAAAGTACGTGGGGAAGAACAGTGTCATTGACGCCTCTATCGAGTGTATAGGGACCGTTTGTCGAATCTTACCGTGGCACCAGTACGAAAGTCTCCTTAAATTCTATTTGGGGAAGTTGAAGAAGAGCGTCGACTACCAAAAGCAGCTGGTTAGAGTCACGGTAGCAATTTTAGATGCGTTTCACTACGATTTGAGCAAAGCTCAAGTTGGTAGCGAGACAGAACACAAAACTGAGGACGACAATAAAGACAGGGAGTCACCACCAGAAAACGAACAAAGTGCAGCAGTCGGGGAAGACGACGACAAAATCGACGATTTAGACGAGCCAGTCGTTTCCGAACTAGAAGAAGAGGATGACGAAGAAGATCAACCGACTTTGAAAGAAACAAAAATATGCGATAAGGTTCCAATTTTGTGTAAGTCGACGGCTACGAGAGTCACCAGAAGCATCCAAACGGTCCTCTTGCCCCAACTCCACAAAGCTTTAGCCGAACTCACCCATCACGATACGTCTCATAAAGTCAACAGAAAAAAAACCGGGTTTGAGCGCGAAGAAGAAGACTTGCTACGGGTCCCGATATCTTTAGCCCTAGTTAAGTTGTTGCAACGTTTACCCAAAGAAATCCTCGAAGCGAATCTCCCTGGGTAAGTTTCATCCCACCTTTAAAATCACACTAACTTCTCGTTTTAGCATATTTATGAAACTGTGTACTTTCTTGAAGTCACACCTTGAAAGCGTCAGACGAGTGACCAGGGAAACCCTTCAAAAGATAATGCAATCGTTAGGTCCCGGCTATCTCAACTTGCTACTCGGGGAGATGACCCCTTTGCTTAATCGTGGTTTCCAGGTGCATGTTTTAGTCTTCACCATCCACGCAGTTCTTAATTGTCTGAAACCCATGTACAAACCCACAGACATCGATAAAATTCTACTCACCGTCATACAACTGTGTCAGACCGACTTGTTCGGTACTCTCTCTGAAGAGAAAGAAGTTGCCAAAATCGCAGTCAAAACGTCGGAAGCCAAATCGACCAAAAGCTTCGACACGTTCCAAATTTTGGCCCAGTTCGTCACCGACAAGTGTCTGATGGACCTAATCCTACCAATCAAGAACACCCTCCACAACTCCCACTCTTACAAAACCGTGTACAAAGCGCAAGAGTGTCTCAGACACATCGCCCTGGGTCTAGTCGACAACGAGTTCGTTCAAACCCAGTCGTTACTAATTTTTGCCTATGGAACCTCATCCGAGAGCATCCCCGAGTTGGCACCCCAAGAGAAAACCCAAATAAGCGACAAAGAAAGGGAAAGACTGCGGCGTGAAAAACCCGACTGTTTCATCATACCCCAGGCCCCGGTTGGCCGTTCCGGGGTTCGCATAAGCAACGTCAAGTCGTCCGTCAAGACCAACGCTCACCTATTGGTCGAATTCGGTTTGAGGTTATGTCACGTATTACTCAAACGCGACAAACTCAAAGACGGCGACTATAAACCCTACCTGGACCCATTCGTAGCCGTTTTCGAAAAGTGCCTAACCTCCAAACACGTCAAAGTAGGATTTACACCCCATACTATTACAATTTATAACCAATTACAAAATTTCAGCTGAGCACACTCACTCTTCAATGCTTGACGTGGATCTTCAAGTACGAGTTACCATCATTAAAGGACAAAATCGCCTCGATTACCACCGAAATCTTCGCCATTTTGCACAAATACGCCTCGGCTGGCTTGAGCAAAGGCGACAACTTCGATCTAGTCGTGGCCACCTTCAAGGTAAGCTCAATGACTTGCCCCACGTTGGGCGCCATTCACCCATGTTGGGCGCCAATCACCCCCGTTGGGCGCCACATACCAAATTTCTCATTTTATTCCAGGCCATGTCCGTCCTCGTCCGCGACGTCAAATACCACACCATCGACACCGACCAGCTCAAGATCGTGCTTTTGTACGCCGAACAAGACATGCACGACCACGACCGCCAGGCCACCGCTTTCAATCTCCTCAAAGCCGTGATCGCCCGCAAGTTGGTCGTGCCGGAAATCCACGAAGTCATGGCGAAGGTGGCCGAGTTGAGTATCACGTCTGAGTTGGGTCACGTGAGGGTGCAAGCGCGCACGGTTTTCCACCAGTACATGATGGATTACCCCCTGGGCGACAAGTTGGAGAAGCACTTGTCGTTTTATTTGTCGCAGATGAGCTACGAGATGCAATTCGGGCGGGAGTCGGCCATCGAGATGATCAGTGCCTTAATTTCGTCGTTCCCGAAGGTGGGTTTTTGCTTTTTATGAATACGTTTTAACGGTTTTGGTTGTAGAAAACTTTGAAGACTCATTCGGGGACTTTGTTCGTGACGTTGGGGGCGCGCTTGGTGAATGATGAGGCGCCCGAGTGTCGGAAACAAGTGGCCAATTGCGTTACGGCTCTGTTAACCCTATTGGAACCCAAAGATAGAGATTCTTTATTTGATGTAGGGGTTTTGTGGTTGAAGGATAAGAAGATAAGTCACAGGCGACTCGCGGCGCAACTTCTAGGGTTTTTCGTGTCTGTGGAGAAGACGGCGTTCGAAGGCCGTCTTCCGAAGCTTCTTCCCTTGATTTTGAAGCAGTTTGCACTGAACGATGAAGAAAAGGACGAAGAAAGTGAGCGAGTGAAGGATCACCTTTTCTTCCAACTACTACAAATGTTGCTGAAAATTTGCACACATTGTACTTCGTTCTTCAAGATAAAGGAAGTCGATGCTTTGAATCGACAGGTGCAGGCGTTGTTAAGTTACCCTCACGAGTGGGTGCGGCTGGCCGCAGCTCAGTACTTGGGATTCGTGTTTGCCGCCACCGACGTCGACGCGTTAGGGGTTGCCTTAACCAATAGCAAGTCGAATACATCAACTGATTATCTTTTCAATGACCCAATCCGCGAAGTGAAGTCGTTGACTCTTGACCTATGCGACCAATTACAACCCGGCGTTATTAAGAGCGACTTAGCCGAGCAGGTCATTAAAAACTTGGTGTTTGTGGCGCGTGTTTTGGAAAAGGTTCCTGATGACGCGACTGTTAGTTTGTTGTGGTTGACGAAACGTATGCGCAAAATAGTGAATAGTGAGGTGGTCGAAACCCCGAGTAGTACTGTTTTGAGGACGGAAGTGTTTAAGTGGATCGCTGCCGTTAGTACCGTCCTCGAACTAGACAGTCTTAGCCGAATTTTAAACCACCTTCTAGCCCCTCTCGTGCGCGAGATGATAACCACCGAGGAAAGCAACGCCCCCTTGCGCCAACTCTCCAAAGAAGTCGCCCACCTCCTCAAAAACAAAGTCGGCGTGGAGACCTACACCAAACTACTCTCCGGCTTGCAGCAAGCCCTGTCCACGAAACGAGCCGAACGCAAACGAACCCGGACCCAACTCGCGGTAACCGACCCCGAGGCCTTCGCCAAGAAGAAAATCAAGCACCACGAGAAGAAAAAGGAGGCGAAGAAGCGCAAACTAGCCACAATCAAAGGGAAAAAGAGCTTCAAGCGACGGAAAATGGTGGATTTGGACCCGGAATCGGAAGTGATGTGACGGGACGGTTTGAAATGGCGCGTTTTTCGGTCAAGCGCCACACCTCGATTGCACAATAAGAGAAAGTTCCATGGCCGCCTTAGTCGCGATGTCGCTTTCTGCAAAGATGTCTGTCGGTTTGGTCGTTTTTGTGGTGGTTGTAGGGGTTGTGGTGGGGTACGACCCGTCGGATCCCGAAGTGAGCTCGGTGCTGCCGCCGAAGGGGACGTTCGAGGCGTTCTATCCCAGGGGAGTGGAGCCGGGCAGCTCGAGGGCGGCGCACTCGCACGGGAGCTTCTACAAGTACAGGAACCCGGCGCTGGTGGATGCGAAGAACGCGGCGGCGTACGGGTTCAGGTTCGATGGGGGGAGGAGGTTCAACTACGACTGAAGGGGGGTGGAATGCGGAGTTGCGATCTAGAGGTGTGGAGTTTGTTTGTACCTGTTTTGTATATCGGAGGAAATAAAAGTTGGTATAGAGTGGGGTGTTTCTTTTTGGGACTGGTGGTTGCCTACGTTGTAACAAATATCACAGAAAAATCGACGAGGTTGAAGATAGGCAACACAAATTACTTAGTTTAAAAATGCATTCCTGATTTTAAATAAGTGAAAGGTCACCAAGTGTGTGTACGTAAAAAATAGAAAAAACTTGACATTGACCGTGGAAACCTTTCCATTCTCACGTCGGTCCTCGCAGGGGTGTGCTTTCCCATCTGGCCGTTAATTGCCCTCCCGGGCGGGTCGTGCCTGGTGGCCGCCCCCCGGAATCGTTAATGAAAGCGCTCTCTCTTCATAATTTGGAGATTCTTAAATTAATATACATGTCACAGAGGGCTAAGTGGCCGGCGTCGGGCGGAGATCCCGTCTAGGATAAGAGCTCAACGCCCCCCAGCAATGCATCACCGAGGGAAATTACTTCCCAATCCTATTATCATTCCATTCTTGGTACGGAAAAAACAAGCCATAAAGTGGGTATCGACAAGCCGCGGTCATCGACTGGCTCGAATCTACATTTACATGATTCTTTACAGCCGGAGACATCTCGACCCTTTTAACGTGCCATAAATCTGAGTGTGTGGCTAATTGGGCTTTTTAGGATAGCGATGATGAGTGGTGGTGTTTTTCAATCCGAGACTATTATTGCCAGAGAATTTAACAGTTGTAATCAGGTTCTCAAATTTCGTATAACAAACACTTTAAATAACTCCATCGTGGTCTGCCTTCACGAACCCGAGTCAAACGGGCCCGACAAATATCCACACATAATTTACGTAAAACAAACTTCGAACCGACGAATTTCAAACAGGTTTCAAAGAATCCCACCACGAAGTGATAAATGTCGTGGTACTGCAATGTCCGACAGTTAAGACTACTTAAAAAGGGATAAGGACAACCGGTTGACGGCCGTTTAGATCAGAGACATCCTCATAACTCGCTTGTCTAGTAAAATTTCTACAAAATCGGGCACCATCTGGCACTTCTCCGCTAAACAGTGTTTCTTTTTGACCGTCCCAATTCGTAATTGAATTTTCAACCCATTATTTGTCTTCATCGAGCCGTCAATCACAGTTTGATGGATGATGTGTGAAGATTCAAGCACGTTTGCGCTGTGGGTGGCACGGGTCTCTTAGTCGTAATTTTGGCAACGTTGCTAAAAGTAGCCAATGACGAACGGGGCTCTAGGCTTCACCAATTGCTTGAGAGGCTTTAGTTACAAAATTCGCGCCAGTCCCTTTGACACGATTTGCTCACAATGCAATTAGAGGACGTAACGGTGCTTGGATATAACCGCTTCGTCGAAAGTGGCGTCTTGCATACAAATCTGTTTTATTAAAAACGGTAATTATATAGCCTCCGGTGCTTTGGGATTTATACCAAATTAAATTTTTCCCCGAAAAGTCCTCCCCAAGTGATTGAAATAGTTCTAGCCCGCTTCCCCAATTACTCCTTATTAAGATTTCGTTTCGTATCGTCGACTATTTAGGTTACCGAAATAAATCACGGGCAAAGGCGCCGATCTCGATTATCCCCGGTATCTAACCCACCATCACGTACCACCAGAATTATAACTTATCGCCTATATTACCAGTGATACCGACATATATCAAATATGCATATCCTCCGAACGCACCAATTACTATCATTTTTACCCCGGATCGGGATCGGTCCCCATACGCCACATTTACATAATCACTATTTATTATGCCGTGTGTACGTATAAATGCTATCTAATTAACCGTGGCTAATTTATCTTTGCTTTATAATCATGGGAATGCTGGGCCGAGCGACCCTACGGACGATATAGCCATAATCGCGTAGAGTGTGACAAGTGCAGCGTTGCCATGTCGATGGCGTTGTGTGACACGGGATCATTAAAGAGACTCGGATTCCTGAAAACGAAACGCTCATTGAACAAACAAAATGCGACCATAAACCTACATAATTTAGGTAATTGGCTCACGGAAGACCACAGCGGGATTTTTTACGACGATAAACATCCCCGAGGTGGAGATTAATCACGACGTGGAGGAGGCGGAGAGCCGGCTTGCGGTTGCGTGAGATAGGCGAGGATCGAACTTCGGGGCAGTAATGATGGTGTTGTCGATTGTGGCTTTATGAGCGGAAGAGCGATAAATTCCAGCTGGAATGATCAACAATGAATAATCTAGAAGTCGTCTCTTTTGAAATGTGAAGTTTGTGTTGCAAAAACTTACTCATATTTTCTTCTTCCACTTCGGAGACGACTGCCTCGTCTAAATTGTCTTCTTCTTGTCAAAGCTTTTGGTCGATTCTGCTTCAAGGCTTTCAAGGTTTTCAAGGTGTGACTTTAAGAAAGTACACAATTTCATAAATATGCTAAAAAGAGAAGTTAGTGTGAATGTTAAAGGTGGGATGAAACTTACCCAGGCAGATTGGCTTTGAGGATTTCTTTTGGGTAAACGCTGCAACAACTTAACTAGGGCTAAAGACATCGGGACCCGTAGCAAGTTTTCTTCTTCGCGCTCAAACCCGGTCTTCTTCCTGTTGACTTTATAAGACGTATCGTGATGAGTGAGTTCGGTTAAAGCTTTGTGGAGTTGGGGCAAGAGGACCGTTTGGATGCTTCTGGTGACTCTCGTAGCCGTCAACTTACACAAAATTGGAACCTTATCGCATATTTTTGTTTCTTTCAAAGTCGTTTGTTCTTCTTCGTCATCCTCTTCTTCTAGTTCGGAGACAACTGGCTCGTCTAAATCGTCGATTTTGTCGTCGTCTTCCTCGACTGCTACACTTTGTTCGTTTTCTGGTGGTGACTCACTGTCTTTATTGTCGTCCTCAGTTTTGTGTTCTGGCTCGCTGCCAACTTGAGCTTTGCTCAAATCGCAGTGAAACGCATCTAAAATTGCTACCGTGACTCTAACCAGCTGCTTTTGGTAGTCGATATTCTTCTTCAACTTCGCCAAATAGAATTTAAGGAGACTTTCGTACTGGTGCCACGCTAAGATTCGACATACGGTCCCTATACACTCGATGGAAGCGTCAATGACACTGTTCTTCCCCACGTACTTCTCGCTACACAAGTAGAAAAAAGCCAGTGGAAGAACGAACTGCGTCAGAGTTCGCACATTTGGACTCGTCGTCAAATCCCGGGTCACCGTACAGAACTTGAGAAGAGCTCTGGCGTGACGATGCAACTGCAGATGCGTTATATTCTCGAAAAAGTCGACTTCGGGGTCACTCTTATTGGTGTACCGATTTAAATCGTGCAACACGACATGACTTTCAGAACACTCTCTCGCCAAGTGTCCCAATGTAAGAATACACTCATTCCGGAAATCGTCGTTGCGGTTCTTCATCCCTTTCCGAATCATGTCGAAGACGGTTTCACTCAAAAGATAATCGAGTTGTTTGGGGTACTGTTTGATCAAATAGGACGTCAACTGTCTGAGGCAATGCGACGAGTTCTCTCTCAACGATAAGTCTTTTTCGCTCTTGAGCAAATAGTAGCAGTTGTAGATTAGTAAACCTCCGAGTTCCAAGTCCACGTGTTGAGTTTCTATAGCTTTTTGAATGTCTTTGAAAGTATCGTGGCGACGTTGAAAATCGGGTTGGTCTATCCACTTATGGTCGAACGCGTTCAGTCGTTCGATTAACTCGAGTTCGAGTTTGGTGCCTACGCTTTTGAGAGCTTGAATCAGGAGTTTGCGACCGGAGGCAGAAGCGACCTCTCCGAACAGAGGTGTGAAGTGTTTCAACTGTTGACGGGGGTTGTCGGCGTAATTAATAAGATTACTAACTGTGGTGAGGAGTTGGATGATCACTTCGTCGCCGGTTGATGGTGTGCAACGTTTCAAAACTTGTGGCAGGAGCAGCTTCAGGGTACTATCAAGAGTTCCGGTTGGTTCAAACTCTTCTTCCTCTGCAGTTGTCGTTTAATTTTTTCCAGAATTGAGGGTACGTACGGTAAAAGAATGCAGCTGCTGTAATTTAGTTTGTCGTCGATTTTAACTCGATCGCGAATGTTCTTAGCGATTGGTAGAAGATTGTCTACAGGTATGACGAGTTGTAAGTCTTCCTCGTTTGCTTGAAGCGTTAGTAGTTTCTCGATCATCTCTTCAATCACGTTGACCATCGTTATCTTGCTCTTGTCATTAAGCAAGAGTTGAATGACGTGTGGTAAGACGAATTGCTCTTTTTTGTCGTCTTCGTGTTTGATGAGAAGAGAGAAATAGCGACGGTTGCTTCCCCATTGGATGAACAATTTGAGTAAAGTGGTAGGACTGTGGATACCTTCTGTGTTCAGTTTGTCTAAGTAAGGCCAACCGAAGACTTTGAAGATCGTGTTAATTTGTTTGTTAGTCCAAGGGTAGTGATCGAACTGGCTGAAGATTCGTTCGACGATAGACGTGAGAAGGTCATTCCCCATTAAGCCTCTAAACTGATCCAGAATCACATTGAGGAGGTTAATAGTACTTTGAAGTCGTTTAGTAGGGATGAAATATTCCAAAGTAACATTCTTACGTAATTTTTCGACCATAACCTCAGGATCGTCCTTCAAGTGTCTCGCGTAGTACTGAAGCGCCATTTTCGTAAAAGTTAACATTTCGGTCTCTTGGCATCCAGCTACGAACCGAAAGACTAAATTCCGGCGAGATTCTGGAGATTCTGGAGAATCTAGAGATTCTAGAGATTCTAGGAATTCTAAGAGAGATTTCAAAAGTTCTACCGATTCTAAGGATTCTAACGAGCCTAGAGATTCTAGAGAGTCTGGAGAGTCTGAAGATTCTGGAGGTTCTAGAGATTCTAAGAAATCTAAATATTCTAGAGATACTAGAAATTCTGGAGATTCTGGAGATTCTAGAGGTTCTGGAGATTCTGGAGGTTCTGGAGAATCTGGAGATTCTAGAGATTTTAGAGATTCTAGTGATTCTAGAGATTCAAAAGATTTTAGAAATTCAAGATATTTTAAAGATTCTAGAGAATCTAGCAATTCTAGAGATTCTAGAGATTGTAGAGGTTCTAAAAATTTCAAATATTCCAAAGATTCTAGGGATTCTGGAAATTCTCAAGATTCTGGAGAAAATTGAAGAGATTCTAGAGATTCCAGAGAGTTTGGAGAGTCTAAAGATTCTGGAGATTCTTGACAATCCAATGATTCTAAAGATTCTAAGGATCATAATGAGTCTAAAAATTCTAGAGATTCTAGAGATTCCAAAGACTCTAGAGAATCTAGGAATTCTAGAAATTCTGAAAATTATAAAGCTTCTAAAGTTTGTTAAGATTCTAAAGATTTCAAATATTCCAAAGATTCCATTATTCTCAAGAATCTAAGGATTCCAAAATGTCTAAACATTCTGGAGATTCTGGAGATTCTAGAGATTCAAGAGATTCTAAAGAGTCTAGAAATTCTAGAGGTTCTAGAAATTCTAGAGATTCCAGAGATTCTAAAAATTTCAAAGATTTCAAGGATCCTAACGAGTCTAAAGATTCTAGAGATTCTAGAGAGTTTGGAGAGTCTGGGGATTCTGTAGATTATAGACAGTCTAGAGAGTCTAAAGATTCTAGGGAATCTACGGAGTCTAGAGATTCTAGAGATTACAGAGATTTTAAAAATTTCAAAGATTCTAGAGAGTTTGGAGAGTCTAAAAATTCTGGAGATTCTAGAGATTCTGGAGATTCTACAGAATCCAATGATTCTAAAGATTCTGAGGATCAAAATGAGTTTAAAAATTCTAGAGATTTCAGAGATTCCTAGGATTCTAGAGATTCTAGGTATTTTAATGATTCTAAAGAATCTAGGAATTCTAGAGATTGTGAAAATTGTAGAGCTTGTAAACATTTCAAATATTTCAAAGATTTCAAAAATTCCATTATTCTAAAGTTTCTAAGAATTCAAAGAAGGTTAAGGATTCTAGAGATTCTGGAGATTCTAGAGATTCAAGAGATTCTAGAGTCCAGAAATTCTAGAGATTCTAGAGATTCCAGAGATTCTAAAAATTTCAAAGATTTCAAGGATTCTAAGGAGTCTAAAGATTCTAGAAATTCTAGAGAGTTTGGAGACTCTAAAGATCCTGAAGATTCTAGACAGTCTAGAGTGTCTAAAGATTCTAGAAATTCTAGAGATTCTGGAGATTCTTGACAATCCAATGATTCTAAAGATCTTAAGGATCATAATGAGTCTAACAATTCCAGAGATTCTAGAGAGTTTAAAGATTCCTGGAGATTCTGGACATTCTGGAGATTGTAGAGATTCTAGGGAATCCAAAGATTCTAGAGATTCTAGGTATTTTAAAGATTCTAGAGAATCTTTGAATTCTAGAAATTCTGAAAATTATGAAGCTTCTAAAGATTGTTGAGATTCTAAAGATTCCAAAGATTTCATTATTCTAAAGATTCTAAGGATTCCAAAATGTCTAAAGATTCTGGAGATTCTAGAGATTCAAGAGATTCTAAAGAGTCTAAAGAGTCTAGAAATTCTAGAGATTTTAGAAATTCTAGAGATTCCAGAGATTCTAAAAATTTTGAAGATTTCAAGGATTCTAACGAGTCTAAATATTCTAGAGATTCTAAAGAGTTTGGAGAGTCTGGGGATTCTGTAGATTATAGACAGTCTAGAGAGTCTAGAGATTCTAGGGAATCTACGGAGTCTAGAGATTCTAGAAATTTTAGAGATTCTAGAGATTACAGAGATTTAAAAAATTTCAAAGATTCTAGAGAGTTTGGAGAGTCTAAAAATTCTGGAGATTCTAGAGATTCTGGAGATTCTAGAGAATCTAATGATTCTAAAGATTCTAAAGATCAAAATGAGTCCAAAAATTCTAGAGATTCTAGAGAGTCTAGAGATTCTGGAGATTCAGTACATTCTGGAGATTGTAGCGATTCCAGAGATTCCAAGGATTCTAGAGATTCTAGGTATTTTAAAGATTCTAGAGAATCTAGGAATTCTAGAAATTCTGAAAATTGTAGAGATTGTACAAATTTCAAATATTCCAAAGATTCCAAAAATTCCATTATTCTAAAGTTTCTAAAAATTCCAAGAAGTCTAAAGATTCTAGAGGTTCTGGAGATTCTAGAGATTCAAGAAATTCTAGAGTCCAGAAATTCTAGAGATTCTAGAGATTCCAGAGATTCTAAAAATTTCAAAGATTTCAAGGATTCTAAGGAGTCTAAAGATTCTAGAAATTCTAGAGATTCTGGAGATTCTTGACAATCCAATGATTCTAAAGATCCTAAGGATCATAATGAGTCTAACAATTCTAGAGATTCTAGAGAGTTTAAAGATTCCTGGAGATTCTGGACATTCTGGAGATTGTAGAGATTCTAGGGATTCCAAATATTCTAGAGATTCTAGGTATTTTAAAGATTCTAGAAAATCTCTGAATTCTAGAAATTCTGAAAATTATAAAGCTTCTAAAGATTGTTGAGAAACTAAAGATTCCAAATATTTCAAAGATTCCAAAGATTCCATTATTCTAAAGATTCTAAGGATTTCAAAATGTCTAAAGATTCTGGAGATTCTGGAGATTCTAGAGATTCCGGAGATTCTAAAAATTTCAAAGATTTTCAAAGATTCTAACGAGTCTAAAGATTCTAGAGATTCTAGAGAGTTTGGAGAGTCTGGGGATTCTGTAGATTATAGACAGTCTAGAGAGTCTAGAGATTCTAGGGAATCTACGGAGTCTAGAGATTCTAGAAATTCTAGAGATTCTAGAGATTACAGAGATTTTAAAAATTTCAAAGATTCTAGAGAGTTTGGAGACTCTAAAAATTCTGGAGATTCTAGAGATTTTGGAGATTGTAGAGAATCCAATGATTCTAAAGATTCTAACGATCAAAATGAGTCTAAAAATTCTAGAAATTCTAGAGGTTCCAGAGATTCCAAGGATTCTAGAGATTCTAGGTAATTTAAAGATTCTAGAGAATCTAGGAATTCTAGAGATTCTGAAAATTGTAGAGATTGTAAAAATTCCAAATATTCCAAAGATTCCAAAAATTTCATTATTCTAAAGTTTCTAAGAATTTCAAGAAGTCTAAAGATTCTAGAGGTTCTGGAGATTCTAGAGATTCAAGAGATTCTAAAAATTTCAAAGATTTCAAGGATTCTAAGGAGTCTAAAGATTCTAGAAATTTTAGAGAGTTTGGAGAGTCTTAGTACTCATCTTACCGAACACTATTCTCACAATAAAAGGTACTAAATCGTCCCGATGGTCGCTTTGGATGGTACCGGTTTCCTTATCGATGTGAAACGTCGTCAACTCGTTTTTGAAATTCTTATCGTCTACAAGATTGTAAAGGTGGTCTTTATAAGGCGTTAGAAACTTGTGCTTGTAAGTCATGACACAATCGAGTTGCCCCTTTTGGACTTTGGAACTTTTATGTTGGACTAAGTCGAAGTAGAATTTGTATAGTCCGAGCTCGCGGTACATGGATTTTGGACTGCGGACTTTAGAGAAGACAGCTAAGACATTGAAGGTACTCTGAAATTAGTACGTCAAATAAAAATGGAACCGTACCGACATACGTACTTTAATGTGGATTTCCCCGTTTTGGGTTTGGATGAAATTGTTCGTTCGTCTTTGGACTGATTAACTTCATCTTCGTAACCTTCATCGCGGTCACCGTCCTCTTGAACAGAATTCTGTTTGATGTTCCATTTAGTAGCCACCAGTGAGTTGTTTTTCTTGTACTCCTTTCTGTAAAAAAACGCTAGTACGGGTCGAATTTTTGACAAACTACTTACTCCACAAAGTCCAAAAACAACTTTCCACAACAAGAGTCTATAATTCACAAAATCCGGCGCCGATTTCAACTTTCCTCCCTCTTCAAACTACGCCCTCAAAAAATCCCACTTCGTCTCCAACACACCCACTTCTCTCTCCTCCCTCCCTCCCTCTTATATTGTGTACAACCCCTTCTAACTCCTCCCTGAACACCCCCCAAAACTCCCCAATCTCCAAACCGTGAGCCTGCGTCTCAATAATCCTCAAAATCAGATCCCACAACAACTTGAAATTTATATATAGAGCTCCACCCAAATACCGCAACGGAATCATTCGAAACTCCTCCTTATTACCCCTGATCATCTGAGGCTTGTCGAAATTGAGTCTCTCTAAATTTTGAAGTTGCTCTCTGTAAGTGTGCACATGCGAATCGATCGATTCAACTTTGTAACACAGAGAGAACACTTGGAATTTTTATTTAGGAACGTCGGGGTCGCAGGAGTGTCTTAAATCAAATTCTGGCAAATCCTCGAAGAACGTGTGGACGTGGGCGGTGACTAGACGAAATTCGGGGTGGAGCGAACTGAAACCAGTAGCAAGATTGGCCAATTTTTGCAAGAAAGTCGATGATGTTTAGGGCGAAAATGTGTTCTGTCAGCATCGCATTATCCAGATTAGTTAGTATTCAAATTCCGGCAAATCATCGAAGAAAGTCTACAGTGGGTGGTGACTGGACGAATTTCACGGAATCCCGCTCAGTTTTTGCAAATTTGTCACGTCGATAAAGAGTCTTTTTCTAAATCTTTGCAACCGAGTAGTTAAGAAAACGAACACTAAAATATACGTTTTTAAAGCGTCGTGAATTACACCACGCGATACGCATGAGGCATTTTTCAATTACCCTTCTCGAGTTTTCTATAATTTTACCCAATTACTGTGGAAAAAGCACTCACGACGAAATTACGTAAAGTCACTATTGGAGCGTGAAACACCAAACAAAAACTTGAGTATGTGTTGGATTTTATTAATAATAATCCAGACTCGTCGTTATTTACAAACTACAACAAACTGAAACGACTGTAAAAATATATACAAAAATAAAAAACACTACACATAAAACAACAACAACAATCAAGGTATTGTAGATGAAGATAGAAAAGTGAGAATTACAGAAATCGTCAAGGATAACCTATCTACTCTACTTTTCTACAAAGAATATCACAAGAAAATTTGTAAAACGGAAGGTACTGAAAGACTTAAAACTAGTATGACTTAGGGTCAATGCCAACCGCCCTCGAAGGAGAAGGGCTTGCCACCGTGACTATGTCCCAACCCGCCATCACCGCCACTCTCCGGTTTATGGTATATCGTCTTATAGATGGTATGCGTGTGCTTGATGGTCTTTACTGGGTACTTAATAATATACTTGACGTGGTGTTTGCTAAAAACAAAAATCAGTACCAAAATAGTACCAATTAGGGTCGACTTACCCGCCACCTCCACCCGCCGATACTTTAGCGACGAGAGCTACGAGGCACCAAATGAACTGAAACAAACCCATGAAGACACATAGTACTCCCACACCCATAACCTTACCCAAGTTATTATCTTCATCTTGTGAGTAGTGGATGGGACGATAGCCAAGCTGATAGTGAGTACGCAAAAGATCGCTTTTATAGTTATATGGGCCGACTCCGCCACGCGGAAACCCGCGGGTGAAATCCGCTCTCTCCCATCGCGGTCTGGATGGGCAAAATGGGTTCGACCCATCTCCGAGTCAGCGACGGTGTTCGGTACCGTTTCAAAGAGCAATCGCTGGTACCAGCGTCTGCCTTTTGTTGTTATTTTGGGTACTGTTTTTTGGAAAATGCATGTCGTACCATTGGAATGGCGATGTGTTGTGTAATAGTTCCGTGAACTAGATTTCCGAATTAGTTTTTTTAATTTTATTGGGGAATGTTTAAGAGTAAAAAGAAGATTGCTTCCGTACTTCCTGTTGCAGTTGAAGGATTATGTAATTTCGCTTGGTGTTTAATATTTAGTCTTTTTTTACGGTGAGCACCTTTCCAATTTTATATACAATGGGTGAATGTACGGGTTGTTCATTCAGAATATTACGGACTGTGATAATGATGTAATGATTTTAGACGATTTAGTTAGAGAAGTGAAGGGTAACAATAATTAGATGCTCTATTTTTTGCTTGGTAGAATAATGTTCAAAATAAATTTATATAACGTCAAGGTGGTACCAATTTCTTATCTTTTTAGAATATTTATTTTGTGCCAGTTTTAGTTACATTTAGAATAGTACTATTATCTATTCGTATTAATAATAATAATTATACTTTCTCCATTTTTGTCCAATTTGATTTTTATTTAATTGCGTGCGAGTACCATTAAAGCTATTTTTCTTATTGCATTTTAATCTCTGAGAAACCTTTTGTTATTCCAATTGTCATTACTATTTACAATGCAAATTAAAACAATTGCTTTAAAAACCACACAGATTCAATCTCCGCGGTACTACCGTATTTAGAAAACACTCTTCACGAATTATGATGTGTCACTCTGTCGTTTTGTGTAAATCATTCTCTATAATTATTGCCAATTTAGGTACTTACCGTAAAATTTTGGTTCCAATTTTAAGGTACTACCGACTGTGATAAAAAGGTGTTGCACAAATCATCATCTGTCACGACTGCCACAACACTATGCATTTATTTTGCTCAATGAACTGAAAATTAGAAAATGCATTGCGGAGTACCACCAACGAAGGTACAAAAACAAACAAAACAGACATAACAGCCACCTCACCGCAACGAGATAATCACAAACAAGCATAAATAAATGCGCAAAATTCGACGAAAAATTGCCTTTATTTTATTTCGGTGTTTTGAAAGCAGTACCAAGTTTTTGAATCTGCGCAAGAAATTAATTATGCGGTGGTACCGACATGTTTACACATGCAAATAGTTGCAGCAGGAAGAAAGTGCTACCATGATAATAAAAATGTTGAAAGTTTTGTGGTACTACATTGATTTACAGTGATATGAAAGATATAAAAGAATGTTTTGGTAGTACCACAAATGCAGATTTATTTTATATCGAATACTATTATGATGTAAAGGTATTACTTTTGAAAATGGAAGGTACTTTTCCATGACCACAAATTCTTCTTGTTTAGTCTGGGGTCATTTTAAAATCTACTTGGTGAAATTAAAATGACATGTATATGTCGTGTAGTACCTCTTAGAAAAAGTTGCTTCTGGTATACTTACCCTTGATTCCACGCTTACTTTTGTTACTAAGATCTCAAAACACTTCTCTCTTCACTCATTTTACCTAAATGGGTACTTTTGGTGTAGAGTACTACTCTAGTACGCCGCATCCCACTCCCTTTCGTAACGCTTTTCCTAAATTGCCCAAACATCGACACCCAATTACCAAATTCCCCATTGACTCACCTCCCGATGTCGCAAACCCAATTGATTGGCTCCCTCTGTATCGATTAATTATTGAACAATAGCGCGAAAAATGTGAAAGGACGATGTTATTTTAATTTCGGATGAAACGCTTAGCTGCGATCCGACCACAAAAACGTTTTTCATAAATATTTAAATTAAATTTAACACAGTTAATGCACCAGTACTGCCGTTCACGCCCGTGACGGCTGGCAATTTTGCACCATCTTCCACCTTTTTTAATAACTAGCCATTATGTAAGGATAATTACAAATTAGTCAATTGCTAGCACAGTTGGAAAAAAGAAAAATTGAATCAATCGGTCGAAGCTGTGTTACCGAAGCGGTGATGTCATGCAGAATTGGCTTTATTTCCGCTAGGAAAGAATGAAGCAATTAAGAGTTAATTAGGTGGTACTTCAATTAAAATTCTTGCAGGTTTCTATAAATTCACGATTTTGCCGCGTTTATTAAAACTTTCATGGGTCGTTAACAGAGCCTAATATGCATTTTTTAGGATGCAGTAGAAAGCTGCAAAAATTTCGCGTGGTAAGTACTCAAATAACAGTCATCACGGTGGAGTCAAAGAACTTTATTGCCTACTCTATTACAGCACTAAACAGACTAGAACCCGAAACTTGACACTTGGTAACCCACTAACCCGTGATGAAGTCGTACCTACTCGAATTACTGGCAGTACCATTTCTTTCAAAATTATGAGGCGACCCCTCTCCCGCGACTCTATATTTAACACTATATAGAGGTCTGGTGGTCGTTTGTTCGTCGAAATACTCATCCGGTACCACTTCGTCTTCCTCCACTTCCGGCTTCGGCAAATACTCATCCGAATACCCGTACGGTACCATCACATGAATCGTATCTAACTCGCCATCGTCTGACCGGCGAAAAATTTTAAACTTGAAAGGCGAAAATCCGCACTTTTTGAAGTACTTCTTGAAATATCTAAGTTTTTGCCTTTCGTGTTTCTTCAAGTACCTGATCCAGTGGAAGCGCCTGTCTTGAGCGACCGGTGAATGTAAAGAATAATCACCGACTTCCCGCCGTCTAAAAGTGAAACGGTACCACTCCATACAGATCTTCACAATTCTCTTACCTTTGACTCTGGCACAAAACCACACAAACCAGAAGCAAAAACCACCAAAAACGCCACATCGTGGCTACTGAAACACCATTTCAGTCACGAAGGTACTTATACCCAGAAAAATAACACACTTTTAAATCCTGATTTCGGTACTGTTACAACAAGTTCGCTACGTCGTTAAAGAAAACCCGTTGACACCAAATACTTCAATAAATAATTTTATTATTTATTAACTTAGGTACTACAATAGTATTTATATAAATTAGTAATAGTAAGTAAAAATTAACGTGCATCAGTCTTCTTAAGTTCTCCTGAGCAGCTTCCTTGAGGATGTTTTCAAGTAGTTTTGTGCTGATTGGTCACCACGTACTCCTGCGGTACTTTGTCGTACTCGAAATCCTGGGAAACGGGACACAGACAAGGTACCAGTTGCACGTTGTGGACGGCTGCGGGAGCGAGTTGCGCCTGCAGTGGTACTTGCACTGGTATCGAGGGCACGGACACGGCGACCGGTGGTTCCGTGTAACCCGGAGGCTGCATGAGTCGCTGGTGGTAGAAGTACTGAGGGTACGCAGGACTTCTGAAAAGAAAATGATTTTTAGATTTAAAAACTTACAATACATTATTTTAATAAAGAAAAACAAATTTTGGTTTCCTCTGAGAGAAAAAAGGTACCACTGCGGTAGTACATTTTCTAGTAAGGAAGCACTTTGGAAGCAAATGACACTGTTCCAGTACCCACCAGATTTCGATTGAACTGAATTGAGATAATTGTACAAAAAAGTACCAAGTGGTACCTAATAATAATCACAACCGGTACCACCCAAAAATTATCCGTTTAAAGTACTAAAAAACTTACGTCTCCTGGTTGGACGAGCCCCAGTTTAAGAAGAACGCCGACGTCGTCGACACCAGCACCGCCAAGAGCACCTGAAGAATTCATGATGACGCTTTGAAGGAACGCTGATCCGTCGAGACTTACCAACATCCCGCTGAAGGCGGCCATCGCGGACACCCCAAACACACCTGAACACCGAAAACACCAAAGAAAGAATGCAATAATCTGGCGCCGCGGGTGGCTTTTATAACCTCGACAGCCCTAACCTTGCCCTACCATCGGCCCTACGCCGACCAGAAGCACGTAACCTACGCACAGACGCATTAATTAATTTTACCTGGTGGAGACGGATCACGCGATGCTGCCGTCAAGGAAAGCCGGTTTTTTGGTTTTAGGGGAATCGGGCGGCGGCGGTGGGAAAGTCGGAGGATGTAGATATGTGGATGTGTGGATTTAGAGAGAGATTTTTAATAAATTTGTGAGGTTTCGATGGGTTCGTTGTGGGAAAAATTATGTTAGAGGAATTTTTGTACTGGATTTTGGAAGATTTTTTGAAGTAGTGAATAATGTAAGCCATGATTTTCTGGTCATATTTCTAAAAAAATATTTCTTATTTAAAAAAAAAAACGTAAAGAATTTCCGAGATTTTTAAAAATTCTTTCAAAAATAAAACACCAGGAGACCCTGAGATTCTTTCACATTTTAAAAAAAACTACCAGGGCTACTCATTCTTTCACGTTCTTTTTAAATTAAAAAATCAAGATCCCCAAGATTGATTTATGTTCTAAAAAACCATCAAGGGTACTCGAGATTTCTTCAGATTCTTTCTAAAATAAAACACTAGGGTCCCCCAAGATTCTTTAAAAAATTTTCAAAAACAAAGCACTAAGAACCCAAAACATCCTTTCACATTGAAAGAAAAACACGAAGAATTTCCGAGATTTTTTAAAATTCTTTCAAAAATAAAACACCAGGAGACCCTGAGATTCTTTCACATTATTAAAAAAATTACCAGGGCTACTCATTCTTTCACGTTCTTTTTAAATTAAAAAATCAAGATCCCCAAGATTGATTTACGTTCTAAAAAACCATCAAGGGTACTCGAGATTCCTTCAGATTCTTTCTAAAATAAAACACTAGGGTCCCCCAAGATTCTTTAAAAAAATTTCAAAAACAAAGCACTAAGAAACATCCTTTCACATTAAAAGAAAAACACAAAGAATTTCTAGATTTTTTCAAATTGTTTCAAAATAAAACACCAGAAGACCCTAAGATTCTTTAGCATTTCTAAAAAAAAAACTGCCAGGACTACTCAATCTTGCACGATTTTTCTAAATTAAAACATCATGATCTCCAAGATTGATTCACGTTCCAAAAAAATCGTCAAGGGTACTCAAGATTCTTTCAAACATTTTCAGATATAAAGCAACAAGAGACTCTAAGATTCTTTCACAATCTAAAAAACCATCAGAATTACTCAAGATTTTGTCGGGTTTTTCTAAAATAAAATACCAGGAGCTCCGAAGATTCTTTCAGAAAATTTTTAGAAACAAGACACTAAGAATCCAAAAAATCCTGTCATAGTCTTAAAAAAAAACACCATGGATACCTAAGATTGTTTCGGAATTTTTTCTAAAATATTATACTAGAAGTTTCCAACATGATTTTTCTTTCTTAAAAAAACACAAAGGATCCTGGGGACTTTTTCAAATTCTTTTAAAAATAAAACACCAAGAGCCCCCAAAATTCTTCACATTCTTGAGATAATCACTACGTGTACCCAAAATTATTTCAACTTCTTTCTAAAAAACACCAGGTGTTTTCCATCCCAAAATAAAACACCAAGAACTCCAAAGATTCTTCCAAACATTTTCAAAAATAAAGCACCAAGAAATTCCAAGATTCTTTAAAAAAAACACCACGGACAATTAAGATTTTTTCAGATTTTTTTCTAAAATAAAACGCTAGAGGCCCCCAAGATTCTTTGAAAAAATTTTCAGAAACAAAACATTAAACATCCAAAAACTCCTTTCACATTTAAAAAAAAAACATGGATACCTAAGATTCTTTCAGATTTTTTCTAAAATAAAACACTAGGAGTCCTCAAAATTCTTTCAAACATTTTCAAATATAAAGCACCAGGAGCCCCTAAGATTTTTTCACAATCTAAAAAATCATCAGATACCTAAGATTTTTTCGGGTTTTTTCTAAAATTAAAAATATCAAAATCCCCCAAAATTATAAAACAAATGTTCAAAAAAACCATCAGAGATACCCAAGATTTGTTAAGATCTTTTCTAAAATAAAATATCAAGGGACCCCAAGATTCTTTCAAAAATTTTCAAAAATAAAACACTAATAAGAACCCAAAAAATCCTTTCATATTAAAAAAAAAAATACCATGGAGACCTAAGATTCTTCAAGATTATTTTTCATTCTTAAAAAGAACACAAAGGACCTCCGGAACTTTTTCCAATTCTTTCAAAAATAAAACACCAAGAGCGCCCAAGATTCTTTCTCATATTTTTGAGAACACTACAGTTTCCCAAAATTCTTTCAAGCTCTTTCTAGAAACACCACGTGTTCCCAAGATTTTTTCAAAATATTCTCAAAAACAAAACACTAGGGAACCCAGAAGATCCTTCCATATTGTTAAAAAACAGCATGGATACCTAAGGTTCAATAAAACACCAAGGGCTCTAAAGATTCTTCCAGACATTTTCAAAAATAAAGCACCAAGAACTCGTAAAATTAAAAAAAAAAAACGCCACGCACAATTAAGATTCTTTCAGGTTTTTTCTAAAACAAAATACCAGGGGACTACAAGATTCTTTCAAAAAATTTTCAAAAACAAAACACTAATAAACCAAAAAAGTCCTTTCACGTTCTTAAAAAAACACCATGGATACCTAAGATTCTTTCAGATTTTTTCTAAAATAAAACACTAGGAGTCCTCAAGATTCTTTCAAACATTTTCAAAAATAAAGCACCGGGAGCCCCTAAGATTTTTTCACAATCTAAAAAACCATCAGAAATACCTAAGATTTTTTCGGGTTTTTTCTAAAATAAAATACCAGGGACCCCAAGATTCTTTCAAAAAATTTTCAAAAATAAAACACGAAGAACCCGAAAAATTCTTTCATATTAAAAAAAAATACCATAAGATTCTTCAAGATTATTTTTCATTCTTAAAAAGAACACAAAGGACCTCCGGGACTTTTTCCAATTCTTTCAAAAATAAAACACCAAGAGCGCCCAAGATTCTTTCTCATATTTTTGAGAATACTACAGTTTCCCAAAATTCTTTCAAGCTCTTTCTAGAAACACCAGGTGTTCCCAAGATTCTTTCAAAATATTCTCAAAAACAAAACACTAGGGAACCCACAAGATCCTTCCATATTCTTAAAAAAACACCATGGATACCTAAGGTTCAATAAAACATCAAGGGCTCTAAAGATTCTTCCAGACATTTTCAAAAATCAAGCACCAAGAACTCGTAAAATTCTTAAAAAAAAAAACATGCACAATTAAGATTCTTTCAGGTTTTTTCTAAAATAAAATACCAGGGGACTACAAGATTCTTTCAAAAAATTTTCAAAAACAAAACACTAATAATCCAAAAAATCCTATCACATTCTTAGAAAAACACCATGAACACCAAGATTCTTTCAGATTTTTTCTAAAATAAAACACTAGGAGTCCTCAAAATTCTTTCAAACATTTTCAAATATAAAGCACCAGGAGCCCCTAAGATTTTTTCACAATCTAAAAAACCATCAGAGATACCCAAGATTTGTTAAGGTTTCTTCTAAAATAAAATACCAGGGGACCCCAAGATTCTTTCAAAAAATTTTCAAAAATAAAACACCAAGAACCCAAAAATCCTTTCATATTAAAAAAAAAAATACCATGGAGACCTAAGATTCTTCAAGATTATTTTTCATTCTTAAAAAAATACAAAGAACCTCCGGGACTTTTTCCAATTCTTTCAAAAATAAAACACCAGGAGCCCCCAAGATTCTTTCTCATATTTTTGAGAACACTACAGTTTCCCAAAATTCTTTCAAGCTCTTTCTAGGAACACCTGGTGTTTCTAGAAAGAAACACCAGGTGTTCCCAAGATTCTTTCAAAATATTCTCAAAAACAAAACACTAGGGAACCCAGAAGATCCTTCCATATTCTTAAAAAAACACCATGGATACCTAAGGTTCAATGAAACACCAAGGGTTCTAAAGATTTTTCCAGACATTTTCAAAAATGAAGCACCAAGAACTCCTAAAATTCTTAAAAAAAAAAACACTACGCACAATTAAGATTCTTTCAGGTTTTTTCTAAAATAAAATACCCGGCACCCCTAAGATTATTCCTCATTGAAAAAAAAACACAATGAATTCTCGAGATTTTTTCAAATTATTTCAAAATAAAACACCAGAAGACCATAAGATTTTTTCACTTTCCTAAAAAAACTGTCAGGGCTACTCAGTCTTTCACGTTCTTTCTAAATTAAAAAATCAAGATCCTCAAGATTGATTCACCTTTTAAAAACCATCAAGGGTACTCAAGATTCTTTCAGATTCTTTCTAAAATAAAACACTAGGGGCCCTCAAGATCCTTTCAAATATTTCAAAAAATTAAGCAGCAGATTTTTTCATAATCTATAAAACCATCAGAGATACCCAAGATTTTTTCGGGTTTTTTCTAAAGTAAAATGCCATTGCTCCCGATGATTCTTTAAAAAAAAATTCAAAAACAAAACACCAAGAACTGAAGAGATCCTTTCATGTTCTTAAAAAAACACCATGGATACCACAGATTTTTTTCAATTTTTTTTCTAAAATACAATAATAGGAGTCTTCAAGATTATTTTTCGTTCTTAAAAAAACACAAAGAATCCTTGGAACTTTTTCAAATTTTTTAAAAAATAAATAATGTATTCCCAAAATTTGTGGTAAGTGAAATATATATTTTTTTTAATCAAACTGTATATGTAATTCTAAAGAATATGAATGGTTGTAGATTAATACAATTCTTAGATATAACTCATACATCAAAATTTTGAGATGACTTCATTAAGTTTTTGGATGGGGTAAACAAGTAAATTTTTTTGGAAGTTTTCAGACTGTTAAATGATGAATAAAAAAATGTAAAGATGGCGTCTCGCGGTTGGTCAATAATCCAGCCATATCTCGTCACATCCGTATTTTTTTACACTTGATCTGCTCCCTGCACCAGTTTTTAATTAGTAGATCACTTCCTTATTAGCAGTGAACAATAGAAAACCGACACGAAATAAAAAATCAGCCCACAGGAAGCTCCACTTAACCAAACAAATTTTCTGCTGACTAAGCCTCGATACAAACATTTTCAATAAAATAACCACACCGCCGGTATCGCGGTTTCAGTAATTAAAATATTGCAACAACCCGCTTCCTACTGTACACAATAAATTCTTTTGCACCTTTTTTACCCCGCTTTTAGTACCAACCTACTAACAAGAAAAATCACGAATCGTACTTGACGCAACGTTTATATAACACCAATTTCGTATCAGTCACTGGAGCACAAATGTCGCAAAATCTAGCAGCCAATTTAGCTCAATTTCTACAACTTTTACCCTTTTTCGAGCGGCGTTTGCTTTGTAGCTACTTCTTTGCGTAGTGAAAGCAAACAGGCAAACGCAACGTATTTTTTTCGCAGGCGGCTATGCCCATAAATCATATTTAATCTTCAAGGTCACATCTGTCACTTTATCGCCAGCGCCACCTATTTCAGAGGCGTTTTTAATAATGTTCAAACCTTGGAACTCATACTGTATTTTCCGACGCATCGCATTACCCATCCGAGACCCATCAAACCTAATAACAAGCAACAACTCCCGCGAGTACCGTCTTCGACCCACCAAACCCCCAATTTCCAGCGCCAGCGTTAATTATGTTATAACAATACCCGACTTGACCCAATTAAGGGTTTGTTGACACCGGTACCACCGAAAAATCTTCTTCTGCCGCATTCCTTCTGGTGCGGTACCACGCGCCCGTTTGAAAACGGCGTCGGTGTCGAAACAAACGGAAGCGTTTTTGCGCGACGGTGACAAATCGCAAAATTTCGAAGTTTTTGTCTTTGTTGGACGTAACCGCAATTGCAGGAACGAATTTCTGGTATAAAATGAATCGGGTGATCGATCAAAACAGTTGAATCGATGCGGTGGTACCATGAGGTCGTGATGCACTGGAACGTGCTTTGTGTCGTATTTCTGGGGGTGGTCGCGGGGCGCGGCAGTGCCGGGGCGAGAACTAAGTATGAGGTGATGCTTTTGAGGAGTACCATGTAGTACTGGGTGTTTGCAGGTCGCACACCAAGGTGCACGTGCCGGAGTTCGGAGGGTTCGGAGGCCACGACGAGTTCGGGGTGTTCGAGGAGGCGCAGATCGGCAGGCCGAGCGCGGAGTACCGCTTCGATACCGACGATCCCTACGGGTTTGGGAAAGCGAAAAGCGAAGAGTACCGGTATGACGACAGCCCGTACTACGAGCAGTACAATGTGAAACCAGAAATCAAGACCAAGCCGTTGAAGGACGGGTACAAGAAGTCGTGGAAGATCCTAAGAAGCGAGAAGATCGAAACGGAGACTATTGATAATCCGGATGCTGATAATCCGGGGAATAGGTACTTGCGGAAGCAGAAACACAAGGTCAGGGAGAAGTTACCGTACTTAGACAGCACGATCGGGTACGACCGCGAGTACGCTTATCCTGTGTCCGAGGTTCAACACGATCTCGAAAACAGCGAGAAAAATATTGATGTAAATAACGCAAAGACGGATCCTTTCTACAGTGAGGGTTACGAAGAGATAGATAGAGATCGCTTCGAAGACAAACCGAAGAAGTACAGCTACTTTTATAAGTACCCTACGAACGATGAGTTGTACGACAGAAACGTTCTTTACGTGAATGCGTACATCAACAAGAACAACCAAGAGCCAGAGAAATCCCCTCAGAAAGCAAAACAGTCTAAAAAGTACGACTTCGGCGACCTAAATTCCGATTTCCTCAAAACCGAGAAGTACCAGGCTCCAAGTTTTGATCATGGTTTAAGTAAAGGTGAACTCTATCGGAATTACAAGACTGATGGTCCTAGTTATGGTTATTATTAAGGGTTTGTTTAGTGTCCACATTCAGGAGAAGACGAGGTGCTTCTAAAAACTCGCTTGCCAGTACTGCTTACCTCAAAATTTGGAGGAGTTGTTTTTGTTGTATTTATTGTTTTTTACTGAATGTAGTAAATATACTGCTTTGTTGAAGCTAAAATGTGACTTCTACATTCACTTTGTGCATCCAAAAAGAGAAAGCTGATCAAAATTGTCACGGTACTACCTGGACTGTGACTTTGGAGTCGTTTTCTTTTATTTTAGTTTGTCTAGAAACTAATTAGTGACACTAGGAGCACGTTTGAGCACGTACCAAGTCTAGAGAAACTGAAACCGTGACGTAGTCTGAAAAAATTCTGGTACTATCTTGTCGAATTTTCTCGCACCTCTTAATTAAAAAAAAAAACGTCAGACAAGTCGGATTTTTCATTTTTATTATAAAAAACAAGTGTAAAATCAACAATAAAATAAGATTAAAAGGTACTAACATTAAAGGACTAGCAGACTTTTGTAGAGAGAGGAAGAAATTCCAGTAACAGTTTACTCGTAGCCTCCGTGGCCGCCGTCTCCTCCCTCATAGCTTTCGTAGCTGTTGCCCAGCTCGCCTCCTGCGCTGATCCCCTCGCTGGCGTGGCCGCCGCCGAAGCCGCCCCCGAAGCCGCCGCCGTAAGAGCCCAGCCCGCCGCCGAAGTCGTGGCCGCCGCCCATGTCCCCGCCGCCGTAGTCTCCCCCGCCGATGTCTCCACCCTCGTGGCTCAGCGCCGCCACGTGCCCGACTTCGTGGCCGCCATCGGAGCCGCCGCCACCGCCGCCGCCACTGCTGATGGCGTAGCCGTGGCCGCCCCCGATGCCGCCGCTCTGGCTGGCGCTCTCGTAGCCGGAGTAGCCGTGGCCGCCGCCGATGCCCCCGATGTCGCCGCCTATCGCGTGCGACTCGTCCGAGCTGCCGTGGCCACCGCCGAATCCGCCGCCGAAGCCTCCGTGCCAGCCGTGGCCGCCTCCGCCGCCGCCGCCGTGGGTGACCACCTCGCCGTCATCGATTCCTCCGGAGTAGCCGATGACCTTGTAGAACTCGCCGCCGCCGCCACCGCCGCCGCCGCCCTCGTGTCCCACATGCTTGACGACGGTGTGCGTGTGGTGGATGGTCTTGACTTTGAAGGGGACGTGGATGATGACCTTCTTGTGGCCGCTGCAAACAGAGGGTTAGTGGGGGTTGGAGTGCGGGGGCGGCTTACCCTCCGTGGCCGCCGGCGTCGCTCAGGCCCAGCAAGGAAATAATCCCGAAGGAGGCTATCTGCAATGAGAGGGGGTTAGTGGGGGCGGGGGTGGTCGGGGGCGGTTTACCACAAGACGGTAGGCCATTTGCGTGTGGCTACGTTGAGGATTTTACACTAGAGAGCTATGCACTGCACTAAATCCGGGAGATTTGTGATGGTGAAGGAGTTGGCGAGAGGCTATTTATATGGTTGGGTTTTGTTGGTAAAATGAAAGGAAAAAGATGGATCGAATGGTGGAATCATGAAAGTAGAAGAAAAACGCATTCGACCATACCTCGGGCTAATCTATTCGGTGCTCTCTTTCTAGGTGTGCATAGGCGGAGGCGAGGGAGCGGCGGCGGCGGGTCCGGGGAAATTCCCAAGTCGAAGAAGAAATTTTTGAGCTTTTTTTTCGTGTTGGAAGACCCGGATTTCGGGTTTACGCAAACCCATCGAGCGAAATAAACAAAAAAACAAAACCAAACTCTCCACACCTTAGAAAACATTCCAGATTTTTTCTTTTTTGACATTTTTGAAACCGATTCGAACTTTTTGGATTTTAACAACGACAAGTTGCGTGTCGCAGATTCTAAATTATAATCTATGCAAATCGGAGAAAATAAGTAGAACAAGAAATCCATAAGTCAAATTACAGTCTCGTCTAGAAACGCCTTTTTTGATCGTTTTCGCTTTCAGTGATACATTTTCTCCTTATTTGTTTACGTATATTAGACGGTGTAAACAAACTCGGATTACCGTAAACCGACCTTAACCTTTCCCGACCTCTAACTCACCATTACCGGTACTTTCACTCGCATTTTTCGATCTCATTCATTTCACAATTTTAGTTTAATTAGTATGATTCTACAAATTTTTTTATCGCGTTTGATGGGCCCGAAAAAAATAATGAAATCGAGTCTTCGCAAAAAATGGAGAAAATTAGGTGAACTTGAAAATAACGCAGGCTAATAAACTCCGAGCTTGGGAACGTAAAATCAGGCGACAGAGGAAAATTTGTTGTTTTGGTGGCACATTTTTTTCTAGCATCTAGAATGTCCAAGTTTAAGGTGTTAATAAATACAACAATAAAAATTGGTCTAAAGTTATTTCGAACTTTCCTTGTCCCTAAGAAAATTGAGAGTCGCCGGTAAAAAAGTAAGGGCGGATTAATAAACCACAAGTATAGAAGAAGCAAGATAGTAGAATCCCCGGACTATGACTTCAGTCAGATTGTTGTAATTGTGGTGTAGCACAAGGGTCAAATCTTGGACCGCTGTTATTCATTATGTTTTTCAATGATATTTCGCTTATCAAGTAATACCACTTTGTTTTCTTGACAATCATCCCTCGTCCATTTAATCATCACCAGGACCCTAAACCCACAATCTGCATCCACCTCCTCCGCCCATGGTTCATCGGCACCTCAGACAATTACCCGCCCGCCCGCTCTCCGCTTTTCGTTCTCCGTACCACAATTATCCCAAATTACATTCACCTCTTATCAGCGTGTCACCTCCTGCTTTTCCTTTCTAACCCATCGAAAGTAAAACCAAATCGAAAAAAAAATTCAATACCGTCCTAATCAGCGTGTATTTTTCCCATCGTCAGTGCAATTTCGGTCCCTCGACCATCAACAGCCCGAATTTACCCGGTACGGTCACGTACCGGCGGGTACCATGTCGGTAATTACGCTTTCATCAATATTGTGATGGTGATATAAACGTGTGATGGAGGATCCTGGGCCAGTGCTGCGACGACATGGGGCTCGGGCACGTACAGGTGGGTCTTCTTTTTGACAATTTTTGAATTCGGTTGATTTTGGTTTTGTTTTTTCAGGTGGCGTTGCTGGCGCTGGGTGTTCATTGCGTGGCGGCCCTTTTCGAGCGGTAGGTCGCCGGACCATGGGTGTTGGTACTGTTGGTAAAAACGTAACGACTTTCCATTTGTTGGCAATGACTTTTACTCGATTTTTTGCTTGAATTCTTCGGTTATTGTCGTGGTAAATTATTTCATTTCTCGGCTACTTTCCGAGGCTGATAATTAGAGTTGATAGAAAACGGAGTGATTTCATTTCCCAATGGGAAAGTGGATGAGGCTGTATTTGGAAAAAACGATGGGCGGTTTTGAATTCTTTGAAGCCGTGTTTGGACCTGTTTATCAGATAACGGTATAATGTTCATTAATGGATAGTAAAGTGGTGTCTAGTAACATGATGACTCATTTTCTAAAAAAGCAAACTTTTTGGGTTTACTTTCTTGAGAAAAGTCGATTTTGTAGTGTCAATGTCAATGTCTCGAAATGCCCCAAGCCAATTTTTTTAAATGTGTTTATAAGTGCTGAGGATTCAGCTTAATCCAGTAAACAGAGAACGGAAATCTCCACAAAAACCTTTTTTTTTTGTTTAAATGACTTGACGAAACTATTTTAATTCAATTTTTTGGACCGAATTCTTGGTTCTAGTGAAAAATTCTAGACATGTCAAAACTAAGTGAACCATCCAATGTTTTGGAATTAATTGAAAACATCGATGTAGACCAGATGTAAATTAAATTTCGTTATTTAATCACTTCCTGAAAAAGTGAACAATTTTTTTTCAAAGGAACTCGATTTTTTCACTAACCTGAAATCAAAATCTGGAAAAAGTGAAATGAAATTGGTCGTAATACTAAGATGACGTCCACTTTTACTTCCCGAGGAGCAGTAAAGTTACTTCAGTGCATTGATAATTTAAAACTTGTCCAAAATCTTGCTTCATCACCATTTACTACCAATTAGTGTCCAGAGAAATTTCGTTACAACGTGATTATTCAAGGTCGGAGAAATTCGTGCACATTTGAATGATTCAAACCGTAATTTAAAATATTCGTACTAATTAATTCGTGACAAAAAAAGTTGGAATGTTGTAATTTTGTGCTTTTTTGACTTTACAAAAATTTAGCGCAGTCACAATAAATTTGCAACTTCATTGAAATGAATAAATAACGTTCGATTTGTCGTGTCTCTTGTGACGACGAACCCGGATAAACCTTCAAAAAAAAAAAAGCATTAGATCCTCATTCTCACTGACTTAATGAAGCTCTCATTAAAAGAAAGTTCTGTTTATTGCGATGACGGTTTCATCACCCAGACGAATTTCTATCGACCGTCAATTTTATTAATTGTATCGTCAGCGAGTAAAAAGCGCTTCCACTTTATTGTGAGCAAACAGCTTTGTATCGTTAATTGTAACTTTCGCGGGTTCATTAAATAATAATAAAAAAAACTTCTAATTGAAGAGTGCGCAAAGTTTGTTTAATAATAATAAGGCGTGAAAGAGATTGTGAAGAAAAGCGGTTTACTTTGGTAACTCAGATTCCACTTTAACAAAATCATAAGCTTTTACGTGAAATTCACTCCATATCAATGCATTTTCTCTTTTTATGTTTCATATTTATGTCTAACGACTTCCATCACTTTCGATATTAAATTAGCATGAAAATCGTTGCTTGTTTAATTATGCTTTGCTTGAATCGCACGCGACATTTATAAACGCGGTTCCAGTGGTCGAAACTGTATTCCAGTGGTGTGTGGGGTCGAGGTTGCTGCGAACACAAATTTCACGCTTGAAATTATGCAAGTAAGTGGCAGAATTTTTAAACTAATTAGAAGTTCTGCCACTTAAACTTGACTCCGTTCTGTGTATTCTATTTTTAGACGTTCTATTAGTATTCTGCAGTTGGCAATAATACATAATGGTGAAAGCACTGGAGATTGCAGTGGCGGATCACGACGGGAAACTGTTTATAATGATGTGACATCTGATTCTGCGTTCTTGATAATGAAGTGTTCAGACAGACGTGAAAAGCGACCTTCGGTGATTGTTTCATATCGGTTTTGTAATCTTTGTGGTGACAGACTCCAGACACGTTAAGTGTTGCTTTTTTTTGTATCTATTATTTTTATGTCATCAGTATTGTATTTTCGTGACTAATGATTTCCTTTTACATTTAAATTCATAGATTTATTGATTTTGTTTCGAAATTTTTAAAAATCTTGTTTTTCGGAAATTTATAAAGATTTTTTTCTGTGGTAGTAAATATTATATTTCTAATATTTGAAGTAGAATTAACTATTACATGTATTATTACAATTAAATTTTGAAAGCGGCTTTAAAGTACCACGTGACCGACTCTACTCCATTCAGATCGCAGAGCGCAATAAAAAACACGATCAAAGACAGTCATGGCTTTACGGCGGTTTGTCTTCGATCGTTGCATTTTTTTTTTTTTTTCAGATATACATCTTCAAAAATTCAAGGTTGTCTTTGATCGTGTTCTTTATTGATCTCTTGGTGTAAACTTGCCCTACATCACCCTGTGTTGAAGGTTTTGAAAATTAACATTTTAAAGTCATAAGAGCAGTTCTAAGAAATCTGAATTTAATTTCTCTGTGAAAAATTTAATGAAGTGGAACTTAGTAAATTAATTTTTTATGTTTAATTTTCTACTTCCAACATATACAAACTTCCACTTATTTGTTTGTAAAAATTTAAAAGCGACTTTGTTTTTTTTACTTCTATGGGTTGAAAAATAATAATTTTAAAATCAAATCAATTTTTTCTGCAAACTGTTATGAAAAATTTGATTTAAAAAATAATGAAATTCGACTAATCTGAATTTTCATGTCAAGTCAAATTTGTATTTTTTGCGTCTATTATTATTAAAACTCAAAATAACTATATTATAAAAAAATGGCAAATTTAGTGTACTTTAACTCTCATGGTATTTTTCTAAATTTTGGAATTTCTACTAGATAAATAAATTAGATGAAATTAATTAAATTCCGAAAGTGTTCGTTTTTTGACAATATTTTTATTTACTAATTTAAAACATTCTTCTGTATTTTATTAATACTTTTATCTGTCTGTCTATTTATCAGTCTGTTTATTCATCTGTTCATCTATCCATCTATATATCTATCTTCTTTGATGTTTTGACTTTTTGGGTTTCGATTTTTCAATTTCTCGGTTTTTAAATTTTTTGATTTTTTAATTTTGAACCTTTATTAGTCTCCATTTTTCAATTTTTCGATTTCTCAATTTATCCAGATTTCAATGTTTCGATTTTTTAATTTTTCAATTCTTCGATTTATCGATTTTTTTAATTCTAAACATTTTCAATTTTGTACCATTTCGGTTTCTTAATTTTTTGAGTTTTTATTTTCCGACTTTTCGATCTTTTGATGTTTCGATTTCTCGATGTTTCAATTTTTGAATTTTTCAGTTTCGATTTTTGTTAGCATTTTTCGATTTTTCCGTTTTTTAGATTTTTCGTACATTTCAAACTTTTGGATTTTTTGATTTTCCAATTCTTCGATGTCTCAGTTTGATAAATTGTCCAATTTTTCATCATTTCAGTTATGGAATTTTTCAATTCCCAGAATTTCAGTTTTTCGTTTCAATTTTCCGATTTTTCAATTTTTCGATTTTTAAATTTTGGATTTTCGATTTCTCAATTTCTCATTTTTCGACTTTTCGATATTTCAATTTTTCGAATTTAGGTTTGCTCAGTTTTTCAATGATTCGATTTCTCGATCTTCCGATTTTTTGACTTCTGGGTCTTGAATTCTTCGGTTTTTTAATTTTTCGGCCTTAAATTTTCCCATTTTTTAGTTTTCCATTTTTCAATTCATCGAACTCTCTAGATTTCCATGTTTCGATTTTTTAATTTTCCGGTTCTTCAATATATCGATTTTTTTTATTTTAAATTTTTCAATTTTTAATTGTTCGATTTTTTGATTTTTCGTTTTCCGACTTGTCGATTTTTCGTTCTTTTGATGTTTCGATTTCTCGATGTTACAATTTTTGAATTTTTCGATGTTTCGATTTTTTGGTTTTTCGGTTTATCGATTTTTCGTAATTTTCGAGTTTTGGATTTTTCGATTCTTCGATATTTAAATTGTCAATTTCCCACTTTTTCATCATTTCAGTTTTTCCCCAATTTTCAGTTTTTAGATTCTTCGACTTTCCCTTTTTGCATTTTTTCGATTTTTTAAATTTTGCTTTTTCGATTTCTTAATTTCTCGGTTTTTCGACATTTCGATGCTTAAATTTTAAGAATTTTTAGATTTTAGGTTGTTCAGTTTTTCAATAATTCGATTTTTTGATCTTTTGATTTTTCGACTTTTGGGTTTTAGATTTTTCGATTTTTCCATTTTTCGGTTTTTATATTTTTCTATTTTTTAGTTTTCCATTTTTCAATATATATATTTTTGGAGATTTCTTTTCGATTTTTTAATTTTTCGATTCTTCGATTTATCGATTTTTTTAATGTTAAATTTTTCAATTATTAACATTTCGATTTTCCGATTTTGATCCATTTCGATTTCCCAATTTTTCGATTTTTCGATCTTTCCATGTTTCGATTTCCCGTACTTTTCGACTTTTGGATTTTTTAATTTTCCAATTCTTTCGATGTTTCAATTTTCAATTTTTCAATTTCCCAATTTTTCATCAATAATAATTTTGGAATTTTTCAATTTCCCGAATTTTCAGTTTTTCGATTTTTCGATTTTTCAATTTTTAACTTTTCGATTTTTCGATTTTGGCCCATTTGGATTTCCCAAGTTTTCGATATTTTGTTTTCTGATTTTTAGATTTTTAGTTCTTTTGATGTTTCGTTTCGGTTTCTCTATTTTTCAATTTTTGAATTTTTCAAATTTTCGATTTTTCGATCTCTGGCTTTTTCGCTTTTTCGTACTTTTCGAATTTTAGATATTTCGATTTTCCAACCCTTCGATGTATAATTTTTTCAATTTTTCAGTTTTTGGATTTTAAAATTTTGGATTTTCGATTTTTCAATTTTTCGGTTTTTCGACTTTCCAATATTTCAGTTTTTCGAATTTTTTAATTTTAGGTTCTTCAGTTTTTTAATGTTTCGATTTCTCGATTTTCCGATTTTTCGACTTCTGGGTTCTAGATTTTTCGATTTTTCAATTTTTCAATTTATAAATCTTTCCAATTTTTAGTTTTCCAGTTTTCAATTTTTTAATTGTTCAATTTAACGATTTTTTTATTTTAAATTCTTCGATTTTTCGATTTTGTCCCACTTCGATTTCTCAATTTTTTGATTTTTCATTTTCCGACTTCTCGATCTTTTGATGTTATGATTTTTCGATGTCCTAAATTTTTAATTTTTCGAAGGTTCGTTTATCCGATTTTTCGGTTTTTGGATTTTCCGATTTTCCAATTTTTCGATGTTTCAATCTTGAAATTTTTCAATTTCCCAAGTTTTCAACATTTTAGTTTTGGAATTTTTCAATTTCCCAAATTTTCAGTTTTTCGATTCTTCAATTTTCCGTTTTTTTAATTTTTCGATTTCTAAAATTTTAAATTTTCGGTTTGTTCAATTTTCAATTTTTAACTTTTCGATTTTTCGATTTTGTTCCATTTTGATTACCCAATTTTTCAATTTTTCGTTTTTCAACTTTGCGATCTTTTGATGTTTCGATTTCTCGAGTTTTTAAATTTTTCGATTTTTCCCTTTTTCGATTTTTCAATTTTCCATTTTTCAATTTTTTGACTTGTCGATTTTTTTTCATTTAAATTTTTCAATTTTTCAATTTTCAACTTTTCAATTTTTTATCTTCCCGACTTTTTGATTTCTCGATCTTTTGTTGTTGCGATTTCTCGATGTTTCAATTTTTGAATTTTTCGATGCTTCGATTTTTCCATTTTTCGTATTTTTTGATGTTTCAATTTTTCAATTTGCCAATTTTGCATCACTTCAGTTTTGGAATTTCCCCGAATTTTAAGTTTTTCGATTCTTCATTTTCCCAGTTTTTCAATTTTTCAGTTTTTTAAATTTTGGATTTTCGATTTCTTAATTTTTCGGTTTTTCGACTGTTCGATATTTCAGTTAATAATTTTTAGATTTTAGATTTTTCAGTTTTTAACATTCTCGATTTTTCGACTTCTCGGTTTTAGATTTTTGGATTTTTCAAATTTTCGGTTTTTAAATTTTTCCATTTTTCAGTTTCCCATTTTTCAAATTTTCGATTTTTCCTTTGATCAAGATTTCGATGTTTCAATTTTTAATTCAGTTTTTATTTCTAATTTTAACTATCCGATTTTTCGATTATGGCCCATTTCCATTTCTCAATTTTTCGTTTTTCGTCTTATCGATTTTTCGATCTTTTGTTATTACGATTTCTCTATGTTTCAATTTTTGAATTTTTCAATGTTTTGATTTTTTGACTTTTAGATTTTTGGATTTTTCGTAATTTTCGACTTTTGGATTTTTTGATTTTTCAATTCTTCGTTATTTCAATTTTCAGTTTTTCAATTTCACAATTTTTCATCATTTTAGTTTTGGAATTTTTCAATTTCCCGAATTTTCGATTCTCCGATTCTCCAATATTTCAGTTTTTCGATTTTTTAATCTTTGGATTTTCAATTTTTCGATTCTCGATTTTTAGATTTTCGGTTTTTAAATTTTGCGATTTTTTAGTTTCCCATTTTTAATTTTTCAGTTTTCAGCTTTTTAAATTTTTTGATTTTTTAATTTTGAACCTTTATTAATTTCCATTTTTCAATTTTTCGATTTCTCAATTTATCCAGATTTCAATGTTTCGATTTTTTAATTTTTCGATTCTTCGATTTATCGATTTTTTTAATTCTAAACATTTTCAATTTTGGCCCATTTCGATTTCTCAATTTTTCAATTTTTCATTTCCTTGACTTTTCGATTTCTCGATCTTTTGATCATTCGATTTCTCGATGTTTCAATTTTTGAATTTTTCGATGTTTCGATGTTTCGATTTGCCGTGTTTTCGATTTTTCGGCTTTTTTGATTTTAGGATTTTCCGATTCTTCCATGTTTCGATTTTTCAAGTTTTCGATTTTCCAATTTTCCTTCATTTCAGTTATAGGATTTTTCAATTTTTCGATTTTTCGGTTTTTCGATTTTTAATTTTTTTTTTCTTTCTTTTCTTTTTCCTTTCTCTATGTCTTAATTTTTCATTCTATTTGTTGTATTTGTAATTTTTAATCACATTGTTGACCTCTTTCTTGGTGTCGGTTCTCGCATTTTTCCTTTGTTCTTTTTTCTTAAATCTTTTCTTTCACATTTTAGCTTTTTACATGACATTCTTTTCCATTTTTTTAGTTCTTCTGGTTTCCGTTAGTTAACTAACCATCTCCAGGCTTTTACAATTTAACAGGAATCGCCAAAATTAAAATTACAGTTAAAATAACACATTTAAGTAGAAAAAAACCTAAGGAAAAAATGTTTTCCGAAAAAGAAATTCTAAAATGCCAAAATACCAATATGATTAAAAAAGGTCTTCTAGTAGGCCATGGAATTTATTTTTAAAATAATCATGTTGGCACTGCATCTATTTGACAGTTTTTTTGTCAATTAGACAGTAAATATCAAGCTGAACAAACTAAGCGTGCTGCCAACATATTTTTTTTAACATTAAATTCCAAAACTTTTTTCGTGGATTTGAAAATGTGTTCTGGGGAAGTCGAAATTCGAATCAAAACCAAAAATTCCCCGTTTTAACTTTTGCCATCTTCCCAAGGCCCTACCACTCGCCGCCCTTCACGCCCGCCCACTTCTACCCCAAGCCTCCCCCCATCAAGCTGCCGTCGCTCAGCCTCGACGACAAGTTCTACTTCTCTCTTTCGTCCAAGCCCAAGAAAACCAAGTACTTCGTCGGTAAAATACCCGACTACTGGAAGGCCATACCCGTCGAAAAAAAGGGGCCCGCCCTGGCCCAAGAGCCGTTCCGACCCGTCCTCCACGCATTCAGTCCGCCCGAAGACGACGTCAAACCGGTTACCGAGCACATCGAGGGCGACCTCATGTACGACTTCAGGACCAACACGCACTCGTTTTGACGGAGATGGGACAAATTGGATGACGGCTCCATTTCCGACCATGGCGGCTGTCAGCGCCGAAAGTTACGGTTAATTATTTTAAATGGGACGTAGATGGGCTCATGCGGAGAGCAGCGTTTTTTCCTTTCGCGCTGGGAGTGCTGGGACTGATGGAAATGGACGCTGCCAGATTTTGTTTTATGGTCGAGTTCATACAAATTTATTTTAATTCGAGGGCTAGGATAGGTAGTTATTAAGTCGTAAGTTTCGTGTAGTTGAGTTTGTTGTTTTTTAGTTTTATTAGTCGAATAGCTGTGTTTTTAATGTACAGATTTACCGACGGGGTAATAAATTCGAGTCATAAAGTTTTTTAAAGAATTTAGGTTTTTTTGGTTTTAATTTGACATGTCTTGGTTGAGTTGTGTCAAGTGTCACTTTGCGTTTGGGGGATTTTAAATGTTGCCAACGTAAATCAACATTTCAGTACAACGACAGAAGACATTACATGAGCTATTGCTCAATAATTCTCAACAAACCAGATCACTTTCCTTGGACTTATTGCTACTTTCACTGCACATGGTTGCAGCAGTTGCCGGGAGAAATGAAAGTATCCTTGACAATGTTCTTTCAAACTGCAAATGCAGTTCATCGACTTATAATTCTTAGGTATTTGTGGTTTAACTAGATTATGATAACTGAATCGGAATTTTTGGTTTTTTGCCTCTGTTTGGCTGGAAAAGTGTGCCTGCAGACTCGCAGGTGTTGAAAAAGTTGCTCTAGTTGTTAATTATTATTTAAAATTAGTAATTAACAGTTTTCGTTACTTGAGGATTGGTGTCAGTGGCTTTCCTTTCTATTTATTATCTTGATGAAGAGAACAGGAAGGAAGTGGTAACTGAAACCATAAAGTTGTGTTAGCTAGGCAACCAACATCACACATCTGAATATTAAATTGCCTAAGTTTGGGTGGTGTTTGTTACGCCAATAATTAGATTTTGGTTATTTCAAATAATTTTTCAAATATTTACACTGTATCATAAGCGTAATATGATAAATAATGCTTTTAGTTTTTAAGTCAAAAAAATCTTAATATTATTTTTCAAATATGTGTTGACATTTTTTTAACTTTAAGGTGCACTTCAATAATGTATTATTTTTTAAATAATGCCACCTTAGTTATATATTATTTTCAATTATAATAATTCTGATGATACAAATCAGGCTTTTGTATATGCAACACAAAATACACCCGACTGTCACAAATTTACATGGAATTTATATATAAAAAAAATGTTTATCTTCACTAATTTTTGACAAGTTTGGTTTCAACTCAAATGATGGCTCTTCTGGACATTTTTTAAATTAAACCATTTTTCCCCAAAGAACGATTTTTATATTTATCTTGAATTTCTCTTCGACTGTATGCAACCAGTCATACAAGAGTAGTAAATTCAAATAACGTTTGTCTACTCATCTCCACTAACAATGGAATGGGGTCATTTCCAAATTTTATAAAATAACGCTTAAAAAAAATCAAAGAGGGTCCTTCCTCCTTCATTCGGGTGGGTGGGCGGGGCCACTTTGATTTTTTTTAAGCGCAAATTCGACCACTTTCCCAATATTTTACTATTGTTCGCCAATATAAAATCCACTTTTCGTCCCACAGCCAATAAAATGAGTGACTAATTTCATTGGTTCTTAACTAAAGACGAATCTCATCTCGGCAAACATGACATTCTAGGTAACCGTGAAATTTTTCTTTTTGATTTGTGCATTTTATGAATTATACAGAAAATTTTAATAAATGAAGAACTTGAAAAAATATAATTAAAGTGATAAATTAAAAAAAAGTTTCTGAAAAAGAAAATTAAAATCTTGAAATCAGATCAGTTTTGGTAACGTCAGGGCAAGTCAGGTCAGGTCAGGTCAAGTCAGGTGAGACCAAGTCATGAGAGGTCAGAACTTGATAGGTCAAGCAGATCGGGCGGATCAAATCAAGGCAGGTTCGATCAAGTCATGCCATGTCGATTCAAATCAGATGTATTTAAAACAAGTCAGATCACTACATAAATGTTATTTAAATTTTAACAAGTAACATAGTTCTGAACTTGTGGTTTATGAATCCGTGTTGAATTTTTATCCTTGACAACGAGATTTTTGGAATAAAAATCAAAATTGTAGATACAAGAATTTTCCGATTTTTGGGCTCAATTTTCGGCATTTCAATTTCTGGATTTGTCTGTTTTTCAATATTTTAGTGTTGGGATTCTATAATTTCTCGAAATATCGATTTTTTACTTTTAGAATTCTCAATGTTCCGATGTTTAAGTTTTACGAATTTTCACTTTTTCGAAATTTCAATTTTTCCATTTTTGACTTGAAAAATTGAAAATTTAATTTTCGATTTCTCTATTTCTTGATTTCTCGAGTTTTCTCTTTCGATTTTTCAATTTTTTAGATTTTCGACTTTTCCATTTCTTGATTTTTCAATTTTTCGTTTGCTCAATTTTTTGATGTCTAGATTTTTCAGTTTTACAATTTTTTCAATTCGAGATTTTCAATTTTTGATTTTTCGATTTTTGAATTTTTCAATTTCTCGATATTTTACTTAGTAGAGTTTTCAATCTTCCGATTTTTCAATGTATCGATTTTTTGATTTAAGATTTTTCGAATTTTAACTTTTCCAATTTTCGATTTTGGCCCAATTCGATTTCTGAAATTTCGGATTTTTCGCCTTCTCGATTTTTTGACGTTTTGTTTCGATTTTCAATTATCAGGCATTTTCGCCTTTTCGATTTTTCGATTCTTCAATTTTCCGATTCTTCAATTTTTTGATTTTTTCGACTTCTCGGTTTTTGATTTATTTTTTTCCCTATTTTGTCTTTTTCGACTTTGCAGTTTTTCAGTTTTTCGATTTTTAAAATTTAGAATTTTGAATTTTTTCAAACTTCTCGATTTATCTTTTTTTTTATTTTAAGTTTTAAAATTTTCAACGAAATTTTCGAAATTCACTAAATACATTCTCTTGTAGATTTCGGGCCGCTGAAGTCATATCCACTTTCATTTCTTCGATAACTCCATTGGTTTTTCCAGAATCGTCCTTTGAAATACGCAAAAATATGCAAAATACCACCAATTTTCGAAATTTTCGAAATTTCACTAAATACATTTTCTTGTAGATTTCGAGCCGCTGAAGTCATATCCGTTTTCATTTCTTCGATAACTCTATTCGTTTTTCCAAAAGCGTCCTTTGAAATACGCAAAAATATGCAAAATACCACCAATTTTCGACCAATTTTCAACGAAATTTTCGAAATTTCACTAAATACATTTTCTTGTAAATTTCGGGTCGCAGAAGTCATATCCGCTTTCATTTCTTCGATAACTTCATTGGTTTTTCCAGAATCGTCCTTAGAAGTACGCAAAAATATGCAAAATACCACCATTTTTTTTCAATTTTTCGATTTTTCTGTTTTTCAATCTCTTGTTTTTTTGATTTTAAAAATTTTTCGATATTTCGATATTTAAATTTCTCGATTTTTCAACATTTCAATTTTGCGAATTCCTGGATTTTTCAGTTTTCTAATTTTTCGAATATTATATTTTGGATTTTTGATTTCTCGGTTTTTTGTTTTCGATTTTTCGATCTTTGAATTCTTCAATTTTTCGATTTTTTTATTTTTCGATTTTTCAGTTCTTCAATATTTATGTTTTAGTGTTTTCCGTATTTTTAAATTTTACATTTTGGGTTCTTCAATTTTCCGTTTTTCAGTTTTTCGATTTTTTAATTTTGCATTTTCGATTTTTGGTTTTTCGATTTTTCGTCTTCGATTTTTGTATTTTTCGATTTCTCGATATTTCACATATCAGATTTTTCGAATTTTAACTTTTCCAATTCTCGATTTTGGCCCAATTCGATTTTTGAATTTTCGGATTTTTCGCTTTTTCGATTTTCCGATATCAGGCATTTTCGACTTTTCAATTTTTTGATTTTTTACATATTGAATCTTCAGTTTCTCGATTTCTCGGTTTTCTGTTTTCCGACTTTTCGATTTTTCTATTTTTCGATTATCCCATTTCCCGATTTTTGTGGTATATATGAGCATTATAATTTTTTAAATTGTCGATTTTTCAGTTTTTCGGTTCTTCAATTTTTCGATATTTTATATTTTGGATTTTCGATTTTTCGACTTCTCGGATTTTGATTTATTTTTTCTTTAATTTTTCTTTTTCGACTTCGCAATTTTTCAGTTTTTCCATTTTTAAAATATCGAATTTTGAATTTTTTCAAAGTTTTCGATTTATCAATTTTTTTTATTTCCAGTTTTAAAATTTTTCAATTTTTAACTTTTCGACTTTTCGGCTTTACGATTTTCAATATACAATTCTTCGATATTTCGATTTTCCAATTTTTCCATTTCCCAATTTTTGGTCATTTCAGTTTTTGAATATTTGAATTTTTCGATTTTTCAGTTTTTCAATTTTTTTTGTTTTTAAAATTTACGATTTTCGATTTTTTGATATTCTGATTTTTTGTTTTTACAAATTGTTAATATTTCGATATTTAAATTTCTCGATTTTTCAACATTTCAATTTTGCGAATTTTTCAATTCCTGGATTTCTAATTTTTTTAATATATTTTGGATTTTTGATTTCTCGGTTTTTGTTTTCGATTTTTCGATATTTGAATTCTTCAATTTTTCGATTATTTTATTTTTCGATTTTTCAGTTCTTCAATATTTATGTTTTAGAGTTTTCCGTATTTTTAAATTTTACATTTTCGGTTCTTCAATTTTCCGTTTTTCAGTTTTTCGATTTTTTAATTTTTGCATTTTCGATTTTTGGTTTTTCGATTTTTCATCTTCGATTTTTGTATTTTTCGATTTTTCGATATTTCACATATCAGATTTTTCGAATTTTAACTTTTCCAATTTTCGATTTTGGCCCAATTCGATTTCTGAATTTTCGGAGTTTTCGCCTTCTCGATTTTTTGATATTTTGTTTCGATTTTCCGATATCAGGTATTTCCGACTTTTCAGTTTTTTGATTTTTTATATATTGAATCTTCGGTTTCTCGATTTCTCCGTTTTCTGTTTTCCGACTTTTCGATTTTTCGATTTTTCGATTATCCCATTTCCCGATTTTTGTGGTTTGAGTATTATAATTTTTTAAATTGTCGATTTTTCAGTTTTTCGGTTCTTCAATTTTTCGATATTTTAAATTTTGGATTTTCGATTTTTTGTCTTCTCGGTTTTTGATTTATTTTTTCTCTATTTTTTCTTTTTCGACTTTGCAATTTTTCAGTTTTTCAATTTTTAAAATTTAGAATTTTGAATTTTTTCGATCTTCTCGATTTATCTTTTTTTTTTATTTTAAGT